GAGAGAGAGAGAAGGCGGTCGCGTTGCTGCCAACAATCACCAGATAAAATCATCATCGCGATGTATGGCGAATCGCACGCCGACAAATCGAATCATGAACAAATGGAACGTCTAATGACAAACGATCGACAAATAGTGCCATTTCTGCTGCTGCTGCTGCCGCCCCGCAAATGAACATGTTTAACGACTGATCAAATGCAATTACCACGTATATGAAGAGAGAGAAAAAACGGTCTAACAAATGCACTACATTCGATTATATATTTCAATATTTTGCTCGCTCTTCATCGATTGTTGTGAATTTGTCACAGCAAAGCGACCAATATGTTCAATAAAAAAAAAACACAAAAAAGTACTAACTCGATTAAAGAATGAGAGAACAAAAATACATTTAAATCTCGGACGAATTGAATGGACTGGTTCAGCGCGTTTGTGTTTTGTCATTTGTTCAACAAATTGCATTATTATTATTCATACATTTGCTCACCATCACTTCCATTCAAATCGTTGAACGTTGAATACAACAATTTACCGCTCAGATGTGATAAGAGTATGATGTGATCGAATTAAAATCAAATTGACAGTCACTCGTATTGTCTCTGAAAGCCCAACGCGTATTAATAACGGCATTTGGTAAAAATAAACTTGGGTATTTGTTCTTCATTTTTCATTCAATTTTATGAAGATAAAAAAAATTGCGCTTAATGAATTTTAAAGAAAAAAAAAAAAGTCAACTGAATTTGGTCAAATTTACATGTAATTTCGACACTGCGTGGTATTAAAATGATATAAATGGATAAATATCGATAGATGAGAGAGAAACTAGATTGTACAAAGTAATGAAAAAGTAATTAAAATGAATCAACAAGTGATTTGTCTAAGTCACGATTTCAAGCGATTCGGTCGTGTTTCAATTGAGTTTTAAAGCGATGACAAACAACAGTAAACGTTTTATTTTTTCTATTCCTCGGTCTTTATTTGATTTGTTTCAAGTATCTGATAAATATTTGTATTCGAATAGTTTAATCTCTAATTCTGTCTGCTGCCTACTGAAATTAATAATAATTGGGATAATAAAACGATTGCCAATGGAAACGAAATGAAAAACACCAACAAATCAATTTGACCAAATATGAATGGCGAAAAAAGTGTGCTCGCTTCCAATTGCACATAGAATTGTGTGGCTTTAAAAAAAAAAATAAACAAGTAGTCGAAAACTCGTGCACAAGAGTGGTTTGTTTGTGGTTTTGCCACAAGGTGACGAGAGGGTTATCCAAAGAGTGAGAAAGAAATCGCGGAAAAGTATACGGCCAAACAATCCCATTGGTTAAGATGTACACCTCTTGGCTAACAAGTTGCATTCAAATGATGCTGATTAAATAAATAAAATCGAATAAGCGGATAGAGAAAGAAAAAAAATATGTAGATTAATAAGCGCAAACCATTCGAATTTAGATGCAGATGCATCGTGATAAAAACGATGCGAAGTAAAATCAAACAAAGTATTTTTAGTGCATTCTTTTAATTGCCGTTTCATTTAGTCTCTATCATGCTTCACACCATTCAAAACCACATATTCATTGACAAAGATGTGGAACAAGAAGAAATGAGGAGGAATTTAAACATACACCAAAACAATTATCTTCGTGCTCGCTTCATTTGCGAAACCGATTCAAGTGAAAACATTTATGGCCCACAAAATGACAGAATCTTCGAAAAAAGGACCCAAAAAATAAAACGATCGATTTGTATAACTGCAAACGGTGATTATCACTGATTGCTGTACCATTTAATAATCACATCACAGGTGTGTGTATTTTTTTTTCTCGGCATAGTTCATCGTGTCAAGTGATTGCAATCATATGATAAGCAACACCAATAAATTCACCATCTTTATTTTTGATATTAATTTTTGATGAACATTTACAACAATCCGTTCGTAATCAACAAAACGAAATGCACATTGCATTGGCCGTCAATGATGTTTCGTTTTTTAGGTGGAACAAAATCGATTTGTCTTCGGAATTGAAATATAAATTTCACGTTAATAAAACTGAATAAACCAATGTCTGTTCGCATCTTTGTATAGGTAGGTGTGGTTAAAATATATGTATATTTTACTCTCTGTTTGGTTCTGTTAGCACATGAAGTATATGTGCACCTCTGGCGAATTAGCTCTTCTCTCACGCAGCAAATCGATTCGCAAGCGATCGAATCGAGGCACATTTGCCTCTATTACTCTCTCTTTCTCTCTCAGCATCGCACTCAAAAAATCGCTTGGGCATTACTATTATTCGCATGTGATACTCACATTTGTATTGTATTTTATATATTAAAATAAAACAAAAGCATTTATTGTATATATTATTTTCCATCACACTAAGGTGGTTTCGTCATACATTATAGCCTGCTATCTGATATTATACTATTATCAAACAAACTTACGATGATAAATCATTGGCTGCTACTTTTCAACAGATACACAAACATTGGCAATATATAATTTTTGTGTCAACAATTCCTTTCAGCAGCCACATCTTTTTCGTTTCCCACGTATGTGAATAAGAAAAAAATATACATTTTTGGAGCGTAAACAAAAATTCGTCCGAATCAAAGATATCATTTAAAATTGTTACTTCTAAATGAATTGAATAAGTTGGGCTCTGGTTCCCTTTCAACTTTATTGTTATCACTGCACTACATTGGCCTAAATAATGCAATTCAATTTGTATGTCACACTGTATTACGCCCCGCACATTTTTACAATCAATTTACGCTTTTATTCATTGTTTTTTACATTTCCGTTAAGCTCTGGCAGTTGTTTTTTCATCCACAAATTCAATTATTTTTTTGGATGTTTGTCGATTTTTTTTGTAAGAAAAACACAATTTTTTAAGTAAAACTCGAATTTCAATTTTTTTTTTGAGTAAAATGAACCACATGACATCATTCGAACAATAGATTAAGAGAGTCAGTATAATAGACACACAAATCCGCGTGGTGATAATGATTATTTTATTTAAACTGAGAAAAAAGAATCTAAAGTATCAGGTGCCATTAGAAGCAAGCTAGCAATGCCGACTGAATAAGAGGAGAGAGAAAAAAACAAATGCATAATGTGTGTGTGTTTATCATCGGTTGAAGTGTACACAATTACGATTTGTGAGTGATTTTATCAGGAGCTTTAATAAAGGTCGTGCATTGTAGAGATTTTTGTGAAGGGTTCACATCAGAGAGCAAGGGAGACAAGCGCATAGACAATATCCATCAAGTTAAAATGCGCCTACTTGGATTGGCGCCGTTATCACATGTTATTTACATTTTTTTCTGTATTCTCTCTCTCTCTCTCTCTCTCTCTCTCTCTCTCAAAATATTGATGAAAACCAGATGAGAGTGACTTTCCTTGAGCAGCAAGATCTTTTTGAATGCGATGAGGATATGAGGTGTTTTCGATTTGTTCTTGTTGGAGGCATTTTTATTATTATTGCATGATATTTGGTCTTGAAGAGCATACCACAACCAAATGCAATATGGTTCATTCATTCTATTTGATTCGGATAGTGAATTCGGTGCCATTGTGTTCATTGAAAGGATATCATCATTTTGATTGAGATAAGAATATCAAATAAATATAGACACAAAAACATACAATGAACATACTATTTTCGTTGAGTTCACACTGAACTATTGCATATTATGGAAAGAATGAAAATGAGAGAGAGAGAAAAAAAAAACAATTCAAACAAAAGTGTTTTTCTGAATAAAGATTGAAAAGTGCATGTTATGTTTATATCTGGAACAAATTCAGATTGTTTTGATGCAAGCATTGTGACGAGAAGAAAGGGCATGAATCGAATCGACCAAGTGAATGTTGAGATGTTGAGATAGACAGGCAATAAGAGAAGAGAAGAATAAAACTAACCATGTAATGGTTATGGAAACCTATCATTATGGAAAATTTAAATTCGATATCCATAATAACATGATGAGGAATATCAATTTTGGTGTGATCACTCTGTGGTCAAAGAGCCACATTTAAATTGTTTCCCTCTTTGAGAAATATCACAGCAGCTCAATAGCAAGAAGACAAAAGTGCCGAGATACTCCTTTAACTAAATGCGACGACGGCAACAACGACGACGGTGACGACGACGACACAAACATCAAACAAGCGCAAGCAGAACAACATCTCGAAAATACACGGAAGATGAGCACAAAAGCAAACACCAACAAACCACTTACTTCGACATAATTTCTATTCATTTTGGTTGATTATGCGCACATTATTTGTTATTCTGTTTTGTGCAGCCCTTCCATATACCATATTAAATCGGTTTCACAGAAATGCCCGCTTGTGCGATGATCAACCAACATATTGCCGATATGTTTTTTTTTTTTGGTGTAAGAGTCCACTTTGGTGCGCACATCGCACGAAAGGGCGAAGGAGAAAGATAGATTGGAGATAGAGAGAGAGAGAGAGAGAGAAAGGGAATGAGAGATGAAAAAGAAAAAAGCGAGAAACCGTCTTTCCTCTATTGATTATGGGTCACACCGATCATTCATGTCATACTAAAGTGTTACCAAGATGCAACTTTATGAATTAGCTGGAAAATATATATATATATATATTGTGAACATCGGAGATTTTAAGACGGAGAAGCAGACAATATGTTTGGATTTTGTCATCTGGATATTTTAGCTCATCTGGATAACGTTAGGCGATGATACGAAATGAAAACAATAGAAGTGATTGTTATGATTATGGTAGTATTTTTATGTCTAAACCATACAACAATCACTTCTATTGTTTTCACTCCATATCATCGCCTAACGTTATCCAGATGAGCTGAAATATCCAGGTGACAAAATCCAAATATATTGTCTGCGGAGAAGAAAAAAAGAGAAATAAATTGTAAAACAAAAACGATTGGATCGTGGTAGCAGTAAAGACTACAATTAATAAGCTATTTTTTTTGTTTTATTTTCGTCAACATGCATCTTTATTGGAAATTTGTTGATTTTTTTTTCATTCTTTGTTTCATTAAAAAATGTTTTTATTCATTTGGATTTATTCGAAGCGATCCTAAATCAAGGTTGAATTCTTTTAGAATGTCCGATTTGGAATCGCCCACTTTGGTTAACTGCCGAATTATTTCTTGATTCTCCATATTGTTTTCGCATAAATTACGAATAGCCAAAATACTCCATTCTTTAATCACTGCAACATGAAAATATATGAGAAAACAGTGCGTTCAAATTGTATAAGAAATTAATTTGATTGATGATTTATTGAAATGGAATGTGAGAGTCCCCCCAAAAAGGGCCCATAACATACTCACATGGATTTCGTGCATCCAATGCTGTGGAGTCGAGCACTGCTATTAAAAATTCCATTTCGCGTGCCTATAGAAAAGAATTTAGAGAGTGTATTTTTTTATGTTTCGCTGGTTTTTTTACATAAATTTTCTAAATTTTCTCACCAAATCTTGGTTTTCTTTATTTTTATATGCTAAATTGGCCAATGTTCGGATAAGCGTTGATTTCAATTGATACGATATATCGCGTTCGATGGAACAATCTTCATTTGAATTGGGCGCTAATTGGTTTAGTTTCTGTACGGGTGTAAAGATATTTGCAGCACTTTCGCGCTTTCCAATTTCATGAATTGAACGCAACAAACAGCCAACATTTATAAATAATGACGTATCTGATGATAAAACGAATGCGTATCGTTCATCGGACGTGGCACATGCAATTACTTCTAGCAAAGCGATCACTTCTTTTGGATGAATGGTATCGACGGTTGATGGTGTTTTTAGAACACAATCCGATTTCTTTTTGAATTCCTTGCAGATGAATTGCAACAACGGCGTCGAAATTACATCGTGACGAACGGCTTTCATGTGATCGGCAACATAGTAAATGAAATATAGTCGCTTTTCAGCTGGCACCAATCGATCGTACACCGATGCAATTGAACGGTATTTTGTGATTAGGTGTTCCATAAATAATTGATGAAAATCGTTACATTGTAGGTCGTGACCGTTTATGATGCATTGCAATAAAATTTCAACAATTTGCTTGACATCGATCGTACACAAAATTTCACTAATAAATATGTTGTAAAGAATCATGGTGCATTCACGATTATTTTCGGTGTCGCATACACAATTTAATTGTGATAGATGCGATGCAATACATTTTGACCAAATTTCACGTTGTGTTCCAGCATTTTGAACACAAATATTTGCAACGTATTGCCAACACATTTTTCGCGTCTTTTGTGATAGTCGAGATGCTTCGGATGAAAATAATATCGCATTGATTATGTCATACATATTGTACGATCCTAGTTCGAATGCAATTATTCGATTTTGTACCATGGCACCGGCCGCACAACTGTTTCGCAGCAATCGACAAGATTCACAGATCAAATCATCGAATGTGGACGGTTTATCGTTGACATTATCTGACCATAATAACTGGACACATTGTTGGAACACAGTCGCAATGGCCACAACCAAATCAATCACTTGATCAGTTTTCAACAGTTGATTTCTGGAATGAAAAAGATGCTCGCTTAGTTTTTCTTTTCGGCACAGAGTTGTTTTTTATTCAATCAATCTTACAGATCTGATGACTTTAGAATTTCGAGTAATTGGCCATATTCTCGAGACTTTAAAGTTGCAATCAATTGATCGGGGATAATAGACATTGCAAACGATAATCGCGAACATCAACCAGTGTGTGAGAGATTAAAGCGCGTGTTTTGTTTACAAATGCTCATAACTTTGACAAATCAAGACATGCTCGTCAATCCAGTGAATTTTCATTGCTAGCGCCATCTATTGACTTAATTCTTGTGCCTTTGTATAAAAGCTCTAATCATATAAACAATTGGTTGTTTTTTATTGTCAATTTTTTTTATTGAAAAATAGCATCACTTCTTTTGGTTTCTATTTGGTATTTCAAGTGATTCAGTTGAACAGTCGACTGGGAAATTGTTCATAGAATACATGAGAATGTTTTTCATTTAATAAACTGGCATAAAGTTTATCTTCCTCTTCAAAATTTGTTCTGAAACAATACAATCAATGGTTTGATTATGAAAATGTGACGAAAGACATGAGAACACACAACTTACTCTTCAATAAACATCGTCACATTGACTTCATTCGATGAAATTTCGGTCGGACGCAATGAACCAAAGAAATCAGTGATTGGCACTTTATTCGGATCTTTTGGATATAAATCCTTTCGAACGCCAACCGTTGATATACACTCACGTTTTGGACATACTTTTAGCTAAAAAAAGAAATCCAAATTCATCAAGAGGTCAATATGGAGTGAAACGAATGAATGAAATTCTAATCTTACAAATTCGCCGATGGTTCTCTTGCTATTTGGTTGGACTCGCTCCAAAAATTCCAAAGCATAGTAAGTGTATCGATCAATAATATAAACACCAATGGCCGGATCAACGTGATGCTATATGATAAATGGATGAAAATCAAATTAATCGATGTAATTCAAATGGTTTTTTTTGTTTCAATAACATACCGAAAGTGAATCCTCTCCCACCAAACTGCTGGCAACTGCTAGAATGTTGGGCGAATAAAATTTTTCATACATTGAAGCCGCCTGACACGTATCAATCATGAAGAAAATTTCATTATATCTGCAAATAAATGAAAAGTTCGTTTCTCATTCTGTTGCAATGAATTGGACGATGAAAGCTCGAAAATCTTCTTAATGTCACAAAAAGCGTATCGATTTAAATAAAAGAGTACCTTTGTTTTTGCCACATTTGCTCGAATGCGTCTGCCAGTTCATGGTTTGTGATCTCTTCGGAGTCTTGAAATTTCAAAAAGCCATCGCCACCATGACCAGTTAAATAGATGAGAATATTGCTGCCGGGATCGGTGAGCAGTTTCTTTGATCTTGGCGTCCCGGTTTGTGTTCGTCCGGTCAATAATCGTACAAAATTCTCAACCGTCACTTCATAACCGCGATAATCAACTTCAACATCATCTCCATACACATTAATGTGTTGATTTGCATTGTTAAAAACGGTGGCCGGACGTGGATTTCTTGCATTGCATGCCATGTCATCGGCAACCATTAGAATAATTTGACTGTCTGGAATTCCGAGACGTTTAACCGAACGATAAATTGACAGAACATTTGCGACATGACGATAGTTAAACCAAAACCGTGATGTGTCTACCAAAACTGCCCAATTATTTGTATGCGTACGAGCGTTTTCGGTAAATTTCTCTGGAATCTATATGAAAATTAAATGCACTTCATATATGATAGATAACATTCCAATTGAATTGACATCGATTCGATGTCATTCACAACATACTTGCAGATCATTTGCTGTGACTAATGCTGTAAATCCAATTAAAAATGCTACACTTAAATTAAAATACATGGCAAATGAAATCAAAAAAATAAATAGAAGAGAAAAATGATCCTAATTGTGATTTGTTTACGACAAATATTTCTTATTTGGTAATTTGATAAACAATTCGTTTTTCACAGTGGTATTTGTACGGCGGTTTGTCAAAGCGATGCGATTTTTCGCCACCACGCACATCAGCGCCATGAATTATTATGTCACTTTTATATGTCAAATAAATCGCATCATTTATTTAGAATTTTATATATTTCGTTGAATTTTTTCCCATCGTTCATCGAACGAAAAAAAAAAAATCAATTTGAAAAAACAAAAGAATAGAAAATATGCCGAATTGACAATTGAATAAAAAAAACGAAATCGAAAATGGCGCGAACATATGATTTTGCATGTGTGTGTGTTTGATGCGCGTAACGTATATTTTTATGTTTTTCGATACCGTCCCCGTGAATGATGTTTTCAAAATGAAATGAAGCGCACATTTATACGGTGCTGCCATCACATACGCATTAAACAAAACGACAAAGATGTCGACGTTTTTTTGGCATGTCAAGCAAGAGAACAAAACATATTAAGTTAAATTAAGCAAAATTGATTTTAGATTTCCGAATTTTTTTTTGCAAAAAGCTGTTGCCATATAATAACGGGTGAGTGTAAACAATTTTCCGAACGATAAAATACGATTGCATTGCGTTGAAACAGTGTCCAATAATTTGTTGTGCTTTTTTTCTCTCTTGTTTTTCTTTCGTTCTTTCTTTCTTTTGTACCATTTTTTTTTATATTATTGGTGTCCAGCTTATGCATTTAATCAGGCATTCAAAGGTACGCTTTGGGCAAAAGCACATACAATTGAACAACACAGAACAAAACAAAACAAACCGATTTAATTGAGTGAGTGGCCACACAACGCACGGCAACAATCGGCATCGGTATTATCAGCACATTTGAAAAAAAAACAAAAAAAAAATTGTACGGCGTTTGTTTGTTTGGCGCGCACAGCGACAACATATTAAATGGTTAAATGGTTGGTAGTCACGGATTCATAATGGAAACAACCGGCGATAAACTGGCAAAAAGTAATAGTCAACAATCGGATTTGTACAATTACAATTTGGATCATGTATATTGTTCGGATAATTCACGGTATCGCAGTGTAGGCACAACACATTTAAATTTAGCGGCAGCCGCCAATGATTTAAAATCATTACGCAAAGAGAATAAACAATTGCAAGCAATGTTGCTGCTGCATCTTGATTTGATTCAAGAGCAAAGCAATCAGCTCATAGCCAAAGATAAACAATTGTTACAGTTGAGAGAGGAGAATGCACAATTGCGACTGAAATGTGAACGAACAGTGACAACGCCAAATGAACGACGACAAAATAACAATCGGTATCATACGACAGCAACGACAACCGGTGGCGGTGGCCATTCAAGTGGAAAAGTGTTAAATACAAGTGGCGGTAGTCCAACAATTGATTCATATTTTACCGCTGTAACAACAACAGAATCAAAAGTGTCAATGCGTTCAACGCACCCAAGTGAAATGACATTGAGCGCCAAAAATAAATCACAAAATATCATCACAACAAATCAAATGTATCCATTGAATAGCAGCAATGATAGCATCGGTTTAACCGATGAAAATCATGCAATTAACGAAATTCGCAACAATCAAACAACGATTCCGATCAAAATTGAAATGAACACAACAACAACAAAATCACCAACTGACGAAATAAAAATGCATCCGCATGCCCTTAGTGAAATTGTCAAACATAATCGATTGAAAGCCATGACACCGACCACAAATCATACAATTCATAATAAATCACATCCAACCATTAAATATCGAGCCATTGAAAATAATATAATTGGCAACAACAATGGCAAACTCATCAGTAAAATAATATTGCAACGAAAAAAATCGGAAAATGGTGAAAAAATATTTGTGCGTACCAAAAATATTGATATAGGCAACAATAAAGTGAACTATGAAAAATGGAGCCCATTACGAACGATAAAAAGTGAAGTGGTACAAAATGAAATTGAGCCAATAATTTTTGAGCCAACGACAATGACGACGACACCGACAACAACAATGAAAACAACAACACCATCACCAAATTTAACACAAATGATTGACGACGACATGAGCTCGGATGCAATCGAAACAAATTATGTAGCACCATTATCAGTTGATGCTGATAATGATGATGACGATGATGAGGATATGAGTTCGCCACCATCTGTCCAAACAACATTCGATCATCATTCAGATTTATCGATCGATTGTCAAATTAATACCACCATTAAAGTTGAACAAGAAGAGATGCATGTGGAAGAAGAAGAAGTGGACGACAATGAGAATGATGATGACGACGACGACGACGAGGACGATAACGATATGCACCATTCACCAGTATACGATCCAAATAGTGCAATAGAAGATTCACAAGACACATCAAATGTTGAATCACCGCTGACGAATGAATCAATACCGCCACCATCAATGATGGTATCAAGTCCCATTGCATCAACCGTATCAACGTGTGATTTCAATCAAAGTGAATCGTATGCAGGAAGTTGTTTGGACAGTAATTCAATGACAACAGCATCAACAACGACACCAATGGTAACAATGTCAGCGATACCAGCAATAGCATTATCAACGACCGATCCAACAACAGAAATGAATCGATCGACAATTCTTTATCCATCATCAAGGCGACACATAACACGAAACACCTTTTTAACAACAAAAAAACCATACAAAATACGTGAATGGCAATTGGACGAAATTGAAGCCGAATTGAAACAAGAAATTACCGATGAAATTTGTCCAAATGAAAACGATAGTAATTTAGAATTGCCAAAATGGCGAACATGGGAAATGAGTAGTAACCGTGAGGCGCCGGTCACAGCACGTGAATGGGAAGATTTAAATGATGATGTATTTGCACGGCGACATGCTCGTTTCTTATTGGACGAACGAAAACGTAAAAAATGGGATGTACAGAGAATACGCGAACAGAGAACAATTGAACGACTGAAACGTCGACATTGCAAAGATGAACTAAATCAACAAAATAATTTCAATGAAATTTTCACATTTTTTCCAACGATCGATCAATTAAAAAGCATCAGTATCACCGATGATCTGCCGGTGACGGCATTTGGTGAATCAATTCCAATGCTTCAGCCGACTGAATTTGCGTTGCCTTGGCGAATTCATCAGTACAATACGATTGATTCATCATTTTTATTGGCCGCATCATCCATTGCCAACGATCCAATTCCGAAAAGTGAACAACTCAGTGCTCCCATATTTCATTCACGATCCAACAGTAATTGTAGCAGTGTAGCAAGTTTTGCAACCGTGGCCACGACGACGATAACAACGTCAACAATGACACCGTCATCCATTGTATTTTTGGCAAAGAAACGAGCCGGCCGCACGAGAATATTCATCTCACATACAAATCAACATTCAAACTCAAAAGCAAATACATGAAAATGCATTTTGTGTCCTGTACAGTTTAAGCATCATCCGCATCAAATGTAAAATCTCTCGCCCGGAAATAAAAACAACAACAACATAGCATGCGTCCGGTTCAATTCAAAACAAAAGCAAAATGTCGAGAAAAAAAAAAAACGAATGCACTGAGCGAGCCAGATAAAACACAAAAGCCTTTTCGTAATGCATAATTTATATAAATGGGTTTTTTAGTCAATTTATAACATAATTCCATTACTCATTTTTAATGTTTTTCTCCTTTTTTCTACGAAAACAAACAGAACATCATCTCAGCCATCATTAAATTCATAAAGTCACGAAAAATATGCGAAATATGTTTTTTTTTGTAAAATTTTGCACAACACAATTTAGTTAATTTATGTGTTTTTTTTATATATTCGGTTATAAGGCTATATTTCTTGTGTTTATTATTTTTCTTCTTTATTTTTTCCATTTTTTTTTTTCTATTTTCGTTTGCACATAATTCCGCTTGGCAAACGTCAAAATTTCACTGATCGAATCAGAAATAATATTGTAATATTGTGCAGACGTAAAATTGTAATGTCCTTGGAATATACTTCAATGATGATGCTTTCGAGTGCGATTGCAATTTTGAGTTGGCTCACATAATTTATCAAAATCGATCAGTGAACATTTGCAATAGGAATAAAAACAAATAATAAATATTGAAATTATTTAAAAAAATCCCAAAAATTAAAAAAAAAACGCTGGTAAACAGCGTTACCAAATTCCAAATTGAATTCCAAAAAATCAAAATGTTTATTGTTGTGATTGTCGTTTTGTCCGTTATTTGGTTTTCATTTGGATATATCGCCACCCGAAAAATTCGAAATCATTCTTGTCAAAAAATGTAAGAATATTAACTAAAATGTAGGAAAAAAAATATTGTGCCCCATGGAATTCATTTGATAAATGTTAGGATGATTTATATAGCCTTATTCATTTTGAGAGAATAACAAAAAATTTAAATGAAACTTCAGCTTAGTTTGTCATAAAACAGTGATAAAAATGGAAAATTCAAAGAAGATTCAAAGAAAAATAAATACAAATTGGAATTCGAAGAAAAAAAATAAAATAAATTTCGATTTAATTGTTTTATTTCATTTGGTTTTTTGAAATATTTTCAGGTAAACATTATTTTTTTTTTTCAAAATTCGGCGCTTATACTTTGAGGTCAATTTTGTTTTGTTTACAAAGTGCACATTGATATAATAACAACAACTTTACTCTATATATCATTCAGCGAACACATACATGTATCCGACTGTGTTGTGATTGTATTGGTTTTCAAAAGATCGTCACATATGTTATTCAAATTTTTGAACAAAGATATTTATAGTTCAATAGGCGCCGATTCGCTTGTCAAAATTGATAAAAATTGTTTTTAAAGATTGCATCCGTTAAAAGGGATTTGATGTGAAAATGATAATTTTCATTGAGATATAAAGATATTTCGATTGGATTCGAGAAAAATGTTGAAAAACAATGCACTCAAACCGGTATCATCTGTTTCATTTTCTGTGCAGTTCGAAAAAGAGTTCTTTCGCTTTTGATTCATTGACAGCACAATACTATTTTCACAATTCTCCTTATGTTTTGATCGATTTTTTTTTAAATTTAATGAATATTCAATCATTCATAAAATGAAAAAAACTTTTGGCCGGTTAATTTTTTTTTTATTTCCAAACAAGCGCTCTCTGTTGCAATAAAACAACACTCAACAACGAATGATATCGCTTGACAGTTAAATGTCAATGTATTATCGGCGAAAATTAAGTAGCTGCACAGTTTTTTGGTTAGTAAATTTCAATAATTAAATGTTAATTCTCATTCATATTCAGTTCATTTCATCGATTTTCTATTTTTGCATTCAACAATGTTGAATATTGATTGAAAATCACATTGAACATTTTGCATAAATTGTGAATATTTTAGGAATGTCAACGGCAACATTTGGTCAGAAACGTTTCAATCCCATACCGCCAGGTACTTACACCAAAAAAATATATGTTAAAAGTAAAATTCAAATAGATTAATTAATTTTGTTTTCGATGTTTTTTTATGCCGCCGGTCAGACAAGGGCAGCTTTCCATTGGATCATGAGAATTCATGCAAATTGCCGATGCTCCAGTATATGAAGTGTTTGCAATTGAATAGAGATGATAGTACGGTGTGTCGTGAACAAGCTAAAGAATATTTGGAATGTCGTATGAATAACAATTTGATGGCCAAAGAAGAATGGAAATCATTGGGTTTTGCCACTGATCCAAATCAAGAAAATTCAACGAAGAACGAACAAAAGTAGACAAAAAAACAATCAATTTGTTGTAAATAACCAAATAATTCGATTAAGAATAAGCAAATCTATTTAGCATTTATTATGGAGAGTAGAAATATTTTAATTGCATGCACCGGTAGTGTGGCCACCATCAAAATCGGCGAAATTATTGATAGATTGTTCAACGAGGCCGCTTTTAAATTCGAGGTAACTTAATGAAAAAATAAATAAATAAATAAGTTCCACTTGGTAAGAAAGCAATTTGATTCTCATTTCTCAGATCAAAGTAATTACAACGAAAAATGCAAAGCATTTCATCGACCGTAGTGAGCTACCTGTAAGTGTGCCAATTTTGTGTGATGAAGATGAATGGCAAATATGGTCGAAACGCGATGATCCCGTGTTACATATCGAACTTGGAAAATGGGCTGATGTAATGTTAATTGCACCGCTCGATGCAAATACATTAGCTAAAATGGCAACAGGCGTATGTGATAATTTACTGTTATGCACAACACGTGCATGGAATTTTGCAAAGCCATTATTTTTTTGTCCCGCAATGAATACACGAATGTGGGAACATCCAATAACTGAACAACAAATTGAAACGCTTAAACAATGGGGCCACATCGAAATAAAATGCATTGCAAAGCGTTTAATGTGCGGTGATACGGGTCTTGGAGCAATGGAAACACCAACAAATATTGTAAATACGGTGGTCGAATTTTTAAAAAGTCACAAATATGGGCAAAATCAATAAAAACATTTTCAATAAAGATAATTTAGTATTTTTTTTTGTTTTGAGAATTGACGCTCTTTTTCAGATGCTATTATTCGCCACACTTCAGTTGGCACACCAATATTACTCAATATTTCTCCATTGAGAAACTGAAACAATATCAAATTGCATATATTATTGTGCAAAATGTTATAAGATTACGGTGTTGAATGAAAAATATGCTGTTTATTAGAATGATGTGTGCGAATGATGTCAAACAACGGGAGTATGTAAAGTTATCTGCATTCTTTTACATTCACATGGTTATTTCTTGCCAAATAAATGTCATCACATATACAAATACAAATTTCTCACGCACACATTGATGCGACGATTCAGACGTAACGTAAGAATAGAAATTTACCTCCACAGTATCGCGTATGCCATGCACAAACACACACGCGCGCGCTCGTGCACTCGCCAGCATATTGAATGTTCATGTACGGCAAAGATACCAATACGAAATGACGACGACAGAATAAGAAACCCACTTATTTTTGTGAATCACTGATTTTATTTACCTCTGTCGATATTTTCGTGTACACACAGTGACGGAAAGGACAAGGTTTTTGAAAAAAAAAATGTTTGTTGCTTGGTTAAACAATTCCAGGCTATTACAGTTTTAAAACACTTGGCGTTCAATATCAAAAGTGTATTTTTTGAAAATTATTTGTTACTTTGAATCAGCAGCGGATGATTGTTTTTTTTTTGGCATGCATCCGAACGTTTTTCCATACATATTCTAAATTAGATTAATGAGAACAAGTGACTACAGCCAGAAAAAGAACGAAAACAATAGCCAAAATGATAATGTGACAGCAAAGTAATAGGTCATCGCAATGAGTAAAAAAAGTGTTGTCATAAAATCGCAATGTTTTATTTATTTATTGTTTTGTTCAGTACAGTGTCAGTGATGGTTTGCAAATAAACATATGGTTTCATTGGTACATTATATTTGTTGCTCATAATTGCTTATCTTCTGTTTCGAACACAAAGTGCGGAAACATTCATTTTAAACTTATTAGAAAAGGAGTTATCGATAGAAAATTTGATTTGTTTTTTCCATTAATTCGGTGTCATTTTGAATGTTTGTAATTTTTCGGGTGCCTGAATAAACGAAACATATTGAAAATTCGATCAATATTCATTGAAGTTGAGCATGCTAAAACGCGAAAATTACCTTATAACATTTTCAACAAAGTGAAAGTTGCACAAAGACACGACACGCAATCATGATTAATGCATTTAAGAAATTGACATCGCGACAAGATGCGCCATCGCCATCCGTGGCCAATGCAACGGGAAATGGTGCAAATGCAACATCGGCCCCACCAAATGCGTCATGTGTCCCGATGTCCGGTTCATTACAACGAAAATTTGCCAAAGGCGTTCAATACAACAGTAAGTTCATACTGCCCCTCCCGCAAAAAAAATTGTCCAATAAAAAAATATGTTCAATGAATGCATGGTCTTTGTTTGTTTTCAGTGAAAATAATAATTAAAGGTGATCGAAATGTGGGCAAATCATGTTTATTGGAGCGTTTACAGGGTCGCGGATTCATTGAAACGTACACACCGTCGGAGGAAATAAATGTGGCATCGATTCAATGGTCATTTAAAGCGACCGAAGATGTCGTCAAAGTTGAAGTATGGGATGTTGTGGATCGTGGTAAAGCAAGAGCACGACCAACTGGCTTGAAAATTACAACCGGTGCACCAATTCCCGAAACGCCAGCACTTGATGCTGAATTTTTAGATGTATACAAAGGAACGCATGGCGTTATTCTAATGATGGACATTACCAAAAATTGGACATTTGAATATGCATCGAAGGAACTTCCAAAAATTCCTGGTGACATTCCAGTTTTGTTATTGGGAAATCATTGTGACATGAGTCATCATCGGGTCATTACACCCGGTCAAGCGGACGGACTTATCGAAGGATTGGGAACGTACGTACTTTTAGACAAACACTTTGAAATGCAAATGCATTATTTATTTGACATTATTGACATTGTCTTTTTATAGGCGTTCGGCACAAGTATTATACGGTGAAAGTTCGATGCGAAATGGTTTTGGTCTTCGTTTATTGCATAAATTTTTCAGCCTACCGTTTCTTCAATTGCAACGCGAAACATTGACAGCACTATTAAATCGGAATAAACGTGACACCGAAGTGTGTAGTCTTGAATTAAATGAATTTCTTGTAAGTATATGATTTTCTGGCTCCGAGGAAGAGGAGTGGTGAGGAGGCACATGAGGAGGAGGAGAATTTCTCAATTGATACTCTTCAGTGGTCTCCTCTCTACTGGTGGTACTATCTATATATAGAATTAAAAAAAAACCTTTTCTAATTCCATCGATTTCGATTCGATTTTCAGAGTTCCCCTGATTCCGATTACAATACATTTTTGGAAAATTTAATGAATAAACGACGCCAGATAGCCGATTCAAATCCAAAGAATTTAACGCATTTTTCGGGTAATTCAATGAGTTCTTCCACTGTCACAAATAGCACACCGTCGCCAATCAATTCGAGTCACGTAAATCCAGAGTTGCGCGCAACAAAAAGTATTATTATTGGTGCTGGCCAACCGATCATTGTGCCTGGCATTCAGCGTGGCACATTGCCTGCTGACAGTCGAACGAGCACAAATCCAGTCATCAAATCAAATGTTATATCGCCCTTAGCAACCACCAAAGAGGTTACAATTGCAGCAGAGTCTCAATTGCGTGTTGACAATAAAGTAACAAGTGTCGAAGAATTTTGTCCGGATGGTGGTGCATTGGACAAAGGATTTTTGGATGATTTGCCGTCAATTGTATCAAACACAGATGCACGGCCAGTTGATCCAAATTGTGATTCAGATAGTGATAGCAATGATACGGGAAATCCGCTTGTCGCTAAATTCCACGATGATCCATTCGACGATGATGTTACAATTTCAAAAGGTTCATTAAAATCGCAAACATCGACTGTTGCAAAGTCAGAGCCCAAAGTCAATCCATTGGCCAAGAATAAGAATAAAGGTTTAATGCCACACGTTAATTTAGATTTGGCACTAACATCGAAACGACGTAGTTCAAATTCAAGTGATGAAATTGAGATTCCGCATATACTAAAAACCAAGTCAAACGATAACAACAGTCTGGACGGCCATTCGAATGAAGAATTTGATAGTTGGCTATCAGATACAAATCAACGGCGTTCACCAGAAGGTGGTGAGGATGAGGCGTCATTGCCAAGCATTGATAAGTCTATTCAAAATGCAACGGTAGCTGCCATCGTCTCTAGTGAAGCAGAGAAAATCGAACGACCGCATTTGGACGATGAGTGTGGCGACGGTGATGATGATGGCGAAAAACCGGCGAAAGAAAAACGTGACAAGAGCAAAAAGAAGAACAAGAAAGAGAAAAAGGATAAAAAGGATAAGGGCGACAAGGAGAAGAAAAAAAGTAGCAAATCCAAAAAATCAACGGCCGATGATTTACTATCCGGAGATCATCACAACCAATCCGAATTGAATGCAACCGATGATAGTCTATACGAAGCCTTGTAAATTGCTCTATTTCATTTGATGTTCTTGTATTTTTGGTTCTACATGTTTTTTTTTTTCATTGATGCAAACGACGTTGAATATATATATATAAATATATTGAAAATTTATCCAAATATAAAGAATCTATTTTACATCTACAAAATATTCAAAGAAAACAAATAATAAAATTTTAAAAGTAGACCGGTCCATAAATTTTTTGTTGTTTCAAGTATAGAATTTGCATTTATTAACATTAAGTAATTTACAAGAAATTCTGTTGTCACAAATGAATCATACATCATTGTTTAATTTTCAGTCGTTTTCATTTTATTTCAAATTAAATAGCAACTTTTCTCTAAGATCACTATTGTTCCTGTTATTCTCTATCGCTTCTGTTTTTCACTGCTATTAAAAGTTTTTCGGTTTTTTTTTCGATTTTAATTTCCATTTGGTTTATTTTTATCTCCTTATTTTACGAAATTGATCGAATACAGAGTGAATAAACTGAACAGTTAACCAATTCGTTTGCACTTAAATCTGAATTTTAATTACAATTTAACTGTACGTTTTTTTTCTTTCTATCATTATTCTATTCTTCTGTTTCACAAAGACTTATTACCGAGATAAAATGATTTCTTTCGTTTGAACAAAAAAAAAATATGTGTAATTAAATAAAGGTTAAATGAATTATAATGAATGTGAATGGGTGCGCGTCTTCTTCAGCTTCTTTTACTTGTTTTTCTTCCTCGCTTAAAGTAATGTTAATCGTCATTCTTCTAATTGCCGGATTAAGAAAATGTTCATATCATTATCCTTTGATGATTTGTGCAAACGCAGTCGATGTTCGTTGGCCAAATGCAATATCGAATAGAACGCAATCGATGGTGATAGATTTTCGGCCATCGTTTTTGTTAGCATATGCGGTAAAGTGTTGTAGATAATACCAAACGATGCCGCACCCTCTTTGTATTTCTCCTCATGTCGTAGATTTGTATGATTGAATGTTCGCGTTGACGTTTTTTCACATTGTTTTGTGATCGTATTCAAACACACCGTTTTCATTTGTTTCATATCAATAACTTTTGCACGTCGCGCAAATTGAATATCAATCTTTTGAACCTATGACAGAGAGAGTGAAGGAGGAGAAAGCAAGAAAAATACCATGAGAAAAAGAGAGATATAAAAAAAAATTGCAAATCGATCGTTTAGTCTATCTCTTTAGTGTTTGGAAATTTTCTGGGCGCTTACCAATTGTGGTGCTCCTTCATAGGTCTGGCTAATTTCATGTTCATGTTGATTATTTTGTGAATCGGGAATTTGTTCCAGCATAGGAATTTCAACATCAGGTACGTCGCTCATGTGATCCATCACATTGTCTTCTTTCATTACAATTTCATCATCGTCCGCCGGCTGTAAAATCAATCATAAGTTTATAAAATTGCAATCATCCAACAAGTAATCATTAAAAAAATGATTTAAAAAAATCGCGACATCACTTACCACATCGGTACAGTACGGCACACCATCATCAGCATTGTCAAAATCAAATGCATCATCGGCATCAATATCATTGGCTGGTGTTTCGCTGGGCTTTTTAACAATTGATATACTCGGACAATATACATATGAATTGAATAATGATCGATCGATATGCAAATCGGTGGGTAATTTTAATTTTTTCGAATCCCAACGTTTATAAACGTTGGTCTTTTTGAATTTTTGCCCGTGTCTTGATTCGGTTGATACAAAAATCTCATCATCACTGTCGTCAGCATCTTTTTCTGTAACGCTTTCAATGAATGTCGAAAATTTGATTGGTTCATTTTTCGGTCGATTTGCCTTGCGTTTGTGTGCAGTTGGTGCGACTGTACTGCCTTCGGTCGTTGCAATCGATTGTTGTTGACTCAATGTAAGTTTTCGTGATTTACGGAATTTCCAATATGAGGGTCCAGCCCAAAATTGATTGATATTATCAAGTGGCCGATATGAATATTCCAATTTTGTTGTGTCCGATGGTCGTAGATCTTCGATCATTTCGGCTTTTCGACGTAAACCTTTGCATGCTGTTATCGCGGCCCGATCGTCTTGTGTTAAATCATCGAAATCATTGCCAGCATCAAAGTCCATAACATCCATAATATAGTTATTGTCGGCTGGCATCGGTTCGACTTCAGCATCCATATCAAATGCATACTCCAAACATTGTGACATATTGAATGATGCGCTTGCCGCTTGTTGTTGTTGTTGTTGTTCCCTATTCGAAAATATCGAATATTTTTGTGTTAACATTTGTAACTCGATAGGTTTGAGTTTCAAAATACTTACTCATCATCATCATCATCATCCATCGGTGTGTTTGATATGACATAGCCTTTCATTTGTTGTCGCAGTGTGTGTCTTCTGTCGGTTTTTAATTTAATTGGTAATTCAATGTACTCATTATCGTTAATATCGTAATTATCATTTTCATTGAATGTGATTTGTTCGTATAATTTACTATCCCAAAATTGATCATCCATGGTAAGTTTTAAATCGGAGAATTTCGTTTGCAATAGATTCAATAGTAGTTTATTTGAACTTGATGTTTCGCCCATAATTGAATTCAATTGAAAACCCAACGAGTCGGGCATTTGAATCATCTCAAGACGCGCATTCAGCGTACCTTTATTGGTGGTGACGGTGCTGACCTGTTTGCGTGTCCGTTTTTTCTTCACCGGAATCTTTGGTTGATCAATATTCTCAGCGGTTGCATCATTCTGATCGACATCATCATCATCATTGGCCGATGGTAAATTACCTATAAACAAATCAATTTCATTTAGTTTTTTCAACTAAAAATTTGGATCGACTGTGTGGTATATACTTTACGTACTTTTCATGCGCCCCAAACCCGATGACATTCGTACAATATCCGAATGCACTGAATCGACACGTAGTCCATAGATTTTGGTCGTTGCCTCCAATGAACTGCCAACAATTTGAAAATTTTTCAGTGTTTTATGATGGCTTCCCAGTAAATTCGCCAAATTATCAATCAACGTCAACGTCCACGCATTCTTCTGGCAGATTTTCTGAAATAAACACACACACAACAAAATAATGATGAACAAAGCAATTCGATTGTGTTTACATTTTTCGATTCATAAATAAATGATCATGTTTATCTAACGATGTATTGTAAATGCTTACATTATCATGATAAATCTTCAAACAATCTTGAAGACCTTGTTGTTCTTCAATCAAACTGTCGCTACTAAGCGTTGTATTGGCCGCTGTTTTTCCGAATGTTCTACGTCGATGTGCTCGTTCAGCTTCATCGTCATTTTGCTATTTGGAACGAAATTAACATATACAAACTCATTTCACAAAATTTAATCGCAAAATGTGCGATTCACAAATATATAAACAGAAAATGCAAATCAAAGTATGCCGAATTTAAAATAACATTCAAAATCAAAAATTGGTATGGTGATAGTAACCTCAATCGTTGGTCCATTCATTTTGTGTAATTTATGCGGAAAAAAAAAATGCTGCGTGTTTTATTGTTTTCTCTTCAAAACAATAGGAATTCTATGTTGTCAAATTAAATTTGGTGCAATTTAATGATTTGACAAAAAAACGGCTCGATAACACTGTTCCATCATTTATGTAGCGTGTGTTTTTTGTGATGATTGTTTATTTTCTTTTCTTTTTTGTTCACATAAAAATATAGTTGCTTTGATCGTGTTTTCCTTTAAAAGTCGACTAAAAGCTTATGTACAAATACGTTCACGGATAATTATTTACAAATCAACAACGAAAGTGCGATGAATGAAGAAGTGGGGAAAAAATAATTTTGTTGCAAGGAGGAAAAAAAGGCCAAAATTGGTATTTCGAATGGATTTTGTTCGCGCGAAATAAATCAATTTCTCACGAACATGCAACAATTCTTCTCATATAAATTTCACAACATTTCGCCCGGAAAATATCACTTTGTTTCACTGGTGTGTGTGTGTGTTTTTTTTGTGTTAAATTAAAACCAACGAAAAAAAAGAAATTGGTTCGGAATATTTTCTGAATATGATCGAAGACGTAAAGAAATAAGAGAAAAATAAATAACAATAACTAATTTCATGTGTGCGTTTCAATTCGCAACACATCAAAACACAACTTTACATCACACACTTTGTGTATCACGGTACGTCAAAAAATTGTCTGAAGTTTTGAATAATTTTTTTTTTTTTGCTTTTTCCCTGAAAACAATACGCGTATAGAGTGTGTATTGGACAGTGAATGGTGAGAGAGAACGGCAACGATGATGGTTTAAGTTAACGCGCAAACATACACAAAATACGCGCAAACACTATTCGGATGAGAGAACAAAAATGGTGACCGATTGCGCGCAGCCATTTGAATTGTATGTTTCATTCTATAGCCACATATATACTGAGATTGCATACACACGCACACAGATACATGCACTCTCACACACACACACACGCATCGAACGGAGTGACATACAACGATTGTTTGATGCATACACATAAATGTCAAACTTCTCTTTTTTTTTTTGAATATGATTCAAACGGTTTTTTGGGCCGTCAATTGGAAAAAAACAATTGCAATGTTTTCATGGATTTTTTGTTTTTGTTTTCATTTGAAGTGACAATTTTGTTTTTGTTGTTTTGATCAATTGAAAAAAAAAACCAAAGCATACAAGTTGATGGCGTAAATATTTCAGGCGAAGAAAAAAAAGGATGAACACAAAAACCGTAATAATTTACCATATATCCTGTGTTGCTTAAATTTCGGAGTATTGATCGGCGAACGGGAGTATCTTCGGCATCATTTGGTGCTGTCATTTTTTCCAATGTTTCGCTTTCAATTGTTCTAACAATTTTTTTTTAAATCTTTTTATAAAATTCGCTTAAAAATCTTAATTGAAAACACAATTCGGTACCGACACCAATTATTGAAATTGTTTTTTAACACTTCTTCTTCTTGCTGTAAACAAATACTTGCAAAGCGATATGAATGCGCGTTGTCTTTACCGAAAACCGTTGACAGACCAATATACATATTAGAACGCTAGTTAAATATGACACGTACTTAATAGCATCATTGAGTACTCGGTTGAGTTGAAATCTGCAACCAACTTCAGACGCTTCATATATATTGTCTTTAAGGTCAATGTTTTATTAAAAAATTATGAAATTTTACATTTAAATTATGATTTAGTTGCAAAAAAAATAAACATTTAATCTTTTTCATTGATGAAAAGGCTTCATGTCCCTTATACTGAGTCCATTTTTAAGAAAAATCGACAGATTACAACTATAAATTGAGTATAGCGCCAAAACTGACATTTCTCTCACAATTAGAATTTGATTTGTTATTGGTAACAATAATATTGGACAAGACACATTTCGTATTGATGAAAATAAAGAGCCAGACACCAACTGTTCAACTATTAAAAACTCAAACATTCATATTTTCTTCCAAATTCAATTGAATTGTAATAAAAAAAATCGTCTGCATGCAGGGAGACATTGCCAGGTTGGTCATTAGGGCTTTGGTGAATGGATCTTCAACCTAACCTCCGAATTTTGAATAAAAAAATTTCAGATTCATTTTCCGTTTGATTTTACCATTCGAATCAACATGTTAAAATTGCTGCAAAATTCAGCACGGACCAAATCCGTGATACCGTTCATTTCCACACAAAATGCACAATTTTCAAGTGATGATAAGCGTAGCCGACGTGATCGGCTCTTACTTTTGCGGGCTGCACAAAAAAAATTGTATGGAAGTGTTGTACGCGACGTCTCCGTAATTCCCCAAGGAACAATAAGAAATATAAATTACCAAAACCAAGTACGTTCTGACCACGAAGAACCATCACCATTTGAAATGCCAATTGTAAAAGAAAAAGTGCCAAATGTAAAATTAGTTGATAAGCAAATGACCAATGAACTTCTTTGGTTGTCACAAACTTCAAATGTTAAAATACTTAAAATGAAAAGTTCAAGAGGCAATTCAACGAAAGCAGAAAATTTTTCGAGTGATTATGATGATTCTGATGAATCACGGCCAAAAATGACGGCCAACTTAGACAAGTCAAGTGGACAAAGTGCGACCGGTGGAATTTTAACGGCAAAAGGTTTAATCCAACAATTGGTGACGTCAACACAAAGCAACGACAACAAGCATCAATCGCAACCGATTCCATTCAACGATAGTACATTAAAATCGATTGTAAGTTATCCGTTAATTTGTGAAAAAATGTCACATAGTCAAGTGCACAAGGTGCTCGACGATAAATCGATACCTATACCATCGATAAGTAAAGTATTACAGGCTACAATGCCCGAATCGGCACGAATCGCACTGCGAAAATGGAAATTAAGTAAAATTGCCGAACTTGGACTGGATGGATTTAAACAGTATGAACAACAAACATTAGGAATAGGAAAAGACTTTCATTTGGCCATTGAGAAATTTTTAATTAGTGGCACTGTGCCGATGCCCGATTCACACCTCATCAAATTATGGCAAAGCATTGACAACAGTTTGAATGAACTCCAACCAAAACCGGTACTTTTGGAACAACCAATCATTCATGCCGAACTCAAATACAAAGGAATCATCGATAACGTATCGATTGTTCGGTAAGACATTTTGAATTTATGGTTGAAGAAATTGAAACAAAAAAGTTTTCTTTTTTCATCATTTCAGCAACGAATTGTGTGCCTTTGAATGGAAAACGTCGGAAAAATCAAAGCCAAGAATAACATCAACATACGATGCACCAGTTCAGTTATGTGCATATTTGGGAGCATTGAACGCTGATCCACGGTATGATATGACCGTTAAAAATGGTCGTGTTGTGGTTGCATATAAAAATGGTGATACAGCGAATGTCTTCAATTTATCTGAAGCTGATTTACGAAAATATTGGTTACAGTGGTTGCAACGACTTCAGGAATATTGGATTCGAGTGAAAGATGGTACTCTACCAGATCCCATTTGAATCTTTAGTCACATATCGGATGTTTATCCACGGTTTTACACAAAAATCAGAAAAAAAAAACAAATATATTGAACGCTGTTAGGAAGCAAGTGACCCTTATTGAATCTGGAATCCCATAGGGCTTAAATGGATAAGTATAAATGAAAAAAAAAAAACGATTTATTGATAATAAAAACATTTTTTGTGACTCTTCTCATCGCAACATGATATGACACTGTTGAATGAAATTCTCTTGGATGAAAAAAATAAAAATTGAATAGAAAGACGTAATACTGGTTGTATCATGATTTATTTACATGTTAATTGAATTTGGTACAAACGAGGTCAACAGAAAATTAATATAAAACAATTCGTGTTTTGTTTTTCATTATATTTTATGTTCAATTTTTTTCTGTATGAATTCCATGTGAGAATGTTTTGGTGTAGAGAAATCTGCGTTATCGATCTGCATTATCGTATTTTGAATACAACATCACTACGTTTTCTCCTTCTGAAAACTGTTTTTTTTTAAATCATTTTTTTTTTCTTGTACATTTTTTGTCGCTGAAATTTGTTCTTGTTTTTCTTTTCGAATGTTAATGAACAAAATCGTTTCAATAAACAATCAAAAAAAAAATAATTTTTTTAAAAACCCTCATGAAAATGAATTTAATTTAAATAAGGAAAATCAAATGCATAATTGTTTCAATATTAACGCTAATATCTTTTTAGTTTATACATTACATTTAATATGCGTGCTTATTGTTTTTTTTTTTGTTATAACATTGAATACAATACAATACAATAATAATTGGTTGCAATTTTTCTCTCCTCATTTCTCTTTGTTTCACAGTTTTTAGTGGACGAATTTACATAAAATGCTTTTTTTTAAACGTTGCGTCGATTTTTCTCTTTCTTTTGTAATTTCACATTAATCAATTGAACAAAAAAAAAAATGTCATCAAAAAAATGTTTCCATTCATTTCCTTGCACTAATTTTCACGATAATATTGAATGATTTGCTCTTCATGTTTGGTCATTGTCCATTTCCATTACATCGCGACAATTGTTGTTCATAATTTAATATGAATTGCTTGATTCGTTATACAAAAAGAAAGAAACGAAAAAAAAATAGTTGTATGGTTTGCTCAATTAAATTCAGCATTTGGACAAAAACCATTATGGACTTAAATAGAACGAGAATAATTCTAATCGTCAATGTTGGTGCTACGTGCATGTGTGGCTGTCTTTGTGCACATTTTGTACGATTATATTACATCAAATAGAATTTGAGTCGAGTGTATATTTCTGAATGATTTATTTGTGGTTTTTTTTTTATTTAATTCGTAGCAATTTCACATTGTATTTATGTAAATGTAAATGAGTTACTTTTTTCTTCTTCAATAATATAATAATACACATTGATTTTATTTATCTATGGCTTCTTTTTTTAATGGCTATTAATTGAAGAACAGAATTTTCCTTTCATGTAAGTGTATATATGTGTGTGTATGTCGAAACTTCAGTCCAGCTGAAGTCCATTTGATTGCACCAATTCACGTCGTTCCCATTTGTTTGTAGAAAAATGTCGATCCACATTATAAAGAGTGTGTTTTTTTTTCGACGGTCAATTGTAAAAAAAAGAAGAAGAAGAAGAGTATGGTTGGTCGATGGATGGTGTGATAAGGATGAAGATAGGAAGGTATTGTGTATGGTAGCCCATTTTTCATGTTTTTTTCAGTATTTAGTTTTCATCTTCACTTGTACAATAATTATAATCCACATTTTAAAAAGACTTCAGTTTGCACTTAACATTGGCCGTTTAACAAGTCGGCGGTCGCTGATGACTTAGGCTGGAACGCTCTCAATGATTCATAAATGTTTGGCTTTTAATAGGGCCGATTTTGAAATTTGTAAACTCTCAGATTTTTTGATTTTGAGAGAGTCCAGATGGGGCTACACAATAAAGTGAGTGTGTGTGAGAGAGGAAGTTTGTGATATAATAACAAAGTATAAATCTATTTGGACCGTTATTAGGTTTTTGTTGTTGTTTAGATTGAGATTAGAAAACTAATAGTGCATTAAATCGATTCTAATATAGATGCTCCTGAGCCACGTTTTTTTTCTACGTTAAAATTAAGAATAATTCTCAGTGTTTTTTTTTTTAATTTCTATAACATGAAACAACTACACAATGTATATTCTATTTCTGTTTGGATTTTGTTGAACATAATTTTCTCCGTTTGCATTTTGCATAAATGGTTAGAATGTTGTATGTGGTTTTAAAAATAACCATTCAAAATGAATTGTGTATTTGTTTGTTTGTTTTTTTTTCTTCTTCTGTTTCATTTTTCTTCTATATGTTATTATTATATGCAAATGCTGGATGACGGTTTTGATTTCGGCATTGTGAAACCCTTGAAATGCATATTCTTATCTATTTGAGCGGTAAGTGTGTGATTTTAAAAATGATTTCATTCAATTGCAACTGAATCGGTTCACTGAATGAATTAAAATATTTTCATTTTCTCTTTCGATATAAAATGCCATTTTGCAATAATCAACAATGGATTTTGTGCGCTGTATTATGATTACATCACCATAAACTATGGCTCTAAAAATAAGAAGAAGAGAAAAAAATAAGAAAAAAACAGTCACAAAACAAATCTTCTTCGATAACAAAAGAAAAATACATAAAATTAATAAAAAAAAAAATGTGAAATAAATTTAACCACTCACTGTTCGCCAACACAAACAATTACCACATAGAAAAGCCATTAAACACACATTTACTATAACTATTTTGGTTGCGTCTTCTTTTCTTCATATTTTTTTTTTTTAAATTCAAGTTCTTTTGTGATTGCGTCTATAAAACAGTGCAATCGCATAAAGTTACCAACATCAAGATGCACGCAGCTGATAAATTGCGTACAAAACAGCAGCAAAAAAGAGATGACGTTAACATCATACATGTATGGTTTGTTTGGTTAAATTACTGTTACATCCATTGAATATATTGTATATTTCATTTTATCGACTTTGAAAGTGAGCCGTGTGCTGCACCATCAAGTTGTTTTTTTAAATTTATAGTCGCTGTATTTGCCATTTTTCTTGTTTGCAATTACGGATTTATGATGCAAGTTTTGTGTTTACTTTCTTCAATCTTTTTCTAGTCATTGTCATGCTGTACAGACAGAAAAAAATAAAAATGAATGAATGAACGGACGCAAGTCGAAAAATCGCGCATTTTGCATCAATATGCAATTCAGAATATCGAATACACTTGCAATGTATACATAACTTGTTTTAATACATTTTACTCAAAAACTTTCTTTATCAATGCCATATTGTTAAAGTGTACAGTTTGTGCATTTTTATTCGTGTGTTTTTCTTTTTACTCTGCAAAATGTATAACATTTTTATGTCTTTGACTGTCACTTTTTATAGCTATTCTATTATGTTGATGAAATAGGGTCGGGATTTGTGTATAAGAACAGTTTTTTTTTGGTAATTCGATTTAAGAGCAGGTCCAAACAGGCTCTTAAAGGTATGAGCCAGCTCGTGAGTATATTTTGTAATAAAAAAAAAACTATCGCTGATACTCGAGTTTGTTTGGCCACATTCCGAGTCAATTGGCCTACCGCAGCCAATTCTAGTCGTCGCTATTTCATGAATTTTTGTCCCTTCAATAAAAATGTGCCGGAAAATGTCGTTTTTCGAGCAGTTTTGTGCAAAATAACTGTTTACTCATTGTGGGAGCAAAGCAAAAGAGCAAGGATTCGTACTGAAGTACTTTCAGCCAGCTGAAATCCAGCTGTGTTCAGCCACTAGTTTTACGAGAGTTTTGAAAGTAAATGAAAAATTACTTATTAAATATATGTTTTTCCTTTGTATTCGTCTCTTTCACGATCGCACAAATAGTGGCCAAATTAGATATTTCATATATGGGTGGTCAGTACAAAGTCTAGTAAAATGAGGAGAATTCGTTCGAATGGTTTTGAATTCATAAGCTTTTATGGTACCTTTTTCAAAAAAGAAAGTTATTATTTATTTTTCCTTTTTCTACAATTTTATCTGACCTGCAATTCTAATTATCGAAGTTTTTTAACCATCAGCCAATTGATAATGGAATTATTGTGGTTTTCCCATTTATTTAGACCTTTTTTTCTGTCAAATCTATCAATATTGCTCAATGGCAAAGTGTTTCGGGGCAGGACATAGAGGGGGTGGAGAAGGGTTAATAAATGCATTCAAATAGAAATGTTTTGTTTTCCTTCATTTTCAATTAAATCCAAATAGAATCAATTTTTTTATTTTTTATTTTGGTTATGATTTTTATTATAAACTGTGTAACGCACACATTTTGAATCACGGTTCTTTGGTTTAGTTTAAGTTTGCATTAATATGTATGTTTTTAAATATCTATATAAATGTGTTTTTTTATGGCCAAAATGAATGGCGAATAATGTCACCATTGATTCAATGATGCCATTCGTTCTTTTTTTTAATCCAAAACTATTTACTGATGAATCAATCATATTTGTTTCACTTGTTTGTGCTGTGTTTTTTTTTGTCAAGGTACATTTTTATTTTGAAACTGAGATGCTTAATCAAACGAAACAAAAGAGAAAAAAAAACATATTACGTATTTTACGTGGCAATCTCATTGTGAAACATTGCCGAAACATTGAAATAGATTAATAGATACATAAATATACATATATATATGTTTGCTGTAACTGGAAAAATGGTAAACTTTGATATTGTTCCCCGTTTAAATAGCGTGTCTGTGACAATCTGCCTATCCACAAAACTGGAAAATATTATTTCTCTATTTGACACAATCTACTATTCATAAAATATAATTATATGTGTTTTATTGTTGTTGTTTGCAATTTCATCAAATGCAATGCAAACCATTGTATTGTATTTGTGTTCGACACAGAAATAAATAAAAAGAAACTGAAATGGTTATCAAATTTTGAATTGAACACACGCTTGTGGGCAAAAGTGTCATTTTCCTTTAAAGTGTGAATGGTGTTGTCTTAAATGCTAAATGCGTACATATAATTCTGCCAAAAGCGATCGACAAAAACATCGGATGTAGTGCATCTGATTTTAAATTGTGTTGTGCTATCAGATGAATTTCCGACGAGAAAATAGTACAAGAACTAAGCGAGACGACCACAAGAATGTCGTCACGGACTACATAAAGTTTAAAGCGCTAAAAAAGGATGTTTGCGAATTAATAGATAAGCGTTTTGCACGTGGAACAGACAATGCAAATGCAATTCAAATGCCAAATTAAGAGAAACAGTTGTTTTTTTTTTATATATATAGTTCACACATTCTAAAATTGAAATTTAAATGACCAACACCAATTATTCACCCATCGAAAGCGCATTTTATGCGAAAACAACTTACATTTAAGAGTTTTGTTTTATTTTACATTCATACCGAATTTGTCGCAATTGGAATCTAAATTGAAATGGTTGTGGTTGCTGTTGTTTCGGTTATTTACACAAACGATACAGATGTCAAAATTTCTTCTTTGTTTTCATTTTCTTGTTAATTTAAGTGCAAAACGAATAGCTGTTGCTATTGTTGTATGATGTATTTGTTTTGTCAATATTAATACCATTACCGTTATAAGATGCGCGCGCGCGCGTCGCGTGAATGTATTTGTATCGAAAATTGAGAGCGACCTTTCGAACCGGTTTCGATGAATTAGTTTTAATTTGACTATTTTCACGAGTTTGCATTTGCCGAGGTGGAATTACTATTGTTGTTGACAGCAGCTGTTGAATTCTTTGAATTGGCACTTTCGAACCCTGTGATTAGTGTTTCTATAATAAATTTAATAGTTAGTTTATAAATTCCTTCTACATTCTCCGTGTATCGATCGCCCAATGTATCTTCCACAGCCGATAGAAATGGTTTCTCAATTTTCTGTCAAAAAGAGAAAAAAAGAACAAGAAGAAGAAAAAAGAGAGAGAGAAGAAGAAAAATGGAAGGAAATGAATGGTATTGAACGAGCAAAAATTGGTTTTCTTTGTAAATTTTTGCAATCTAAAAATACCTATCGCTTGAAAATTGAAAAGACAATATATACATTTCTGATCTATCTCATTTCGGTCATTTATGTGGTATTGTTTTCCTTTGAAAATAAAAAAAAGAAACTACTTACCCAAAAATATTCGGGTCTGAATTCAGGAATACGGGTATGTGATGCGCCCACTTGATGCAGAAAATCAAAGAATGCGTCAAGCTCATCAAGACCACGTATGCCTTCGTCAAGTGTTTCCATCACTTTATTTGCATGTTCAGCCAATTCTTCGGACGATGCTTGTTGTTCTTTGGTTTTAAGCTCTCGAAATTTATTGAATAGACCCAAAAGCTCACCATGATCTTCAAATAGCCTAAAGAATAATTATTGTTTGTGTCATTTATTTTATGTGATGTCTGTCAGTTTGCATTTAATCCAGTTGGTCCTCCGATTATTCGAATCAGTGCAACGTTTTTAGCCATTTCTTTTTAAATGTCTTCTATTTAAATTTTTTCAACTATTCCTTCCGCTAGAGTATCCTTCCGCATTTTTTATTTATTTTTTAAACAACTGGAATATTTAAACTAACGGAATATGATGGAGCAATGGAATTCGAATTAACGGAATCCAACTGTACATGCAAATGACTAAGAATGAGTGTGAAAATTGACAAATAAATGTTAAAGTGTAACACTTTCAAATGGTGATAGCTACATATTCGATTAAAAGGAATATAGATTTTCTTTGAATCCCATTTTCTGGCACCTTCCATTCTCATTCTTGTGTATGCACTTCCCAGTGCGCTACAAGAGCAAGCTAGCAAAATGTGTATGCATAAATTCGTGCCGATGATAAAATTATTATATTATTATAGAAATGATGTTGTATAACGTTGACCCATTTATGCAAATTTATGTTTTGATAAACCCACAGATTGGACAAAAACTTAATTGAATTAGGTGATGAAAATTATGGAAAAGAAAATTGTGTGAAGCATTAAAGAAGCAGATACGTTTAGCTATCCCCATTGAGTGTGCTCTATTGAGGGAGCAATGAATATTATCACACAAACACACAGTCATTTTTATTGTAACTTACTTAATGAACATATTAATTCCGGTCGGTTGCATAGCGCGTGATATCCCTTTCCATGATGCAATCATTGTATATTTTTGGCGAGCTGTGAGCGGTAAACGAGGATCTGGTGCTGATGGTGGCGGTGGTTCAATGGGGCTGGTTGCATTCACATCATCTGACTTTGTGCTCGACGCCAATTTACCTAGTTCACAACCCATTTTTTGTGTGTCGTCGTTTGTTTATTTTGTTTATTTTTTTATCTTCTTCTTCCTATTCTTTTAAACAGTATTTTCCCTTTCGCTTGGAAACTTTTGCAAACGATTTGATAATATGCAATTTGACAGATAACTTTGTCGGTTATTGTCTTCTTCTTTTCTTCTCGGTTTACAGCTTCCTCTCTGTTCACGTTATCGTCGTCGAACGTACGAAAATCAACTCAAATCGGTACTAGTCTGTGTAAATATACTATATCGAGTTAATACTTGTAAATTGTCTGCAAATTTACACTGTATGTGCAAGTCAAATACAATTTTCGAGATTTAATGTTTACTTTTCGCTTTCTCGGTTCGTTTCACGGTCACTGTAACAATTTGTGTTATATTTTTTGTTTTATCTATTTCTCACACTCTCTCTATATTTGATCCAAGTTCAAGTCTCTCTCAATCGCTCGCACTATACATACACACAGAGAGAGAAAAAGCGTGTGAGAGAGACAAAGAGCTCGCGCGACACTTTGAAATGTTTCAGTAAACACAGCGCATCCGTTAATAAATGTGTATTTATATGCCACTTATACACGAGATTCAGCGTTTTTGGAAGATTTTCTATTAAATAACCGAATGCCGTTGTAAATGTGATTGCAGAAATGTACACCATGTGCATTTGATTTAATTCGTATTTTCTTCCTTTGGTTTTGTATTTTTTCTACTGTTCCGTTGCTGCCGATTGCAATTACGTGTTTCGTTTCTCAAATTATCATTACGTTTCGTGCTCGGCTGACTCTCCAGTTTTACTCAGATTATCAATTTCGCGAGAAAATAAAAAGTGTTCTGCACGCGAGTACCTGTGGGTGGTAAAATAATATATCTATATTTATTTTTTTCTATTTCAACAAATTAGCCGAAACTACTCAAGTTTTTGATTAAATTTTGTAATTTCTTGCAAGTAATTAATTGAATTTATGAAGCGTCAAACTATTTCAGAAGCGATAGAACTAAGTGGAAGGCAATATTAGCCGGGATATATCGTTGAGCGAGCAAGTTATGTAATAGTTTTTATTACAAAAAAAATTTGTATATAGATAGATATAAGAGCAAACGGTGACGGCAACGATGGCGACAACGGTGAGATGCTATCAAACAGATGTCTAGCATCATGAGAAAACTTGATTACGCGCGCTCTCTTGCCGTGCCGAAAAATTCGTCCCCGTTGCTCTGAGCAAAAAATATACACCAAAAAATTGCGCGCACACACACACATGTAAAATGACATTTTTCTCGCTGTTTTATCTCAAACGCTGCTGAGTGACGAAAAAAAACACGCACGCACACACAAGAATCATGAAAAACGCTCGAAAAATTTATTTCATTTTTTTTTACGCTGTGTGAAAAATAATTGAATTATTTTTGGAATGGCAATTTTCTTTAAAATCTTATAGCAACAAATGTTGTGTATATTGCGAACTCACTGTGAGCAAACGAAGGAACGGAGCGGAGTAGCCGGGAATAAGAAAAGAAGAAATGAAACACAAAATTAATTTGATAATAGCTTATTGAAGTTCAAAGAAATAAATTAAATTTAATATTGAAAAAAAAAACCAGAAGAAAAATGGAAAAATACACACACACCCACTCAAAGTGAGGGAAAGGCCAACAGAATATTGGACGACGATGGAGAAGAGTAAAACACCAAAACAGTACAAAACAGACACAAAAGACCAAATAACCCAACGTTTAATACACTTTGTCAAGCACGCTACAAAGTACGGTGAACGACTATACGACAGAGAACAAAAAAAAAATGCTATCAACGTGAAACAATGATCAAAGAAATTTCAAATATGCAAACGCATTGGCGAAACAGAAAAAAACGAATTATGAATATTATATGTATACGATATATCTATATAAAATAAAATAAACTGAATAGAAATAACACTTTGTGATGCAGATAGAAACCATAATGTGAATGAGAACAGATGAAAGTAAACACCAACAACACAAAAGCATTTAAAAGAAAGATGCGAGAAAAATATAACTGTGTGTATATCTAACGATATAGTGATGAAAATGAGCACGCTTGTTTGTGCTATGTTCTATCTTTGATATCAATGTATTGCATAATCATATTTTCTAACGCCAAACGCGGTTTCCACGTACAATAAGTAATCAAAAAGTTTTTTCTTTACTCTGCTGTTTTGTTCATTCTTTCACATTTTTTTTTCTATCTCTCTTTCACCGTTTCTCTATCGTACTCAAACAATTGTGTGAGTGCCAAGCAATTTCCCGTAAATTGAATACTAATTTCGTACGGTGTTATTTGCACAATATGAGAGATACTTTTCGGTTTTTTGTTTCGGGCTCGATTTTCGTTATTTTAATTCCCATGAAACGTTTCGTTGTTGTTGTTGTTTTGCCACTTCTTCACTTTTATCATATTTGTTGGACTACATGTTGTTTTAAATTTTTCATTTCATTAACATAGCACAAAATATAGGTGCAAATGGAATGCTATACTTATATTGATGTTGTTACTGCTGCTGCTACTACTACTATTGTTGCTTGTGCACAAAAAAAGCGTCAAATTGAAATCGCTACATTTGTTTCGCTGACACGAACCATTTATCACCATTCGCAATAAAAATTTAATTTTTTATGAGTTTCATTAATTTTCGGGAACTTTTTTTTTGTTTATTATTGTTGGCATCTTCTTTATTTGAAGTGTCGTTTTGTTGTGTGTCACACTGTACAAGCGTTGACATGTGTGTTGGAATATAAAAAAAATGGCATCACAAGTTCATTTAAATCACTCAATTTCGACGGTAGAATATTACATTTACATTTCATACGAAAAAAAGCTTAGCGATATGAATATACTGAACGAAAGAAATAGACAAATAAACACAGACATAGACAATGCCAGACAGGAAGGGGGAGGGGAGAGTAAAGTTTCCGTGCCATTTTGCACGGTAATATATACATCATTATCTGCATGAAAATGCACAAAAATCGCTTTGCATGCAACACATTTTTTTCATCGCATTTCTATATGTGTTTATTCTTCGCATTGCATCAGACACAAAAGTATTTATTTTGTGCTTATGTTGGGTTCTTCTAAAATGTTTTTCTCCACACTAAAAATGACTTGTTTTATTCATGAATTTTACAAAAGAATCCATCTTAAAATTAGACATGCAGAGAGAGAGACGGAACAAAAGAGAGAGAGAGAGAGAGAGAGAGAGAGAGGGAGGTAGAAAAAATGTCAACACACAAAATCGAGACTGATTTTAAAAGTATTTGAAGCATTTTTCCAGTTCATGCTTTGGAATTGAAAGAGATAAGAAAATCGAAAATAGACCCAGATAAAAAAATGGATACCTTTATTCAGTTCTTTGTGTCTCTTATATTTCAGCAGTTTTCGGTGCGCGTCTTCGTTTTCGTTCTATCTCTGTGTGCCATGCATACTGCCTCCGGGGAACGAATGAATATATATATATATTTTTTGTGTGGAATTTAGAACAAATGTCTTAAAGAAAACATAATCCATTCACTTTGCTGCACAGATGGTTCGTGATTTTGAATAAATATGCACACGTATCTTGTCCCTCATGAAACTTGGATGAGATTTCATTTATGCGGGGTTAAGTTCACGCTCACACCAAAGCGAACGCATGCAAATACACAATGTGTAAGTTGACGCTTCATGGAAATGTTTTAAATTCCGTATGGAAAACAAATCTTTGGAATATAATGTCTGAATTGTCTTGTGACTCCATTGGGCTATCCTCAATATGTTGCGTTACGTCTTTTTTTGTCTTTCATCTTCATTTTTTTTGTGTGTGTAGCAAATAAAAGCATTGGACCCGTCAAAATATCTAAATAAAAGCGATGATAATGTAGATAGGAGCTGTTTTGGTTATGAAAAATAACGGTCGAAAATGTGCGACTTGTCGTCACTGTGTATAAGCATTGCAATAAATTTTAACAGTTTAATATGTGAATTGTACCGGTTGGTTTTTGTGGGTTTTCAAAATTTATTGCTTTTTGTATATGGCAATCGAGAGACGATCGTATGCGGCTTGTCCCAATAGAAAAGTGTGTGCGACGGACGCCGGTGATGGAACCAACAATGGTATGGCTATCAAAATAAAATGCCCCTAAGACAATAACATTTTTCTTTTCCCTCTCTCTCTCTCTCTCTCTCTCTCTCTCTTCCGACGCAATACAAACACAAAAATTGAGGTCGCAATTTTTAATTGATTCACCCCCAAATGTTTTGTTCGCATTACACTTGTGAAAGATACCAACAAGTCGTCGATATAATAAAAAAAAGAGTGACGACGATAGCGAAGAAGATGGGGAAAAATGCAAAACTTTGTAAAAACAATGTATTTTATCATCATATCTCGAAAGGGTATAAAAATCAATTGTCCCATTTTAAAAGGGAGCAAAACGAGTTCAGACGACCAAACATAAAAGTTCTATGGAAAAATATGATTATTATTATTTTTTAAAGCACTAAATTACAAGGGAAAATATTGACTCTGGATCCCACTTTGACCAATTTATGATCATTTTGATGGTGTCTCATTTTCCATTTCGCGTAACTTGCGAGACACCAGCACCAGCAGCTAGTAGCCAGCAGTTTATATCTTAAATCGCATTAGGTCGAGATGGCAACTCGGTCAAATGATATTATACGTGTGGTTTCTTTTCAATCGTTTTATTTATTTTTTGTTTCTTTATCTGTATGCATGAAAGAGTCTCAATATAAATTGAATTGAAATTGTGTCTTTACAGTTGTTTCTTCAGAAACAATATGCAGATTTACCAGAGTGTGATTATTTTGGGTTCAGTTGGTTGGTTTGTAAATTATTTTGAAAGTTATACCATCCGAACTTCAAACAGAATAACATCAAGATGAAGAAAACGACAACAACAAACAACAACTGTATCCATAGAAAAGAGAGAAATTTTCATTTTCTGTGTCAACAATAATTTTGTATTTAATACATTTCTGTGGTCATATCTAGTGAAGAAATGCGCATGTGCATTATTGAAGTACATATTTGCTTTATGCCCTTAATGATTTCGGCCACAGAAAATAAATATCATAGTGGTTGCGTAGCGAATACATATTTTATGTATGTATAAATAAACTTGGCTTAACGAACATACATATATGCGTATCAAATGCGACTTTGCTATTATCGACGGGAATTAAGTGGCAAAGCACACACTCCTTCTCTCTCACAAACACACAAAGAGCATTATTCATTTGCGTACGGCCGCTGTAGCAAAATGTTAAATGGAATGTTTACCTCCCATTCCCCCTTTCTCCGGTCCGACTTTATTCTTCATTGGTTCAAACAAAGTTGTTGGCCTTTTGCATTTGACCTGATCTGAATGCTGTTGGCCTTTTTCCACATTCTCTCATTGCTTTTCCTCCTTTTCTATTCTCTCTCTCTCTTCTCATACAAATTTATTTGAATTTTGAAATATAAAAATACAAATGTTTTATTCAAATGCAACCGTTACGTTTTCACTCATATTTATCATAGTTTGGCTAAACGGCCATTTAATTCATTTTTCAAATGTCAAAATAAACATTGTTTACATTTGCACAATGAATGGTCGCGTGGAAAATGGTGCCTGCGTAATGTTTGTATGCTTCTTTTTTTCGGTGGATGTATGGAGTGATATGGTATGTTTTGGGCCAATTTGGACGCAATTCGCACCGACCAAAGACATTTGCAAACAACTTCCCACTCGATGTATTTTCACTGTGTGTATTGGCTCAAGGGACTTGGCTCTGAATAACTGAATGAAACCGACCGAACAAATAAAATTCGAATGAAATGAATGAATGCACAAAAAATGTTTTCAAATGAATCAACAACAAACAAGTTAAGCTAAGCTTCTGAAGCTTCAAAACAAACGGCGCAAATTTTGCTATTCATTTTGGAGATTCTTTGACTTAATTGCAATGTGTTTCAAGTATTCCGAATAAGCGAAAAAAAAACGAAAAGGCTTTAGATTATTCAGGTCGGTATGTGTTCACCAAAGTATTGAATAAGTTAAATGGAAAGGTTTGAATTTTGTAGCTTTTTGTATGTAGCCCCTTCGTCTTTTGTACAAAAACGAATCCTTTATAAAAAGAAATGTTTGCCAAAGAATTGAAGCATAAATACGCGAAAGAGCATGGAAATACATCAAAAAGTCAAATGTCAACAATGTTTAAACGTTCGCAAAATGAAAGCAAATATAAAATACCACAAAATGCAACTCTTCATATCTGAGTGTGTGCGTTTTGTTTGATACGGTTGAACAAAGTGCGGTTGGTTACCATAGTTTGACATAACATTTAAAGTTCGGAGTTTCGGTTTGAATTCGACTGACTGACCACAAAAGCATGGTAAAACAATGTCAGATTTATTTATTTTTAACTGCGTTACATTAAAATGCATACGTACGTACGGAACTACGTGTAAATTGACCCTCAGACAAACAGAAGAAGCAATTGATAAATAGAATTAGTAAACACAAAATTGATTAATTAAAAATCATATGAATTTTTAACTTTTATTTTCGGTCGCTTCGTGTTTCGACGTATTCATCCATGCGATCGATGACGAAAACAAAGAAACGAGTTAAATAAGAAATTAATTAAGTCGATCGTGGTGGATTTAAGTAGTGTAATTGATTTCGATTCGATATAGCGATTCTTTTTTGTGATTAGGGGTGTAGTGTGAAAGTAAAAATAAGCGTCAAAATTAATGAATAATTCACAATTCGCACGCATTCATATCACCGGATCAATAAGGAAACCTGAATAATAACAATTAATGAATCCGGTGCGCAGAAACGCATTGAAAACATGAATTCTATTCATATCATCGTCAAAGCCGACGTCGTCGTCGTCGTTGTTGTTGTTGGATTTCCCTCTATTTTTTGCTCAAATGGCCAAATTTTTTTATAAAAATAGAACTAAACGGAATTTATGGTTCAATGTTTTCATACAATTTAGTCTTGAACCTTTTGTACATACACCCAAACCGTCTATTTGTTGGGTTTTTCTTTGGGTAAATAGATCAAACGCTATGCTTGGATATGAATAATAATGCAATTGAAATTGTTTGCTGATAATAGTAGGAAGAAAGGAAACAAGTGTGACGCGAAACAGAAACAAGCACAACGGTCGTGTGTGCCATTCAAAAAGCAGCAAACATCTTTAGTTCACCTTTTATGTATTCGCCTTTCGACAGCTTTAGTCCTATTGTTAGAGGAGTAGATTCGTTTTGATTGTCGCGGTAAATCCTCCAATACACAAAAAGGAATAAACGAAGAGAAACCGACGCGCTGCTATCAATGGATGCGATCTAAAGCGGAATTTAGCAAAGGTCACGCAATTATTATTGTGTGACAAACAATATTAACATTGAATCCATAAGGTACGCACGCATTCCGTGTTTGTTCACTCAATTGGCTGCGCTTCTCCTCAGCTCTACGACACCATATCACATACCATCGACAAACTATAAGTTTCGAATATTTTAAGTAAATTACACACAATTCGCGTGAATTTGCAAGCCTCTTAATAGTTGTTTTCGTTTCAATAATAATAATTGTTGGCCGTGATTTCTATCCTCTTTTTTTTTGCGATCGCATTCAAATGTGATTAAGAAATTGCTTAGGCCAACACAAACACTTCTCGTTTGGTGAGTAAAAAACGAAGAAAAATCGCGCAAAAATAGAATCGATGTTGATGTGTTTTTGGTTCTTTATTCGTTCTATTTTCTTTTGTCACCTGCCAAACACATAACACACCGAACGCATTCGATAACGAACGGTTGTATTCTTTTTATAGTCAATTTCGTGTTCATGTCGTTTGGATATATGCGTCGAACTGAAATTACAATTCATTTATTTAATCGAAATGGAAATTTAATGTTATCTCTCTCGCATTCGCCTCTTGTTTATCTCTCTATCTATCCCGCTTTCTTTCTCCGTTCTTGATTTTGATAAAATAATAAAGAAACGAAATGTCAAAGCGCGTTCGTTTTTTTTTATTTTGATCTTCTTCGTTCGTTCTGTGTTTGGTCGTTGGTTGATGTTTTGTTTTTTTTTTCTCGGTGAATTCACACGCGCGCCAGACGGCACCCTTATGGGAATTGAAAGAAAACGGTCGAACAAACAAACGAAGTGAATTAAATGGACATATACGTAAATAATTTATCTAAAGACAACTTATTAACTTTTGACATTTTGAGCCGTACAAAAAATCCAAAACAACCTAATAGAATGACGGATCAGGTCACAAAAATTCATTTTCCAAAAGCTGCTTTCATTGTCTCTATTCTCTCCACTTGTTCAATCGATATCAAATGGAATTTTTACATTTTTTTTTATTCTGTGCGTCTCGTCAACATTTTTGATAAATGGATGCATGTGCTGCTTTTCTGCAAAATTCACATTTTTTTTTTCGTGCATGAAAAGATAGCAAATATAAGTTTGTACTTTTCTACAACTTTTTTTTTTATTTACTTTCTTTGGCCTTTCTTTCTATATTTACAAGAAATGGAGTGAGACTTGAAAAAAAAAAAAACGAAATGCTAAGCAAGTAACTGGAGAAGTGACAATAGTAGAACATTCAGCTGTTATTTTCAAGATTGTTTGAAATCCGTAATGTGGTTACATTAGTATTTAACATGTTTAAAATTGTGGAAAACAAAAGAAAACCAGTTGAAATGGTCGTTACAGTACTTACAACGTTATCGAAGTGCTGAAGATTCCAATGTTCGTTTTTCTTTTCTTCTTCTTCTGTTCTCGATCCACAAAAATCTTGTACAGGATTATGGACACACTAACACCATTTATATTATACTAATTGAAGAGAAGAAAAGCTCAACTCAATTCAATTTTCTCTCGCTTGTTCTATTTGTTTCAAAACTTGGTCAACAATTCCGATGAAATGGTGTTGGTCGATGAAAAACAACGGGGGGTGGGAAAATGGTCGATTTCACTTAATTGTGTGACTTGTAAATGTCAATCAAGCTTTTTATGGTTTTTGCGTTCATAGAAAAATCACACATCGAATGGAATGAAACGAAGAAATATCAGCGTATGTAATATATATAATCCTTTTCGATTACCGTTTATCGCGTCGTGTTCTTTTCTTCTTATGGGTTTTTTTCGCTCTATTCTCTTTATTCTCACTTCTCACTTCTCGACACTTGCTTTTCGAAGACAAAACATTAATTGAATGAAGCACAACTCATTTTATAGATGTTCTCATGTCATAAAAAGTAACACACATTCTTGCACACTCTCAGAAGATGTATATATATTATTGTTTTTTTTTTCCCCGATTATTATTATTATCAATCTCGTAAGACGACGGTGACGATGTGGAAAAAAAAAGAAAAAACCTATAATAATACAGCAAAAACTAAAAGTGAAACGAAATGTTGTTCAGCGAATGTATCGAAAGTTGATTTCCTTTTCTCTGTTTGGCTGTTGTGTCGACAAAAGTCGACGGATTTCGAGTTAAAGCACACACAGTTCGCACTTTTGCACTTCCAACGAAAGACTCCAATGATATTTGGTATTGGATTGTCTCTCTCAGCGATGTAGATGGTCGCACGTACTTCAGAATGAACTTATTGTTAGTGAGCACTTACCTAGATTAAAGGTATACCAATAGCATGCACGTTTTCCACTGCGGCCCCATTCGTTCTCTCGTTCAATTTTGTGTTCTCTCTATCTTTTTCTCTATCTCGCTTTTTTCCTCGTTCATTTGCTTCACACTCTCATTTATTCTTATGTGTGTGCGCTCTATCCACATTTTTCGTGTTTCGGGTACGTTTGCATTTTACGCTTTCTCTCTCTTAAATTCTATGTTCTATGTTCTACTGTCTCTTTCTATTGCTTCGTATTCGTTTGCCTCTGCTGGTATCCATTTGGTTATTTTTTTTTTATTTTCCGTTCTTTTTTCTTCGCGTTATTTCTTTCTTTCATTTGATTCTCTCATGCTCAACACGAACGAAGTGAATGTGTTCTATACGTGTGTGTTGAACTGAATGAAACATTGAAACATGCAACTCCAAACATATTTTCCCCATATTTCGATATAGACAGTTATGCCAATAGCCATGATGAGCATGTGTACTCCTTGGTGGTGTATTTGTGTATGCGCGCATAAAATGTCTTTATTCATCGTGCATTCGCCAGTGTGTACACACTGTGCACCACATCGTTTCGCTTGTAGTTGTAATGAAAACAAATGATGAACCGAACGAATGTGCTTTCGTTGATGGCACTGAGGATTTTGCAAATTTATCTCAACTTTTCTGGTCGCCTTTTTTTTCCCCATTCTCTATTCATCTATTTTCAAATCAAGCTGGTAAACGTCAAACAAAAAAAACAACGGGCATAAGGATCAACGAGAACAACGGGTCACGCACAAATGTGAGCGAAAGAGAAAGCATGGAAAAAAATAGAAGATATAGTGACCAAGAGAGACAATGAATAGGCAAAAGAGAGCACAGACACACATACAGGGCCCCCATATTGGAGCACGAATTTGTATGGATGTATTTGTCTATGTATATTTTTGCATGGAAATAAAAACATAGAGAAAAGTAGCGCGTTGCTAGTCATTGCTCCAATCTCCATGCCACATAATTTAATCGATTCGGAAAAGTATACGCGTGTCTGCTGTTGGCAGTGAAGCGCTAGAAGGAAAATGACATAGCTTTGACTCGAACGATAAAACATCGAATAAATTCACGAATTGATTTGTTAATATTGATTGAAAGCGCATCTATCTCTATCCTCTCTATCCAAAACATTTCCTATTTAATAGCTCACACACAACACACGCACGCACTCAACATGCACATGAGAATAAACAAATGAGCTTTTTCGCAATAAATTCAATATTGTTGTGCTGTGTGTTAAAAAGTTTCATTATTTTCTTTTTGTTCCTTGTATCAATAGAGAAACGGTTTTGCTCTATGCTCATAACAAATCAAGAGACAGAATGTGAGGTGGGAGAGAGAGAGAGATAAGTGAGCTGAAAGGATGATTGACATCAAATTAATTAATTTTGACAGATGCATTCAGCCTCATGCATATTTTTATTCGATTCTGATCGTCTATTGATAGCACAAACACCCCTGACACCATATACATTCAGAAGTGGTGGCTGTGTGGTTTGAGAATGGTGAAGCATTTCACATTTCCATTTTATTTGAATGTACAAAAATGTATGCGCCTTTTTGCGTTCAATTCACGAATACATTTTTTTTCCATTGTTCGTCGGTCATATTTAAATTTGATTGCATTGCGCATTCACAATCGTTTTCAAGTCAAAATATTATGTTCATTAAATCTTGTGTGTGTGTTCACAAATGTACAATTGCACATGTTTCGCAGAGCACACCGTACTGGCTCCCATCATTGTTAACCGTAGGTAATGTATATGTAAATAAGGGCTCCGCAACTCAATAAAAATGCAAAACCCTCTCATCCACATTTTGAATTTGTTGAAAATCATTTCAATGGGAATGATGTTGTCGTCATCGGCATTGATGATATTATGATATTTTGATGGTAATACAAACTCACACAACGCAGACACACACACACAAACACAAAATCATAAAGTGTCAGCAAAAATGATTTCATTGTGCGACTTTAAGATATAAAATTGAAACATTTCTCCAGCAATTAAGATTGAAGTCGAGAGTGTGGATCGAGTTAAAAGGGAGAATGATGTCAACAGGCCATTTTAAGCGATTTCGAAAATTGGTCGTTCGTTTTTGCGTTTGGAGCAGCTTGTGAACATGACTAAGACGACAACGAAATGACCGGTGCTCTGCCAAACAAATTCCAATTAACGACCAAAACTCATTTGTAGAACAGCGATGTTATCTCTTCGGTGAAAACAATCAATTTAATTGGATTGTTTATAGCAACATGAAATGCTTGTCTCAGGGATAAGGTTTCTTTTGAATCGCTCACAGATGCGATATTGTATATTCAAAAGATGGTAAAAACGGGCACTTTCTACCACCAAACTTCAATGACATCTCATTCGCTCACATCAAAATCACTTTAGTCTACACTTTGCCACATCTTGTACATTTTTCATAAGTTTATCCACACGTTTTGCCGCATGATTTTGAACGTAAAAACATCAAAGTGACGGACATTTTATTAAATATTAGTTTGGAAATGTTTGATATTCGAAATCCTAAAAAGATGTTTGTTTTTACTACAAAGAAATTAAACAAAAACAACATCATTTTCCCAACCTTTTGTCTACCGATCTACTCTACTTATATGAGAATCGTGTATGTATTCAATCTGTTGTCATTTTTATTGGCGCCTTTTCATGGCCATATACAAATAATATGGCCACTTAAAACGTGAATTGTTAAGGGTTCAGACACAAATTATGTATATGTCACTTAAATGCGTGTCGCATTTTAGCTGTTTGTTGTTGTCGGCGTTGCTCCTGTCAGGTATTCAAGTAAAATGTCAACCAGTCGATTAATCTTCTTGGGTTTGGTATTGTCGTTAAAATGGGCTTGGCGATTGTTCTACATATTATTGTCAGCCCAAACTGGTACAAAGAGTGCCATTGAGTTTTCGATACCAAACACAAATAGACATTGATACGTTGCTCAAAATCAATACATTTTAAAGGATTTTCAATGTTGCTGAACACACTGTTTGAGCTCTGTTTAATGACTAAAGCAAATATATCATTGACCATTTTATGTTTACAAACTGAAACCGCTTTTACATACATTTCCGCCTTAAAATGCGAAAATTTATGTGAGTTCAGTTAAACTGACAAAAAAAATCGGAGAAAAAACCCCAATTTTAATTAGTTTCATTTGGTTAAAGAATTTCGAAAAATAGGTTCCAAGAACCTACACGTTTCGGTTACACATTTTGGTGCAATTTTGTCTATCAATTGTATTTCCCGTATCTCCGACTCTCTCTCTCTCTCTCTCTCTCTCTCTCTTTCTTTTCATGCCACTTATATATATATATATATCAGCCGCAGATAAATTGGAGCCAAAACAGTGGAACAAAAAAAATTGCTTCACCTAAATCGATGTCGTTCTCGAGCGTACAGAAATACGAAGAAGCAAATTGTCGCGCATTTTTCCTTGAAACGGAAATGAATGAAAACGGGTAATCTCCGTGCGATCTTTTATCGTAAAATACGTATATATAAATGGATAAGCCCGCACTCTGATACCAAATCGAAATGAATCAATGTGCTCCTTAGCCACAAACCATCGCACACAAAAACTAGACTATATATTTCTATGTTAAATGGAATGGAAAAAATTGGATTGAAATAGAGATATTTATATTGTACATTTTATCACATTGGCATTTTTTTTTTGCCCATGGTTCAAACATGCAAGCCGATTGGGTGATCGTAAAAAAAAAACTTTGACGCAATTGAAATTCCGTTTTCAATCTCTCTAGCTGGCACGTTCATCCCCTCCCCCACGTCACCGCAGTCGTTTTTGGTATTGTTTTGTGTTGTCGATGTAAATGTTAACTTTAACCAAAATATGATTAAGGTAATTATGTTTGATGGGTCGGTTCAATGGACACAGGTTTCGAATTACAAATGATATGTATCATACCTCCTTTAAATGTATACTCGTAATCGTTGTGATCGAAAATTATCCATCGCTATCTGCGTCAGCGATAACGTCACTCTCTTTATCAAATGAATGATTGATTCGAGGGGGAAAATGATATATTTTATTTGAATGCCTCAAACCAAAAGCCACATTGAGCACTTCATGATTATACATGTTTACATTCATTGTTCGAATCATACATTTTTTAGAAGATATTTATTTCGTGTTCATTGAATTTTATATTACACACGTTCTTCATCGTGCTTCATTTACAAATTAACTTTGATTACATGGTTTCTTGCTTGGCGTATTTATTTCCAAATAAAAATCGTTTTATTACATTTTATTGTATGAATCAATTTTCCATTGAAATTCAAAACCTACATTAAATAAACCATTGACACACGACAAATGTATTGTTCCAATTTTATGATGGGATTTAATTCAATTGAAAAGCGAAAAGAATGCACATAACATGTGTATTTTTTGTGTGTGTCTGTCTGTCTCTTACACGTTTCAGTAATGAGATTATAAGCTTTTTCAAAGCTTATGCATCATTGAAAAAGTTTTTGAATATTCTCATTGTTTCCATTTATTTTTTTATTTTGTTCTCATTCATATGCAGCGAATTTTGCTTTACTACAATCATCATAAATAATAATAAAACAATAATGCCTGTTAATCGCTCATGTTACTTGGATGTTGTATATGGTCTCTCGCTCCCGTTCTCGCTCTATTCCTACTTCTCCCACGTTCCTTCCCATATCACACACACGCTGTTTATCTCTCAGCTAATGAATATGTACAACCGAACAAAAGCTCAATGTGACTGTTTGCATGGATTGTGTATTATTAAAGACCCATAATTTCACTTAAACTATCAAATTTAATGAAATTTGTTTCAATAACATAATGTGTGGTGTAATGAATATGCTATTTGATGTAAATGCTTTGGTTTAAGTTGTAAGGCTGATCTAGTTGAGGGGTTTAAACAATAAAACCGGTTACCATCACTCAGTTAAGCATTGACTTAATTACGACAAACACCCATCATCATAATCGTCGTCGTCACCGTCACCGTCACCATTGTCTTTGTCACCATCGTCATCATTCAATTCGGTTGCTGAATCTAAAACCACTTTTCCAAACCCCAAAATATGCTGATGTCAGGAAGGACTGTATGGGACATTTTTCGGCCCATTTATTGGTATCATCGTCTATTCGCCTTATGGATAAATGAGTTTCAGGTGTGCATAGAATTACAAATCAGTTTTTATTATTCGTCAGTGTGTCGGTTGTTGTTTTTTTCTCTCTCTTCAAAATGCTTAAAATTCATGTCGACTTTTGTTCCTTACCATTTCAGCCATCACATCGTCCATTCTCTATGTTGAGCATATTTTTCATGATGGGATATGTGTCTGTCTGCTTGTTTTTGAGCTATTTTACATTGGATCTACGACCATTTCTTGCCGACAATGATTTCCCAATTTTAAATTATATGTCATACACGATTATAAACACCGTTTTACTGTCAAGTTAGCTCGTTTCTTTTTTATATGCTTTTCATTTAATTAAAATACTTTTTTCCCGTGTTTTTTTCTGCCCATTTTAGACGTACTATGTATTTTGAGAAATTTTATGACATTCGAATGCTCGTGGAATCTTATACGAAAATTTATGATCATAGACCGTAGCTTGAGGCAGCATTTCAATGTTTATTGCCCCTATGGAATTATTGAGAGGTAGAGCAAAAAAAACGAATTAAAAAGTTTAATTTTAATCTTCATCATTTCCGTCATTTTTTCCCGCAGGATTTTATGGATCGTTGTTATAATGATTAACATTCAAACTGTGTGTGTTACGTTCGCTGTATACATGCAATTCATTAAATTTATGTCATCATTTGAGCATGCAGTAATCACTTCAATTGCATTATATTCAGCAACGGCTTGTCTTTTTGCAATTGTTTTATATTTTGATGTTGGCTGCATCTTCATTATTCATCGCATTAAAATCGTTAATCTAATTCTGAAGCAATTGGTATTTGATGACGCATTGAGCGTTGAATTTTTATTCTTAAATGCAAACCATCAAAATTTACCACACGAATATCCCGAAATTAATCAATTGCAACCTTTTGAACGAAAACCCGTGAGATGGATATCATTGAAATACCCACTGGAGAATAGAGAAATTGCCAAAGCGTGGACACTGAGACAGAACATCAATGAGAGCCGCACCAATGCATTGAATAAAACATGGCCAATTAAATTTGGCAGTGAAATCGATCGAAAAAGTGAAATACAGCATCTCGAAAATCATGTGAATTCTTTCAATTTAGCCGATATTAAGTTACTTCGTCGAGTGTAAGTTAAAAAATTTCACTCTATACATGCACAACTTTTTCTTCTCATTTTCAATCAAAATATAAATTTTTAATGTATGAATTGATATGGTTTTTCGCTCCGTAGTCTCATCAGCGATATTACATTTACAAGGCAATCGACGGCCGATTACATAATTCATAAGCTCAATCGTATAGAAGCTATTTTGAGCATTGTGTTCGATTGCTTTGAAATTTTAAACATAAGCTTTATAAAGTACATGTTTGTGATTATGTTGGGTTCGATGACAACCGGCCTTTTGTACGTTTGTGGGAAATTCAGGTTAGAATTATTCTAATACATTTTGTGTTGTCAAAACACATATGTTAATATTTTCAAACTAAAAGAAAAGTGACAGAAAATTGAATTAGAGGCGATCGATTGAAATTTAAACGGTGTGGACAGTGTAGTTCATATTTATGTAAAACTTTGTTTCAGAACTAATTCTGGCCGTGGACAATTACTTTGCTTAAACTTTTGAAAATGAATGAGATCGATTACATAACCGTACTGCATTTTATGAATATCAATACATGCAAACCATTCAGCCAGGCTCAAAGAAATTTCTAACAAGTTACTTTACATGAATATGAATTCGATGTTCACACAATAGAAACTGTACTTTTCTGTTGTTTCGAACACCTCAAATTTACGTCCTTATTTTCAAGTTAAAACCAGTTTTCATTTTATAAACATAATATTTTATAGTCTTTACATGAAATACGACAAATCGGTTGATGCATTGACAACAATATTCGGAATATATTTGTTGGATTTCTTTTACCTTTCTTTTGTACCATCGGCCATTCTGTCTACAATTGCAATGGAAAGCGTAAATTAAAAACCGTTTACTGCATTTCAAATGTCTTATTTTGTATTTCTTTTTAGTTCAAAGAGACAGCCATCATTTTATGTCGTATAAGTCACAACACATCCAATCCAATTATTTTGAAAAAGGTTTGATTTGGTTTTCATTGAGTCAGTGTGTTTGTTTAAAAAAAATCATTATAATGTACACTAAAAGGTCCGAATAAGCACGAAAAATTCAAGAAATCTGACCCGAGGCTTTTTTGGTTGAAGCTCTTTCGGGCGCCTTAATTTATTTTGTTGATGCGATGACCTTCTAAAGACATTCACTTATGAGTTTAAAAAAAAAATTCTTTATGTTTCTGCAAAATGTTATTTTCATATAATAGATGACAAAATAGGGACAAAAGTTATCAAACTCCATTATTTTATTCCTACTTTGCATTAGACATGTTTACCCAAGCTCGCTTATTCCATTTATATGTCCTTTTTTTATTTAATAAAATGTAGCTTCTAGAAATTTTGAGAAAACTGAATGGAGTGCATCCGGTTTTTGGTGTGAGTCGTCTCCTACTTTTGAATGGACGACTATTAGTTAGCGTAAGTCAAACCGTTTTGTTCATCCAAAGTATACATGATTATTGAAACATGCACGATGTGCATTGTTTCAACTCAAATATACTACGTTAAATTGTATTTTATTATCCATTTCACAGTTGACTTCAACGCTTTGTGCATATTTAATAATGGTGTTGCAGTTTTATACCACACTTCGAAGTTGAATCGTTATCATGCTCATAATCAAGTATTATTTGATTCATTGCTTTTTCATGTTATGTATGAAATAAATAATAACGGTGTGTGGATTTATCACATATTTTGTTGGTTACTCTTTTGACACTAAAGTTCGAATAAACTTTATTTGAAATAAATTTGACAGCAAACTTGTGTAGCGTATGTTTGACATGACCGCAATAATGTCGAGTTATTATTTTGTATTAATAGCTTGTGCATCATTTTGCGTAGTTTAATAACGTTTTTTCAAATAACATCATCGTATTTGTTGTTATTTTGTCACATCTCTCATTCCATCCTTTACTTTGCGACACTTTATATTTATGCTTAGTTTGAATGTACTCGCTGAGGATGACACATTGTCGGAATGCATCCGAACCATTGTTTTAATTAATAGTATTTATTTGAATAGAATTTTTTGAAATTAAATTGGCAAAGTCAATAAGGTGCAATATACTTGAAACAAATTGTGTTTTATTTTAAAATCTTTGATATTTTGCTTAGTGTTAACATAGGTTCTGGCACTGGAAAATCTAGGGGAAGTCCCCTCGAGTAACATGGCCAAAAATCGATTTTAACTTCGTAAAAAAGTTTCCGCTACAAAAATGTATAAGAAGTTTTTAATTGAAATCGCTTCCGGGGCACAAAAAATGTTGACTAAACGGAAAAATTTGTGGCAAATCGATTTTTTTACGAAAGTTCATTCCATCTGGTGTACGTTGGCTTCGGGAGTAAAATTGCTGGATGATTCTTAAAAGCCTTTGACATGTACGTCCATGTATGTTTTGTTCGTGAAAATCGATTATTCAACTTGGGCGAATTCTGCATTCACTTGATTTTCTGTGTAGTATTCGTCTGATGAGGCAAAAGCCATTTTTCATTGGATTCCAAATCTCAGATGCTCAATCTCCGACGTGAAGAGTCTCTTGGTATTTATTCTACCATATTTATGTGGTTTTCGGTGACAAAAGAAAGACAATTTAAACCAGTTGATTTGTTTGATGATTGATCCCTTCCATTCATATTCTTGATCCACATGCGAATGTAGGTGATGTAACGCACACCTTGTCGGCATATGAACAGTGTTAATTTATGAATGCCGTCAAATATGGTACACTCTGTGTACAAATCATTTTGCTACGTTCTATGTGTCAGATCAAAGAAATTGCCATAAACGTTTATTGAATTTAGTAAGTACAACAGCATGTGTGTTCCATTCTTCTTCTTAGTTTTTTTACAATACGTGCGTACCGCTCATTTGAAGCAAGATAAATGAAATAAAATGCAACTTCCATTCCATGAAGATTTCGCATAATAATGGTGATATATACATATATATTATCATAAGCTTCTATGGAAATCCAACAAAAGCTCAGCCCAATGCCTCGAGAGTTGGTGGTAACGTTGCGTATTGTGTCGGTGAAAAAGTTTTAGTCAGCATAATAATATTCAATGAGAGCACTTTTATAGCGTCATATTTTTTCGATAAAATGTCACTCGTAAAAATGTTTATGATTTTAAACCGTTTTTTTCCTTCTTCTTTAAAGACAGTTTACGTCTTTATTCTGTATGGTTATCTGATTATGATGATCCAGTTTTATACGCTATTCCGAACATAGCTCATGGCTTATGAGATGACAGACATTTGTGCGTTCAGCTATTGCGTAATGTTGTACTTGAAATTGTTTTTTATTCAGTATTGTTGCTCACATGCATCAATTAACTGACAACGGAATTTTTATTGCTGGTAATTGAATAATCCACTATATACCGGAAATGAACTTTTTCTCGTTCGCTCATGAAACATTCACCATTCACTTTCACATTGAGTAGCAAACACGCAAAAGCTATTTTAATGGCTTCTCAAAGTATCGTCTCAATTCACTGAAAATTAGATGGGGTTATTAATAATCTATCAATAGCTCTCTAAAAGACATTTTAATCAGTTCCTTTTGGATACCTGCATAAAATTTATTAAACACAACTGCTAATACTAAGACGGTTAGAAAGTATATCGTTTCCTTGTGGAAATATTTCGACTTCATAGTCGACTAAAAATTGACTAATTTGGGACAAAAATGGCTGATATTTCAGCCAGCTAAAGATAACTATAAGTGACTATATGCGTCTTCGTGTTATTTGAGTTGAGAAATTCGTCGATTGTGATCATAAAAGTAATTAAAATTGACTTAATTTATAGTCAGTCAGTCATTTTTTTCCACAAGGGTTTGACAAAAGCGGACCGTTTACACATTTTAATAAGATAACATCTTTATTGTTGTGATAGCTATCGATTCTTTAATTTCGTAATTTCATCCAATTTTTGTCCGAATTAAGCTTATTTCACTTTAATTATGATTTATGTGCGTTTATTAATGCAATAAACTGATTAGATTATAATGATGTTACCTTTATGTTATGCAATGAATTGATTGGTCGTTGTTTGATTGATTCAATAGTACTTGAGTTTAAATTACCTCGAACAATAATTTCGTTTCATATTTTAGTTTTACGCTATTCAAGCAACGACATTGTCTTTTTCCCTCTACAATCTCGAACCGAGCCGGACAATATGCAACTTAATAAAGTTCCGAAATCATCAGATGAACAAATATGGAAAATGTTTCTACCAATTTATTGGTATCTCAAATTGTTTGGACAATGGCATAGTAAATATCAGTTAAGTGTTCAAGTTTTTTGTTTTCAGTTTGAAGTTTCGACATATTTTCATAGTTCTTTTTATTGTTCATTGTTTTTTTTTTTTAACTAACAGCCTGCGTCGCGACCATTTTCCATTCAATTGGCGCTGTGCATTTTGGATGCCATTTTTTTTTGCTTTATAAAACAATAGATCCAAAACCGTTTGGCACCATCGATGTACCCGTCAATCATATTGCATATATTGCAACGATTGGTTTGCTTTGTAAGCGTGTTTGCTTATTGGTTCATTCATAGCATCTGACCAGGAGTCCAAGGGGTTCAATCACTTACAATTTCAGAAAAATTTTGGTCAATTTGAAAGCGAAGACCTTTTTTAGGTCATCACTTTTGTCAGAGACATAAATTCTTTGAACTTGCATGAGTTTCAAGGAAAAAAGTCATTACAAATTGCCGGTTTTTTCGGATGAGAGGATCTTTACAAATTTCGATATTTTTTTTTTTTTTTTTTTTTTTTAAAAAATAGTGGGATCATTATTTTTCGTAAAATTTTGAAATTTAACCACCCCATTACCTTTCGTTCAAATTTTGTTGAAAACCATTTTACGTTTTAGATCTGTTGATGTTGCTAGCGAATAAATGTTTGTAAAAAAATCAGTGGATGCTCTTAGAGAAATTGGCTGTTATCGACCGAGATTTGGAAAAACATTTTGGCATTTATTTCCCATTTACAGTTATGACAAGGTATGTTCCGTTTCTTATTTTAAAAAGGAAATTGGTCGCACTCAATTTCATCTCAAGACGTATTATTTTTCAATTTTTTATGGATGATTCATTTTCGTGCCAAAAATGCTTACGATACTTGTATTCGTGTTGGTTTTCCAAACCGTCACTGTTACAATTTTAATGTATTTTCATCTCATCGATATCATTCAGTTGCCATCGCATTCGCTTTGTGTGTGTGCAGCATTTTTAATTTCGTCTGGAAGTGCAAGGGCAATAATGACGCTGTTCAATGTCTATTGCTTTTTAATCATTCGTCGTGTACATTGTATAAATTTAATACTAAATCAATTAAAATTTGATGAACCAGCGAATGAAGAGCTTTTATTTTTTAACGTAAACCATTCCATTTTGCGGCAAGAATTTCCACAAAATGATAAATGTGAGCAAAAATTTCTGAAAAAGGCAGCCAAATGGATGCCATTGAAATGGCTTTGGAGCGGAAACAAAACGAAAAATGTGCACATTTCACAATCATCACGTGTGAGTGCAGATGAAAGCATAAAGAAAACATTGAATAAAATGTGGCCGCCGATGAAAAATGACGTTCAAACTGATGACATCCGTGAAATGTACGATTTAGTGCGCATTTTCAATTTATCCGAATCATTTCGAATGTGAGTGTAGAAAAATGTGTACTTTTGTTGTTGGTGTTGGAATTTAATGTGCATTTGCACAAATGCATTTTCTCCTTCGCATTTTACAGTTTTGCACACCGAATTTTAACAGCGATTTCATCATCCACAAACTGAACTGCATGTTTATCATTTTTAATAATATGATGGATTCTTTTAATATTTTGAATGTTTGTCACACAAAATACGTTTTCTGTCAAATGATGATGTCATGCACGCCGATCATATTGTACTGCTTCATTCGAATCAGGTTAGTGAACAATAATAATGAACATGAACGCCATAAATGTGTGTTTTCGTTCATACCATCCATCGTAGGATGTACATTGAACATGTGAAATCAAACGATGACATCGCAACAATATGCGTTTCGTATGCAATGGAATTTATTATTTTCGGCTACATTCCTGCCGTTATCCTCTCAACCACCGCTATGCACAAGGTGATGGAACTAAATACGCATCCGGACATTTTTCGATTTGAATAAGATATTTTGTTATCATTTTATAGATGAAAGAAACCGGCGTAATCGTGTGTCGCATTGGCGACATTACATCCCATTCAATTATTTTGAATAAGGTAATGCGAAAAGATTTATATTTTAAAATGTCATTTATTGTCTTTAGCTTTTGGAAATTTCGAGAAAATTGTACGCTAGACATCCATACTGGGAATGGGAACTTTTGTTTTAGATGGCCAATTTTTGATGTACACAATTAATGGTGGTAAACACAAAGTTTTCAGAAGATATGTAATACTTATTACGAATGTGCAAAGCAAAGTTTGGGAAGTGTGATTTTTTTGGGGTTCTATAGAAATAAGTTAATCTTAATAATAATTTCTATGGAAACCCTGGAACAGTGGCGTTACTAGATCGGAAAGTTATGCATACAAGGCTGAAATCCGGATGGTGCTCAAATTTTGAATAGTGATAACTGACTATTTTTTAAAACTTATTTTGAAATTATTTGGGGAGTTATGGGCTAAAATGTTCAAATGAAATTCAGCACACGTTAGATAATATAGGAATTACGACATTAAAACTGGCCTGAAAAACTTTGGAAACTGGTTTTTATCATTTCAGACGCGTTCATGCCTAAAAATAAAATAAAAAGTCATACTCCCCAATAGTCTCTCGCCCATTTATATGTGACACCCAGAATATTCTTGTGCTTTTCATTTTCCAGATGACATCGGTTGTGTGTATTGTAAATATTTGATTATGTTGATCCAACTATATATGTCGTTTCGATCGAACTGAACTGTGGCACGTACATTAACAATAGTGATAGAACGCCATATATAACTACAATTATTTTCATAAACATCTATAATTAACATTCACAAATTACAGAATGTAATGTGGGATGTGTACTATTTTGACAACAAAACACTATCTAGGTAAATCAAACAAACAAACATGATGTGTTTGTACCATCTTCTTCTTTTTCTTCATTGTAAATGACGTTTATCTTTAAACACACATTTCTAAGCATTTAAGGCTATGTTTGTGATTAATAACATTAAAAATTAAACAATCTATGTATTTGTTGGATTACTAAAATTGTCCATTAATTTTCGTTTCAACAGCGTAGAAATTTAATTTTGCATCAAATTTTATCTACTTTGAAAATATCCAAACCAAATAGAATAAACTTGTCATTTTTTCTTTGCAAGAAGCTTTGGAAGAACATTCTTTTATTTGTGGATAATTGAATACACGACATCCTATCTTGTAAATGGATAGCATGATTTTGTTTAATTGATTTCCAATCAAATAGAGTTCGATACTTGTTTATTAAATGCAAATGAAAAACCGCCAAAGTATAATCACAAATGTTTTGCGATATATTCAAAATGACATCAGCGATGTGTAGGGTAATGTGCACGTATATGAATGTGTTGGCACGTACAATAACTACGGAATAAACAAGGACATGTACAATGTATACATTTTCCAGTATTGTTTTCGAAATTAACCAGAATTTCGGGTCGACAAATCACGAAAGTAATATTAGTGCGTGCCATATTTTGTCCACGTGTTTTTTTTTTTGCTATGCTTGCACTTATCAAATTCGATAGGAATCAAGGCGATTAGACTGTTTTCCTAAAAAAGAAAGAGATTTTAATATGGAAAGGGTGAATTTGGACATATTGAGTATCAAAATAGAAGTTCAAATTCAGTTTCTCTTTCAACAAATGGGTCTAAAAAGCTCAAAAAATAATACCGTTCTGCAGTAAAAAAATAGTCGATAATATTTGTTTGGAAATAAATTGTAATTAAACAATATGTAAAATGAACGTAGTTTTTGAATGTGGATTGCTCTAAGAAATGTGCACAAAATATTTCATTTTTAAATGGAACTGAGATTTATCGGCGGCGTATAAATCTCGATTTCAATATTCAGAACAATAGATGAGTTGAAAAGCACACATTTTCTGAGCTTACGCCCACTCAAAAACTCAAATATTTACACTTTCAAATCGATAGATAACATATCTCCTTGACATATCATAATATTTTCATATGCGGATATGTGGCTAGTCATCCATTTAATATCCTCTACGCCAAGCGTAGAAATCTCACAATCATGCTTGGTCATTCATATATGAGTGTTATCAAGTGAAAATTAATTCTTTTTATTATTTTATAATCTAATATATTGGCAAACATGGACTACTCAACTCTAGCAATGTGTACATATATAGATGACAGTGTAAATATTTTATTGCGAAACGTGTCGTTCAATGATTGCATGATTCTTGAAAAACATTTGATATGATAACATTAAATTTTCTAAAAACAAATAACATAGTAATGATAAAAAAATGTGTTCATATTGATAAGCGTTTACTTCTTCGTGCGTGTTGACATGTTTTATTTAATCGAAATTGGCATTTGGCACAATAATATTGTTAATAATTATTACAAACCACTTTTAAAAAAATATAAAATCAAATCTTGACTTTTATTTTATCGCATTCACATCTGTGTATCCTAAATCACATATTTATATCGTGCCATTTTCATAATTATATCGACTTTAAGAAAATAAGTCTTCTTCTTTTATGCATTGATCAGTTCGTCGTTCAAAGTTATAATATTTTAGTTTTGGTACATATGCAAAAGCCATTCGAATCATAACAAGTACTTTCTATACCATTTGACTTTTGCTGACGTTCGACGTAACAAATTAACATTTAACACTTCAGAAGGAGTCCTTCTTTAAAACCATTCTCAAATTTATTGGTAGAAGTCATGCAATGGCGTCAATTTATATTTGTTTTCAATATGAACTTAATTTTTAGCGAGAAGATCGGTCACATTCAACATACAAGCATTGACAAAAATCAACAACCAAGGAATTTCATATTAAAGGCTATTGTTATCGTGCATGTTTCAAGTTTTTCGTTTGTGAGCTAAAAAACGAAAATTTTGTCCTTATTTTTTATTGAATTTTCATAAAACTCGTTGATAATATGTACTTTGGTCAGAAAATGAGATTCACACGTTTTCGCGATGATCAGGTTATTAGATTTTTTTTTGATTTTCCAGTAAAATGGACCCTTTTGATTTTCAAGTCGCTGTCTTATATCAAATAGAAAGATGAAAATTCTTTTACAATGTGAAATAAATACAAATACAATTCAATTATGGTTAAGAAAATGTACAATTCAAAAATGATTGTAGAGCTAAACGAAATTCAAAAGTTATATTCGTATATAAACAGCGTCTACGAAAAACAGCATAGTAGGCGCAGATTCATTAGATTTTGAAGTATTGTCTTAGCATTTTAGCATACAAAAAATCGAATGAACTACTATGCTGTTTTTCGTACACGCTGTTTATATACGAGTCATACGATGTGTTGTTTATTCCTTTTCTCGTCATTTCATTAAAAGGCGCAGAAATGGTGCGTGCGCCTTTCAAAAGGCGCCAATTGTTCGAACGGGAATGAATAAATATTTCGTAAAATGTGAAAACAGACGCCACATGTAACCAAGCAATGATAGAATTTTCTATTCTTAAATTATATCATTTCTTTAAAAAAACGAAAATATAATTTAATATCGATCACTTTTAATCAACCATAATTTATAAGTAAATTGTCAATGGCTAAATTTCTTAAAATGACACCAAGTTCTTGAAAATGCTTGGACATTAATTATCTTTTTCTATGAAAATAATTTCATTGTGAGTAAAATGATGATTACCATACATGTAAAGTACTTGTAAAAATTCTTATTCTGAGTATTCTATTAATATTCTTCGTTTTTTTAAGTTCTTTTTTGCAAATTTTTTTTTAGTTCTTTTTTCCACGCTCAGCAGCAGTTATCAAACACTATTGGCCTGACGTAGTCAAATGTGTGGATTGTAATTTACTGGCACAAAATCTGAAGTAGAACATCGCACGAACTATATAGCTATATTTGTTTAAGATCAAATGCACGAAGAAACTTTTACATATTTCACTAGGTTTTAGAGAAACGTGACTTTGGTCATAATTTTGATTTTCTCAATATTTTTGTATGAGATTCAATCAACAATAAGAATATTTTCTTACCTGTTTCAATATCTGCAGAATTAATATTCTCTTCTTTTTGAATACAAAAGCATGTGATGGCATGTGTTTGATGTGAGCCATTATATACCGATTTCACTTTCATTTTCCAACTTTTGTCTTTTTGTCTTTCTTATTTTTAGATCAGAATTTTCCTTTTTTACACTTCAAACTTTTCAGCCTGACGGTTATTGATTTTCTACAGTTCTACCGTTTTCATCATGGAAAGTTAAATTATTTTCTTTCCGGAATCGTGACCGATCGCTTGTTGATGCGCTTTGCATCTTATACAAAGCACTTGAAATTTTTCAAATGTGATGGGTGATTTGCATTGTGCATTTTAATGACACATACTTTGGTTGTGTACACACTTCGAAAAAAAAATTCCCTAAATTGACTTTTTTCGGTATTTGAACAATTGGCTCCAGGGGGTGGCCCGATGAAATTTTTTCAGTTCTGATGGTAGATTTGTACATTTTAATGAGATTCACTTTGGTGGTGTACGAATTTCGGGTTTTGATATTTTCATTTTTATGTAAAAAAGCCAAATTAATTTTTGTACATTTTAATGGTATGAGCGATTTTTTAAAATTCAAATCAACCGGATTTTGACTACCCATCCGATTGTTAGTTTAATCGAAACAACACTCAACACTGGTTGTGCAATTGATTTGTGCAGCAGGTGTCAGTTCATGGTTTTGATTTTTTTTTTTTTGATTTATTGCTGTAATATTTGCCAAGCAGGAGCTTCCAATACGACGATGGGATATGAAGAACGGGAATCTATAGTGTCATCAAAGATACGAGCAATTTTGTAATATTGGTTCAATGGAACTGCGGTCAGTTTTATCCAGCTGTTTCCATCACATCAGTGATAATTTGATGTTGTGAGTATATCCTATAGATAACATGCAATCATGTTTTTTCATTTAATCAGGAAAATGAAAATATAAATTGCTTTTGATTTTGCATTCTTCTTCTCTTTACTACCTTTGGCTACTTTTAAAGAGATGAAAATTTTTGAGTGATTTTCTTTAACATTTTTTTAAAGCATGGTAAAAACTAAATTTTTTGTAAAAATGTCGATAAATCGTGTTCAAAAATGAGTAAGTAAACTGCCTATATTTTTTTTTTTGACTATTTCACAATATTTGCAGAATAAGTAAAAAAGACACTTTTCATATTTTTGAACAACGGTGAAAAAGTATATCTTTGAAACTGTCGAATCCTTATGTACGGCCAAAGAAATGATCGACATTTTATAAAATCAATATTGGATACGTGTTTTTGTGAGTATAGCAATTCTGTAGTTGAACGATATTTACACCAACAAAGTTTGTCAAATAAATGGAAAAACATGCAAAAATTGCGTCGTGTAGCAAAGTTCATGGATCCACTTATTGGAGCATTCATTGTGACCATACAATGTTACAAAATCGCCAAACAGTAACAGTGGAAGAGCGTAGAATTTTCAAGACTTGATGGTTGATAATAACAAGAGTATCACAGGGTCTATATTCCAAAGATGAGTAATCATTTCAAAAGCTTTGTATTTTTCGGTGGTGGTCTTTCGTCTTTTTCACGGCACTCCTATAGAATTATTTTCTTTAGAAAAGTTGAAGTACTTTTAAGAGAACTTATAATTTGGAAACAAAACTTCCTCGCAAAAGCGCACTACTTTTATTATTATTATTATTTTAATTTGAAGATTTTCAATTCTTATCAGGCATTTTGCATTTTTTGCAATGAACGGTGTACATTCATTCATAGAAAAAGAACAACGTATATTCATGTTTGAAAAAAAAATATGGGTAGATACGTGCCCATTTGTGACAACAATTTTACACTCAAAAATACAACAGCATCAATTCAGAAGCATACAATTGATTGCAAATAATACACGGACGTCGCCAGGATTTCGTTTAGGTTGAGGTGGGGCAAACTCGACTGAAAAAGACGTTAAAAACGACCAATTTCGTGATTTTTCCACCTATAAAATAGAATTTTATTATGAGAAGGAATGCTGGAGTAAATTTTCGAGTGGAGCAAATCGATTTTTATTAATTGTCTATAAAAGAGCTTTGCAGCTCGAAAACTGGAAATGCGCCCGTTTTTGAGGAGAAGCGCACTCTGAAAAACATTTATTATACCGAAAAACTATCAATAATTCCTAATATTTACTTTGCGTCGTTATAAAATCCACATTTTTGTGGTTTTTGTGATTATAAGAAGCGTTTTGAAGTAATCGAAGAGTTGCTAATTGTAAACAACATTTTTGTAGTTGATTTAATAGTAAAATAGAGCCAAGTGCAAGAGGATATACCCATGCAATAAATATCTAGCGATGGACAGTTTATATTAAATCGAAACTTGTGAGGATGCTACTAAATATATGCAACGGATATAGCTATACAAAAATGAATCCTTGGCTAGTTGTAAAATACACTTCTTTTGAAAGGTTATATTAGTAGTAAAATGAAGGAGGCTAATTGAGCATGAAATAACACGCAAAAAACGGATAATTAGGAAAATATTCTGAAATAGTAGTTGAATTTGAAAAAATTGGGTTAATTAACTGTAAATGTTCACTCCGTCATTGATTATTTAATAATAATTATGGCAACACCTGAATCGTCCGCGCCGCTAAGCTGTGCGCCAATCAAATGCAAATAATCATTTGAACCAGAAGAAGTGTACATATCAAATAAAATATTAGTTTTCACTGAACAATCAAACAGCACGCTTTTTCATTTCATAAACCTTAACCTAAAAGTCCACTTAATTTTGTTAATATTCGACACAACTTTCGATCAAACATAATCGAATACTTTTAAATATTGTTGTTCTTAACGCTTTGAAACGATATTGGATTAAAATCTTCTTTGAATTTGCCGTTTCAGGTTATATTTCTATATATAGCAACTAATCATGACTATTTTTACTTTGAAATTCGACAGCTTTGAAATTTCCAATGAAAAACGTGAGAAACGCAATATAATTGCTCTCGATTTTACTGTTTAATAACACTTAATTTCAAATTTTATTGATCGATGCATCGTTGGCGGCATATTTTACGGCGTCAGTTGAAAAAATTGAAAAAAAAATTCAAAATTGTTTCATTATAGTTTCCAAATAACGTTTGTATTCTTGATGCTACCGATGTTTACATTTTTTACTGAGCGAGATTGCATTGGGCAACGATTTGAGTGACAGATAACAAATTTTTACGTTCTGTCACACCAGATGATAGAATTTTAAAAAAAACTGGATTTTTTCTTTCATTTTTTATGTGCTCTACACCGAGTTTCCGAGTCTCCGAACATATAAGGTTGCTATGTAGAAGCCAAACAACAATCGTGATTTAGATGATAAGAAAAGTGATTTTTTCATTCCTTTTCAATTGAGTAGTATTTGTAAATCGAAAAAAAAAATGTAATTATGTCTTTTCATTTTTCACTCTTTTTGTATCAAAAACTCGTAAGACCGCTGAATTTGCAAGCACGCAAAATGAAAGAATTTATTCAGTTTTTTCTTTAGAAATTTTCTATCGCTTCTGTGCCTGACTTTGAAATAATCATTTTTATAAATAAAACATGGTTTTTGAATAATTGCTGTGAATTTCAAAAATGTGTTTATTTTTGAATAAAATTGTGTGAAATAGAAACTTCAAAATGCAAATCAATCAGCTATACGCTCGTCTAAGCTTTCATGTCTTTGCACAAGTCGCAAAATTCTTGGGCAACATTTTTGGCAAGCGTTGGGGTTGGAAGCCTATTAACTATATCCATTTTAAAACCATTTGACAATTGCTCGATTTTCTTTTGAACGGTAGCTGTTATTGCGCTCGAATTGGTGATGAATTTCTGCATACTTTCTTGGATGTTGCTATCGAATTTATTAAAAGTTTCTTTGTCTGAACGTGAAGAACCTTTCATGCTAAGGATGGCCTTTGAGAATTGATCTTTACAGTCGATCATTGAGAATTTGTCCTCGGTGTGTGCATACTGAAACGGAAAACATAAATTAATTCAATTTCAAATTTTGCCTAAGCTCATGCTGTGTGACTAATTTAAACTATCAATATATGGCATCAATTCCATAAGGAATGTAAAGGAGCACCCATGCCATATGAGAAATCAAATCATTTGATACAAGTGTTGAGTTCATTATTTTTGGGATAGAGTTTTCTTAAAATTGGCAAACTATATTAAATTGATGCCCCATGCCCAAAGGCATTTCGAGGGATACCAGTAGGTGAATAGCCAATTGAAATTAGCAATACCACATGCCAAGTAGATTTCATAAAAATAAAAATAAAACTTAAAACATAGAAAAATACCTGCACTGCAACCGCTACGAGGAACAAAGCAACAAACAAACTTTTCATGATTACTTTATTTCAGACTGTTTTGAAATGTATACAAAATGTAGGTACAGAGTGTGTCTTTTATACTCACAAGTTTGCGATACAAGTATGTGAATTAAAAATATCTAAAATAATTTTGAAGTTTCAACACTGAAAGAATTCAAAATTAAAGTGTAATTTTTTCATTCATTGACCAAAAACACCACATGATTCAGAACATTCATCGCCGACTAATTTAAATCGCCGAACATTTTACATCATATTAAATTCAAAATTACACATTCCGATTGATTCGCAAACTCATATCTGTTCCAACCATTATGGAAGCCATATGTGGAAGTTTTTGGCATTTAAATTGAATAGTGATGGAATTCATGTGAAAAAAGCAAAATTAAGTTAAAAATTCGGGAGATAAAAAGTTTTTGGTAACGACTTTCATTCAGTATGAAACAGGTTCCACTATTAGTAAGACAAACGAAGAACATATTTTTGAAATATGAGTAGCCAATTTTGAAGCCGCTATTAAGTAAATGCTGTTTATTACACTCTAAGAAAGGGTGTAATTTCCACAAAAAAGTTGGCAAAATGTGAAAAAATTGTAGAAATATGCATTTTGGAAAAAGGTAATTCAATTAAAATTTCAATACCATGTGTAACTCAGGCCTCATTAGAAAACTTTGGCTTTACTTGGACAGAATAATGTTATGCTACAGAGCGTCCAAGGCTGAATGGTTTTTTTATGGTTTAGTTTAAAAAACATGAAATCCAGTAGAACTTGCTGAAAAAATCGAGGAATGTAATTCTCTCTTTCTCTGCTTGGGCAAGATAGATGGGCATCTATGTATAAACTTCACATTTATGGAGATTAGCTTAGTACTTGACGCTTCAAATTTGCAACCGAATCGTGTTTATTGCATGCAGTTCCTTCAACGACATCAACTATTTGTTGTACCACAGTAAACCAGTTGCGCATATCATCACAAAACAATAAAAAATTTCAAATATTTTGCCATCTTGAATGTGTGAAATCAGCATCCCAGTTCTTTGAATGCAGGAATATCTATTGTTAACTTGTTCACTTTGTTCTTGTTATATCAGTGACTCTACAGTCTACACACTACACGCTAGTTCTCTCGAATTTCTAGCATTGACAAGTCATTATTTGGCAATAGAATATCGTGTTTTGTGCAAATCATCAAATGGCCAGAAGCACAACTTGAACATTGCCATCGATATAATATGGATAGAGCGTTTGTTGTGAGAGAATCGAAGCATAACTCAATTCAATCAATCACACACCAAATCATTTCATAAACCAATTATTTCAATTATTACTAATAGTACAAATTGTTGAGATTTTCTATGAAATTTGAGAATTAAACACACGTACGGATAGTGAATTGTTCAGGTTTTGTGGGGTGGAGTTTTGCAGATACCACACTTGAAATTGTGCAATTTTGCCATTTTGTAGTTGGTACGATAGAATGAACATTTTATTCAAGCATCAGTTGTTGTCGAATAATGATTCATTGAAATTTTGCAAGTGACACTCAATTTCTCATGATTTAATTTTAACTGAAAATCTGAAAATGCCACACACATACACAGTACACACACGTCCATTGCAAGATGCTTTGGCAACGCCAGCAAAATTTTATTGAAAGCCACCGAACACTAAGAAACCACCCGAAGTTTTTTTTTTTCGATTTTGGTACATGTAATTATGAGCATAAGTACGAAAAATGATTCTCAATTATATTCAGTTTGAGTTTCATACAATTTTCAAGTGTATAATATAGTACATAAATCCATGGACCATGTTTTGAATACATTAAATTTCTATTTTATATTCTATAGATGCTTGCATGAGATGCGGTTTGATAAATAAATGGAAAAGCGTCGCCACAAACTAAAATGCTATTGTGTGTGATCACAAGCGGAACGAGACATTGTTTAAGGGATGTTTCAACATTTATTTACCAATGCATAGTAAATGAAGAGATGCTGATAAATTATATTGTGTACTTTCCATTTTGATGATGTGGCATTGATGTTGTGTGTGCACGTATTTGATAATGTCTTATTTCAGGCGTACGTCATTTAAAGCCGACTTTTTTTACTCCAATCCACTCATTCGTCTCTTATGCCATCGTTATAGTGTGCGAGGACAAGGATTTTCTCACGCTTTTCATCCATAAATTTTCGCATTTTTCAGCAATTTTCGAATGGATAAAATTCGACAACTCAAAATTATTGAACCTTTTTCCGACCGCTCAATGTATCGACATTACTTGCAACAAACACTTTTGCGTACAGATTTTAAATCGATTTTATTTTGATATGAAATTGACAACAAAAATACATCATTTCATAAAAATAAATGGAAAATGGACATTGTTTACTAGTGCTTCGTGTGTAGATATTTCTTTCATCACAAGAAATTGGATTTTCCGACTCGATCGAGCAGTTTGGTGAAAACTTATTAAAAACACACTACCATCACGACAAGTTTGAAACTGTTTGGCACAGACAATTATATAATTGCATCTATTCGAACGGAGCTTGTCACACTCCTGCGTACATTCATTAATTTATATCTAGCTAAATACATTTATTTATGATAATAACGATAACAAACGCCATTTAATTTAATTAGATTTAGTGTAGGGAAATTTACATAAAATATTTTCATTAGATTACATATAATAAATACAGAGGTTGAACTTGTCAAGTTTCATACATCCATAATGGATAAAGTGAATTCGGTTACGCATATTCCATGCTTTTTTTCATCTGCATGGCATGATTTGAGTTGTTCGCTTATGCGAAATGTTTATTGAAACTATTATTATGACAAAGAAAGTATGAACAAAAAAAAACAAGATATGTGATAGAGGCAATGGAAGGAATACTTGACGCAAGTGAATGTGTTATGGCACAGCGACAATTCCGTCTCTATCTCTTTTTTCATTTTGAAGGATGAGAAAAGAGTTATACGTTCCAAAACTATGGCAAGAGCACTTGCGGTTGAGTGTGTGTGTGTGTGTCTGTGTGTGAAAAAGAGATAAAATGCGATGAAAATATTCCGGCTTATGTGTGGATTATGTGCGCCCGTGCGCGCACGTTCGTGAGCGTGAACGAGCAAAAGAGAATCTATATGTACACACACATACTAAAAGATGTTAATGGCTCTTGTACGACGCGCGTCTTTCGAATCGACAGTCTCTCACGCTTACCAAACTACTTGGAATATACGATGTACTTCTCTGTATCTTTTCATGTTTCGCTTCGCTTTCCGTTTGGTAATATCATGCAGTTTATTGTTGTGTTTTTTTTATCGTCTTCTTTCCTTTCTTCTTCTTTAGTTCGTTCGTTTTAAAGTTCTCATTGATCTCTTTCTCTTTCTCTCCCGTCCTCTATATCTCTTCTTCTATCTCTCTTCTCTCTCCCTCTCTCTGGCTCTTTTGCTCGTTCCGTCACTGCGTCGGCCATATATACGATCACATATGTGTGAGCCCTAGAGACGGTTACATCGAAATATTATAGTGAGCATGCTACGCATATGGTCTAACCGCGCAGCGATGAAAAAATAAACTCTTAAGACTTAAGTCGAATGTGAGTTGCGCACTTTGCTCACGGCTTTTGAATTGTCTCACTTCTGCCTTCCTCTTGTGTACTTCTTCTGTTTTTTTCATGTTTGACGTTTCATTTGGTTCGCGCGCGCTTATATATGTTTGTATCTTTCTACCATCTCCTTCTTGTTCGTCATCATCACCATCGTTGCCGTTGTCGTCGTCGTATAATTTCTTTGTATTTTATAGTTGCTTACTCGTCATCGTGTTCATTTATTTGTTGGCTTCTATTGAACCAAAACCATTGACCGCACCAGTGCATACGCAACAGTCGAAAGACGAAGAATATATCGATCGCTTAAGCATGCGCTCGCGCTCATTCAATCGCTTCACAGTCTTGTACATAACATTCTGTGTTTAAAATACAAAAAAAAAAAGACTCTGCTCAAACAAATGAACATTATTACATATTGTTGAGAATGAGAGACAAACATCAAACTCAATATTAATTTCGTAAATTGTGTGATATATTTTTGTGTTATTGTGTGTTATTCAATTGAATGCGTCTTTTATTTATTCGAATGAATTTTGTTTTGATGCAATATAAAATTTGTGTCGTACATTTTGCATGAATCGTGATTAGTTGATCCGTTGGATCAAGCCCTCTTTAAAAGCGATTAACCAAAAGTGCTGAACGCATCGAAAAAGTGTATTGAAAAACTTGCTTTTTGAACTAAATCAAGACGAAAAGTGTAGCATATCGCAAAAAACCTGTTTACAAAAGAAACAACGAACAAAATTTCGATCATTTTCGTCTTGGAACAAAAATAATAACATAATATAAAAACAGCTAAATACTAAAGGTACGATTTTTTCTGAAGATCAACCGAAACGAGAGGTACAGAGAGAGAGAGAGAAACGAAAAACGGTTAAATCGCCCGATTTTGTGCAATGCTAATTTCAGTGGATAGCTAAATATGTTGTGTGCATGAAACATCGACGCCCGCAGGTGGTTTGCCTGTTGTTTTATTTCGCTTACAGTGTAAAATATCGTGTAAGAAAAGGAATATTATAAATTCGATGTATGTAGTTGTTGTTGTTCTTTTCCTCAAATTCCGAACAAGTGTTACTATTGACCCTGTGTGTGACTTTGTGTGCTTGTTAATGTCTTCTACTTTAAAGCAAATCGTCAGCATTAAAAACAAATACAAAGAAAATACAATTGACATAGACAAAGCTATTCCATACTACTGTTTAATCACACAAACTCATCGCACAAAAACCAATTCATTTTCCAACCATTTGCGTTCGGTTTATATATTCGGCCTTTGATGAAGTCCGACGAAGTAAGTGACCATTTCGATGCTCGCAGAACACATACTATGAGTGAAGTTATTTATGCGATTACAAGCAATTAATCGAAGAGTGCTAAAACAATCAAAACGTGTTCATTCGTGCGGGATTCAAAACTAAAAGTAAATGACATTGTATTTGCCTGCTGTTGCTGCTTTTCTACGCAATTTATTTGCACATATTGGAATGCAATTGACTTGCACTTATGTGTATGAGTATGTGTGTGTGTGAACATCATTCATGCCCATTTGCAACAAGTGTGTTTGTGAATAGTAAAAACGGATGTTAGCTGCAACATTTTTCCAGGATTAAATCGATTTGAACGCGAACAAATTGCACGGCATAGTTACAAAAGGTATGTGTATGCTTTTATCATTTATTAGACGTGAGATTCTTCAATATGAAATGGAATGAACATTTTTTTTTCTTGTTGTTCATGTGTACATTTTCAACTGAAACATATTTCGAATGAAATGCAGTCGATTCAGCTAATGAATTGCTTTATACTTATGAATAGGAATTAAAAAAAACCGATTCGAAATAAGTGAAAAAAGAAAAAAAGAAGAAAAAAACACTTGAGCATGATCATGCATTTGATTATCAATGTTGCATAGGCCAACAAGACATACTTCGATTGTGTGAAAACAATGTACTCTATTCATCTCAAAACACACTCAAACGAATATGAACTCAGCACGTATTGCATTCATCTCATTTGCAATTTCTTGGCATATTCCTTCTGCGTTCGATTCGCAGACGGGAGTACTCGCATCGATATATCGAACGCATTTAATGTGAAAGTGTATCAACCTCATAGTTAGGAGGGAAACAACAACAGCAACAACAAAATAGCATGCAATGTGTGTAATCCACTCATGATTCTCTCAGGTACACACACGTACATCGATCGAGTTGCGCTAGCGTGCATCCACATATTTGCATCATGATGTACAGTGCAAAGAAGCCAAGTTGTTGTAAATTTAATCGATATTAATATCTTTGCAACGATGTTTTACCGGTAAAGACAAGATACGACCAGCTCGCTTCAGCATGAGTGAACGAGAAAGGAGTACGAGTCATCTATTATGCAAAAAAAGTGCTGGATTTTCTCTCTCTCCCTCTCATATGTCGCTAATATATCTCGTCGTCGCTTCATAAATTGAAATTGTTTGCATTCATTCCGGCCGAGGTCGGGTCGACAAAATTAAATTGCAACAACTGAACAAACGAAACGATATACCACTTACGACCACCGAATGGAATGGAACCCATTTCCTTGGAATTGAACTCACTTTTATGAAAAAAAAAAAAAAAAAAAAATGAAATACCATTTGAAGATTGTGCTAATAACACTTCTTCTATTCATTAACATAATATTTGTCATTTCACGCATTTGTCAAAATGCAAAACCAACAAAATAAATTAAGAAAAAGAAACGAGATACAAAAGATATTACGCGAAGGCGCCAAAATGAAATCGTTTTGTATTTCATTTATAAATACTGTTGGACATCATTCAACATCAACGACAGTTGTGTGTACTCCATTCGGTGTTGAATCACCTGCTGCAAATAAATACCACCAAAAAATACCATTTTAAAAAAGAAAAGAAAAGAAAAACATTTATTCTCTTCATTCAGTCATTCATTTGGTTGTTGCATTGAATCAAAAAAGAAGGGGGAAACAATGTCATGCATGCTATTCATCAGGCATTTATAACAGGAACCATTGACCAGTTTTATTCATGAGTTTTGTCTATTACAGCAGAACAATATAACTGAAAAGAGAAAGAATAAAGATATCGCTGCTTTGCAACACATGTTTGGAATTTTTTTTTTTTTTTTAATATTACGCACCATCCACCATATACACATATTTGAAAATTCTTCAAGAATAAATTCGAAGCAAATGCCAAATGTCACAAAGAAATTTGAAATTCTCTCATCATTTGGCGTGTTTTAAGTGTGCTCTGTGCACATCTTCTTCTTCCTTGGAGATGTTCTTCTTCCATCGGAAGAGATGACTTTTTTTTCGTTCGTTCGTTCGTCTCTTTTCGTTATCTCCACCGATTTATTTTAACTTTGTTTCACAAGAGAGTATATTCCATGAAATGAAATGGACATTTACGTTCTTGTTTTTATTTTCATTGAAAGAGAGATGAAAAGAAACAGTTTAAGTGTATTTGAAGCATGTTAATTGTTGCGCGTTGTGCTATAATCTTATGACGAATGGCCGAACGAAGAATTTATAAATAATTAAATACGTTGTTGTTCATTTTTTATTTTCTTGTTGCCTTTAACAGCGGCTCGCACATCATTTTTCACGTGTTGGTTCGGCAATTAATTTTTGATGTAATTATTATGTAAAGAAACGCAATTTACCGCCACTTCTATTGTATAGAAGTCGTCATCGTCATCATCACGGTTTGTCGTCTCTTTTAGGGCGATGCTCAATAGTTTTTAAAAGATGTACCACGATTCAAATGTGAACGAAGAGTCATTTTTCGATGTGAATTACGTACCAAAAAAAATTGCTAATTATTATGCTTTAGAGATGGCTAACAAAAAAAAAACGACGAGAAACGGTTCCCTTGTGAATTTTTGGTACTTCCGCTGGAAATATGATTGTCGGTTGAATCCCTTGATTTCAACATGATTTAATTGCTTTCAACTAACTGTAAATTAGACTAAACGATGTGACAACTCCCAACGAAAAAAATATGGATGTTTAGTTTTATTCCTGCTGTTGACAAATACACATCATAAGTTCCGTATTTAGTGTATGAGTGAGTGCAACAAGTGCAATATATTTTCGATGGCATTCATTGTGGCCAAGCGATTGGTTTGTTTTATATTGCATGTATGAAAATTTGTGTTCCAAGAAGAAAGGGAAATTGCTTTTTTGTTTTGGGTGTGTGTGTGTCTGAGTGCAGTTCAACCATCGGCGCCCAAATAATATTCGTCACGGTTGCTTGACTAGCATTTAAAATACAATACACGAATACACGTGTGTCTGTCTCTCTGTGTTTTTTTTTTGTATTTCGTCGATTTTCGAATTCACTCCAAAAATGGGGAAGAATGGTGTGGTTGCATTTTAAATGACAATTACTCCAATTCCACTTGAATTCATCGTGGTTTTTTTTTTTGTTTCAGTATTTTTGATTTAGTATTCATTTTTAATTTGGTATTTATTTTCTGGAGCAGCACTTGTGTTTTTGTTTCATTCCGGCACTTGTTTCACACAATGTATACATACAATGGTTTGTTTTTTTCCTACGTTAATTTTAAAGATACCGTCGAAAATGAGAGACGGGCATAATCAAGTATGAGTGTATGTGTATGTTTATATGATACAACGCATAATTTTGCTGAGCAAGCATAAACGCGCGCGTACACGCAAATCCGTTTACTTGTCGAAATGTCAGGTTGTGCAGAGGCCGTTTTTTTTTCTTCATTTTTATGTTGTTGTCGTTGTTTCGTTTTTGTAATAATTCGTTATGTAAATGGTAACAAAAAGCTATGCTCAGTCGCCCAAAAGCCCATTGAATCGGTAGCATATATTTTTATGCTCGCATGGTCACAGTGTAGGCGGTCGCCGTCAGTGTCGACAAACCGATTTTTCAGTTGCAATTTGAGCGCGCGTCCGATATATGCACAACTGAATATGAGTGCACAAATGTTACCCTACGTCTTCCGAAATTAAGAGAAATTTCTGTGCGTGACTATTTGACGAAACAACAAAAACAAGAGCAACAGATTTTTTTTCAAAAAAAAACTAAATACAATTTGAATATCAACAAAAATAAAGTTTAACGAACGATCGATTATCCAGTGTGTATGTGTGAACTTGCTGTGTAAAAATATAACAATTATTAATCACGATTCTCAATTGAAAGCAATAAAATGATTGTGTTAATTTTCATCTTTAGCCACGTATAATGTGATTTGAATTCAATAGAAGAAACAATTTGTCTTCTTTGCAATGAATTTTATATTCTCTACGATCATGGGGTGTCGGTATTTCGGGTCTAACTTTCTATTTTTCAATAAAATATCAGCTAATTCAACAAATATGCGTTAATTCATGGCAATGCCATTGTGTCTGTGGTTGAAAAATCAGCAGCAAAAAAAATAGTGTACAAGCAATTGGTGTACAGTGATATTTATGCAGTGCATGCGTAATAAATGATGCAAAAACTTTGAAAACCTTTAACAATGTGATGCAACATTTTACATTTTATGGTGAACCGCACCAGCTCATGTTACTTTTTTTTCTCTATCCTTCATTCAAGTATTAAATAGTGATAATCTATTTGAAAAAAAAATATCGCATTGTACTCAAAAACCCGCGCACACACACACACACCTATTTTAATTAGCTCTTGCTGTGATATTTTCTCTCGTTATAAAATTTCAAAATGTTCAAAGAATATTTTTCATTTAATCGCATACATTTCGTGGAATCACATTTATTTGCTTCGTTGTGAGCTGTGCATTTGTGTGTTTCTCTCTCTCTCTCTCTCTGCCATTTCACTTGACTCGTTCGTAAAATGTTCTTTAGCGCCTTGAATATGCTCATTATATGTACGATACCGAAATTCAGCTGTAATCGGATAAAAACGTTTTTCTTTTGTCATAAAATGCCAAACATGTTCTCACGTTTATTCGCACTTTTCGTAATATGGTTGCTACCGAAAAAAACAAAACGGTTAGATGTCATTTTTTTGTGCTAACATCAGCTCATTAAATTTTTATATGTATTTTGCAGCCAATGTCCAACCAAGACGAGCATTTTTCGCAATACAATATTGCTTGACCAATTAAAAGCATAGACCGGCATAGACAGAGTGCCATAGCTCAAACTATGCGATAACTCAACTGCAACTAAACTGTTGTTTAATATGCTGTGGCTACTTTTTATGCATGTTCGATTCTTCATTTTTGTCTATCTCTCTATCGGAGATAGACATTTAATAAACACATTCCAGTGTCATAAATTGTGGTTTTTGTGTTTTGTGTGACGCCAACGGTAAAAAAAAACAAATGAACATCCAATCAAAATTAATGTTTAATTGACGCATGTAAAATAGGTTAATCTCTGCTCGGAACAAAAGCTCGAATCGATAGTCCGGGTGGGCTGTTTGGAACATATGCGCATTTCAACGCAACAATAAAAGTTGACAAATTCATTAGAAACTCCAAGAGGGGGCTAAAAAAACAATAGCATACCCAGATTGGCATGTTATATTGAATTGAAATGATTGACATCGTTTTCTCTTTGATTTCACAACTCACATTCTACTTGACCACGACTATTTATGATTTGGCCTTTTGACCACATACTTCTTTTTGTTTTGGCCAATATCCAAAATAAGCACTTCCAAAATCTCATCTCGTTTTGCCATATTTTTTAATGGGCGATATTCAATTCTTTATCGATTATCACTTGGGACGAGAGCGAAAAAAAAACCCATCATCAAAACATCTATTTCTTTTCTTGTCATTGGGTCCAGTGCTGCATTGGTTCGACATTGCTCGAAATGTATCGATTATTATATGATAAATCGTTGCTAATTAAATATTGTTTATAGTTATTTGATATGCGCTCGTTAAATATACCAAAATAGTGATTTAATGGGATTTTCGAATGACGAATCGAAAATGGTGTTAAGCATTTTGTGAGACAGTATCACAGTGACATGTTGAGATAAATTATTGACAAATGATTGGCAATGATTAAGCCATTTTTTACGAATATTTTGCTTTTCTTGGGATTTGTTTTATTAGAATTGACTAAATTCGTTTATATGACCATTTTGTGAGTTCACATTCAACTTAACGCCATGAAAGTGCGCACAGTGAGACAGATTAAGCAGCAACAACGTCATCAGCGACAACAAGGTATCTAATGAAATCACATGCTGTTTGAAATAAATGAGAAAAATCTTCTTTTATCGCAGTTAATTCAACGGAAAATCGTTGGATTCGTTGAGAAAGTGACATAAAAAGATTGTTGACAAAAAAAAATCATCTGAATTTCCATTTTTGTTTGAAGAAAATCTCAAAATATATGTAGAAAATAAATATAAACATGCATTTTAATTAATTTATTTAATATATGTTTCTGGTATTTTCAGCTGGCGTTGAATCAAAATCATCCATAAACAGTAGCGGACCAGTGCAAAGTCAATCGTCATCATATTTAACGGCCGCATTGACAAAATTATCATTGAAATCATCATTGAAGACTGAAAGTCCTCCGTACAAAATGCCACCAGCACCATTAAATGAAAGCAGCAGCAATGCTTATACAGACGCTCAAATACCAGGCATGACACTAATCAATGACACTCAACCAAATGTATCGTCCGTATCGTTGCGAACACATTCATCTAAATTTCCGGTAAGAAGAGATTTAATACACATACACACACAAATGTGACACAAATATGATATAAAATGAAGTAATCATGATGTCGAAAATGCAATACGAAACGAGAGTGAGAAAATTTCAGTTCACTTTACTGTGGGCAATTTTCGGCTTTCGTTTTAGCGTACATACGCGAATGATGTTATATGTTGAAAATAAATCATGATAATCGATATTTGTTTCAATTTCCGGTACTCGTTTCTGACAGATTGAACGCGAACTGATATTGTCTAGTGACAAGGCATCATCAAAAATTCCATTAATGCATGAGTCGCGCACCCCATCTGGTGTACGCCGTGCCGGTCTACCACTATTATCACGTCAACCGGGCTCCATTGCACCTGATCATCCTCCGAAACAAGTACATGCATGGGTAAGTGTTTTTCGCTTTTTCTTAGAATGTGTGTGCAGCTCAAAAGTGTGAGCATTTGAAAGAGAGAGAGAGAGAGAGAGAGAGAGAGAGAGAGAGAGAAAGAAGAAAAAAGAGTCAAAATTCGGTTCCAACGGAGAATACGGTCTTGATTGAATTGCACACATAACAATCAAAAGTTGATTGGTGTGACCGCGTGTGTGTGTGTGATTCAAATCAAATCAGAGTCTCTCACGTAGCACCAAAAAAGAGAAATAAAATCGAGCTTATAAAAAATAAATACAAAAATGAAACGAGAATGAATTAAAAATTCAGCTCGGGTGCGAACAAAGCAAGATAAAAAAGATATTTGTCGCGCGTTTTTTTTTTCCTTTTTCATGAGCATGTGTGTGTGCATTCACACTTTTTTCAAATTCTTGTTCAACTTTTCTTTGTCTTCTGTTTATGTTATTGTTGTTGTTGTTGTTTTGAAATATCATTTTGATGTGTGGCTGTAAAAGTTAAAATCTTTTCCCTTGTTTTGAATTTTAAAAAGAAGAAGAAGACACAAAAAAGAGATTTTCACATGAGCTCAACACTTCTTGTTGTATGATGGTTGAGTTTTTGACACATCTTCTTCGTACTCACGACAGGAATTGCATGTGTGGTAAAAAAGTGATTTAATTATTTAAACAAAACAAAAAAAAAAATAATGAAACAAAGAATAAACCAAATGAAATGTGTGTAAATCTGCACACGAATACGTGCGTTCTTCTTGGCAACCTATGGTGCGCCAAATGATTGAATGGAGAGAAGAAAAAAAAAACGAAATAACAACACACAACAATAAAAGCAGCAGAATAGCAAAAGAAATAAATTCACATAATATAAATCTAATTTTGCACTCTGAATTTCGCATAGGCGAGTGTAGAGAATAATTAAAATACGTATTACATTTCCACATAATATCACATATATTTTTATTTCGTTTCTATCTCTGTTGTTTCGTTCATCTTGGCCGTAATCAGTTTGGAAAACATGTACGTTGTTACGGCGTCTGATTGTTAGTTGGATTTGATCATTTGATCGAAGTGTATTGCGCCTCTGACAGTGTACTGTCTCGTCTTCACAGCTTAATTCGTTTTCAATTATTCCGATTTAAAAAAGAAATTGAGGCGGAAAAAGAACCGTACATCACACTGTTTGTTGGATGTTCGCATTATTTAGTGTCCGACGAGCTCAAATATTTCGGCCAAAAGTGTCAAATGTGATTCGTGTAGCAAACCAACAGTGAACGATTGTAAAAGTTTTTTTTTGTTTCATGTGGCGAATTTCGTGGCGCTGAATGAGTGTGTGTGTGTGTTCGTTATGGGCGTGCTAGGAAGTCTCGGTAGAATTCATAATTGATTGATTGAATTTTCCCGGAATAGTTTTTAATGATTTGTTTGAAAACTGAAATGCGATGCATAAATCTATGCTCTTACTGAATACTTTTTTCAGGCATAAGTGGATGTGTGTGTGTCTGACGATCGGAGTGTTGTGTCTCTTTGGTCTTCAGTCAGTTTTCAGTGCTGACTCGACCGTTACAATTTCCGTTCCAAGTCAATAAGTTTTGTGCATGCAATAAGTGAAGTGTGGTACCGGTGTTGTTCTATCTCTGTTTGAGCCCCGTCACCATTGCCATATCCCTATCTTTCGGTTTTTCTCTTTCTCGTATACATATCGTTCAGAATGCATCTGCATTTTTTATATATAAAAAATATATGCGTGCATATGTGTTTGTTGCATTTCAATGCAGATTTTGCTTGATTTTCGATCATGTATTTTTAGTGTTGTCGTCGCCGTCATCGTTGTCTTCGTTGTCATTTCTCCATTCGTAGATCCATCACATGGATTATTGTTGACGTTGAAAAAAAAAACGAGCAAAAAATGGCATTAATTTCATCGAAATATTCATTTGAATACTGTGTCTATACTCGATCGCCCAATGAAAATGAACGTGTTTTGGTATATATCTTTATTTCCAGCTTTCTTTTACGTAAATCATCGGAATATAAAAATAAATGCATGCCAATTCATTAAATTTTTGCAAGCGGTTCTCTTCTTTCACCTCTTCTTCTTATTCTTCGTTGCAATTCTTATGCTGCTGCGTTGAGTGGGGTGGGGAAGGCCTCTGAACGAGCAAAAGAGAGCGCACGAGGGAGATAAAGTAAGAGAAAAAAAGCAACAATTTATTAATATACGTAATCTAATTGCGAAGAAGTTTTTCTTTTCTTTTGTTTCTTATTTTGTTTGTTATTTATGTGATGTTTTCTTGCTATTTTTCACCTGACTCATTCTGACTATGTCTGCATGTCTGTTGATGTTGCTTCTGAATTTTAAGTTCTTAATCATTTTCATTTTGTATCTTGAGCAATGCACAGTGCAATCAACTGTCTACTCTTTTTGTCCATTAATTCGAATTTCGATTTAAAATCCAGTGAGCATTCCAATAGTTTATTGTGAAGTGTGTAATCGATCGAGGTTTTTGTTCGAGTTTGCCCTATATCGATTTTGGCTTTGTTCAAAATTAATGGGAGTAAATTTTGTGAATTGAACACAACATTCCAATTATGTGGTGTGCCGATGGTGTGGTTTTCATTCTCGATTATTTTCATTAGTTCATTCATGTTTTTTGTGCTTTTCCATTGATATTGTTGTTGTTTTAATCTCGACATTTCTCGAACAAATTTTCCGTGCGTGTGTTCAATAAAAAACTAAAATCAACTAAATGTGTTGAGATGTCGAAAATGAAACTGTAAACACAGATGCCAACAAAGTCTCTTCATGCTAGTTTTTTTGTTGTTGTGTGAAGAATAGTGCGATTGTAGTGAAAAAGAATGGAAAATGATAAATCGAATGTGCTGACTACATTCAACGTTAGTTTGGCTCTGGTTAAAATCATTTGATGTCATTCAACTTTACAGAGAGTCTTTTGTTTGATAATTCGCGAGAAAATTGGCTTCGTTCTTGGACGGTTATGTTCTGTGCGTTTTTCTTTCTCTTCGTCTTCCTCATGCTGCTCTGCTTTACCAAATAGAGATTCCAAAGAATAAACAATATTTCATTCGATAGTCACACGAGAGAAAGACGAAACGAACAAAAAAACATTGAGATTTATCTTTTCAAATCTGAGAACTAGGTTTCAGATTTTAAGTGTGATTTGCCGTGTATTCATTCAGCGTCGCTAAAATTAAGATAAAGCGTGTATACGTTTAATTGGATTATATATTCAGTTCGTGAGTTGATTCAAAGACTTATTCCGAGCGAGTTTGTGTGCGTTTTTTGGGCGATGAGCAACTATCTTTTGGAATGCGCGTGTATATCGCAGATGAATGGAAACAATGCAATGCTACGCACGTCACAAAACTGAAAATATCTGTGTGAAAATGTTTTGATATGAATTTCACTTCGACTGTTATTCATTAAAATCATTTGACTTCGTGTGTTCTCTGTTTCATTTATGCGCACGCTCTTCTTATGCACGGAACTGATGTAAAAGATTAAAGAGAAATGGGAAAATCCAAAGTGGGCGAGAGAATGAGAGAGAGAAAAGTATTTTGAGATGCAAAACAAGTGTATAATTAAATTTTCTTTTTGTGTTCTTTTGTTGCCCACCACCACCATCGTCATCGACGTCGTCATCGTACAGTGTCAACATAGGCATCATCATAATCATCATCGTGTGAAGCAATTCCATTGCTGAATTCATTCGAACAATCCTCACCCAAAACTCAAATTCTCAATGTCTCAATGAGAGAGAAAAAGTAAACAATTGTGTTTGTGTGTGTGTGTGACCAAATCTGAAGACGTTACAAATCCCTTCTATTCAAGCAAATAATATAGCAGTGTTTTTTTTGTGTATTGTTGTTTTCAAAAAAAAAAAACTCTAATCATCCGTATTCGCCAGAGGTGATTTGTTTAGAGTCCGGCATTCAAGCACCAAGACATGGTGGAATTTGCACTGGAACATGTAAGCACATCTATAGTGGTCCCTCAATAACAAACAGTTGTTGTTTAGTTTACTTATGTGTCTTTTTTTTGCTCAGCATTTTTTTTTAAATATTCATTCGGTGCATGCAATTAACTCGATGTTCGTTGTAACATGCATTTTGTTTACTTGTCTTTTCTTTCTTTGCACACGCTAAACGAACCTAGTCGTTAATAGATATGCAATAGGCCGACGCAGAGTCGGTGTATGCACTTGTTGCTGTCTGCTCGCATTTTGCATGTGTCGGCTCTTTGAAACTTCCACCGCGTCTGCATCGATCATACAGCAAATTTGCGCACAAAGCATAACAAATAAAGAAGAAGAAAAAAAACCAACGAAAGAAAGAAGGAAAGAAGAAAAGACAAATGGCAAAAGCTGCACAAAAGAACACCGAAGAATTACTCTATTGTTTATACAAAAAAAAAATTAAAGCGAAAACCAATTTTTTTATTGTTTTTTTTTTCGCTGCGGTTCACTGTTTCGTTCGTTGTTACTTGCATTTAGTAAAAATGGCGCTCTGCATCAGAGCGTAGTGCACGCACACGCCCCGCGAAAGAAAATAAAAATACACAACGAATCAACCAAATGAATTCGCATAGAATATTTCAGGGCATACTAATAAATGTATTATTATACGATATGGCTTTCGAATGAAATGAGCCTCTCCCTTCCCCACTCTCGCTCTCTCTTTATCCATAAATTGTTAGTGTTTTATGATTTGATTTTTATGCCATCTTCTAATGCTTTTTCTCTTTTCATTTCATTCAACCTCAACAGCAAAATTCGCAGCATTCAAATTCGCAAGAGATATTGCAACAACAACATCAGCCGATCATTCAACAGACGCAGTCATCGTTGACTGGTGCTATATCACGTACACCGGCCCGTTTGCCGGAAGATGTGACGGCTTTAGCTGATCGAGATAATGTCGGTCGCGATAGAGATGCCAATAATAAAAATGCAGTCACAAAAACCTATCACACCTTAAAAGATTTGATTTCTTCCAAATTCAAGAAGGACAACAACGATGTGGCCGATGAACTTAATAATGTTGTAGTTGTGCAACAACAGCAGCAGCAGCAGCAACAACAACAACAAAACCTCTCCCAAAGTATCGGTAAATCACCAAATGATGATTTTCGAATGCCACATACTCCAATCCCATCGCATATTCGGCAAATGCAAAATTTGAATCAATCACAACCAAATATTGCGCAAAAAACGAATGGTGCCGCTGGTGCAATGAATGGTAACGGTGTCGGCAGTGATGTATTTCGAAAGATCCAACAAGAACGGGCCGCTTCACAGCCACAACTCAATTTACCAATGTTTGAGCGACGCAATTCAACCGACATTGTCACCGACAGCGATGACGGGGGATTCAAGAAAATCGAACAATCCACTAGAATAGTTAATCGACGGCCACAAACAATGTATCATTTGTCAACACCACCAACACAACCTCCGCCACATCCGGTAAGCAAGCAAATTTCACAACGAAAAAAAAAAAACATTCTAAATACATTGCATTTTTCTAGCCAATACAACAGCAGCAACAACAACAACCGCATTACCAGTCATTTTCATCCCTATTTCAACATCAATATTTGAACAATCAACCAAATCAATATCAACACTCACATATGCATCAACATCAGTCCCAGGTGAATATGGTATATAATCAAATATTCAATCGATGATTCAAGTGACTAGTTGAATTTAGTAAATGTGATTTTAAAATTTCATATGTTTTACACATTTTTCATGTAGCAACCAAATCAAAATGTGAATGCATTTGCCGGACGATTTTCCAGCCAAACGGAAATGTCAACGTCGGCATTATTGCAAACCCGTCAAGATGCACAACGTGCATCATTTCAAAAGCGACTACAAGAGAGTGAATCAACCGGTCCACACGAGACTACGCCACAAATGTCACAGCAACAACAACAACAGCAGCAGCAGCAGCAGCAGCAACAGCAACAGTCGAAGCTACAGCCGTTACAAAGAATGGAACCACGTCAAACGCATGATGCAAATAAAAATGTATCAGGTTCAGCAAATAGTTCTGACTACGATAAAAGCGGAAATCAAAGTTCAAATGTTGATTCGGGTCGTGGTAGTGCCGCATATTCAAGCGGTCGCAAAGCACAACTTGATACAGAAAGTTCGGATTCACCGTTACGCGATGATACAAAAAATGACGATTCCGAATGGGTTGACATTGTCGATGCTGAACTTCGACACATTTTAGATCCAAGCATGCAAGCGTTATCACTTCGACCTGAAAGTACAGTGTCCGGAAGTGTATCGTCAATGTCACCACCATTACCACCATTGTCACCTGATAATAGTTCGTACAAAATGCCTTCCAATTCAAAGGATGTATCCAAACAAGAATATGGAACGGATAGCTATAATCGACCGGGACGCGGAGCATCGGCAATTGGACCGTCTCGAGCCGGTTGGCCGGGATCGGCAATTCATAAACAAGGTACGCACAACATCAAATTTTATATATTTTATGTAAAGTGAACTATTTTAATCATGAATCATTTTCAATTCTATCGGTCACCAATCATAAAATATTGAAATTATTTAGTTTTCATTTGTGAACTCTTGATGAATCAAAACAAATACGAAACGATTCAAATTAAATGTGCATGCATTAATGTTTTCGAAAACATTGAAAAAACTCCAAAATACAAAAAAACCATTTGAATTGCGATTAATGTAACCAAAGTACATAAAATTCATTTTTTTTATTGGAAAGCACATAAATGATTCCAAAGAATTGACCGCAAAACAAATATATGACCATTTCAACGTTTGTGCATTTCAATTTGTGATTTTATAAAAAGCGATAGAAATGTTTTTAAAGCACCATTTCGATTTACAGGGGTCTCATATGGAAAGCCGTCACAAAAGTTCTCAGGAAAAAAGCATGAACAAGCTGTTCTAAAGCGACACCGTAAGTGTAATTTAAAACAAAATAGATGGATTGTTTGGCATTGAAACCACATTAAACACTTTCTATTTTATTTGGCATAGTTTTTGGTTTGGATAACGATCTCACGTCAAATACGACACGGTCGTTGGATTTGGAATCTCTGCTGGGAGCAGCCTGGGGCACGACACAATCAGTTAGTGACTCCGAAACCGATACACAGGGCATTCGACACATTCGATCACAACTCGAAGGACTTGAGCATATGTAAGTTTTTTTTAGCTTAAACTTGAGCATATGCAATGGACGATGATTAGCAATAACTCGTTTCCCTTAATTCTAGGTATGGTGAGGTCTTGAAAATGCTTGGCTCACGAAGTAATTTTCCAGGGCGTTTGCAAGAGTCATTACGACCACGAGGTATTGGTATTCGCCGTCGTCACGGGAGCTTATCATCGCTTCCGTCAAGTTCAATCAGTGGCCGACCAATTCGAGATCGTCGACGAATTGATGAACGACGAAAAATTAAAGATGTCAAAGTACGAACAAAACTATTTTTTTCTACACACTTTTCTTTTATGTTCTTGTTTCTTTGTGACGGATAAAATGAATGATTGAATATTATTTTCCATTCGATTAGGGAATAAATAAGCGTTTCCAAAGACTTGAATCACATGTCGTAACATTGGCTCGTAGCGTTGCCCATTTATCGTCTGAAATGCGGTCTCAGCATTTGGTAACCCAAGAACTGGAAAAGCTTCGCGATGAATTCGCCACTTTAAGGTATTCATTTCAATTAAATGAAGAAAAAAAAAACATGCAAACAAAGCACTCAAACGAGAGAAAAAAAAGACGATACCAAATTCAAACGTAAATTATATAAATAAATAAACAAAAACTCTCTCTTCCGTCTTTCAATAGTCGAACTCAAGCGGCTCGTACACAGAATTTGCAACGCAGCACCGTGTCTGCCAATAATAATACAATCGAACCAGAACCACCAAATCTAACAAACCCAAAACGAGTAAAAAAATTGCGTAACTTCTTTGGTGAAGACCCGCCCCTGATGAGACTATTTCTAAGAAGTTTGGGCTATGAGGTAAAATGCCCGCTATATAATTTACACAACTTTTAACATATAGGATACATAAATTTAACGAACCGAAAACTAAAATATGTTTACTTTTTTATCGGTTTTTGCTGTTGCTGTTGCTGTTGCCGTACGGTGTTTTCTTCATGTGGCCAGAAATATGCGAATCTATTTGAATCGGAACGAGTGGGAATGATAGAACTTCCGTATTTGGGTGAAGAGCGTTTATCTAAAATGGGCATACCACTCGGTCCTAGAATGAGAATTCTGTCGGAAGCACAAATTTCACTTGTGAGAGACACAACTCTGTGTATTGTTTAACTTAATCAATTTGATGAATATATAAACAGAGTTGGTGAAAGAGCGAGAGAGTCAACTAAAATGCATTTGTAAATTGTTCATATTGTTATGTTTAAAGAGCAGAAACATTAAAGTTATATTATGATATGTACACTTGTATAGATAATATGTATATTCTTAAGTGCATCCATATTTTAAATTCACTTAGCTAAATAGAGGCGGTGGACGTGAGAGAAAGTGAGAAATAGTGAGACAGAGAGTTAAACGTTTTAACATTCTTTTCGAAAGGAGTTCAATTTTTCCATACGAATATAAATTTATACATTTCATAATTCGCATTGCATCGTCACCATCATGAGCATACAATCAAGCGCTCTAAACTGTTGCTGGTCTGTCTCTATCTTGCTCTATGTGTGTGTGTGTGTGTGTGTGATGACGACGATGATGCAAGCGCGCGTATTTCATCTTTCCAAGTGATAAGTTCGAAAAGACGCCAAACAGTTTCAAGCAAATTACTTTGTTTGTATCACTTCTTCTCTCAAACAAAATATTTTGATTGCAAATTGCATACAAATTGTGCACTTGTTTGAAACGATTTTTTTTTACTTTCTCTCGTCTCATTTCTTTCTTATTTTCTTTGTTAAAACATACGGAAGAGCACATGCTTGTTTTCTTACAATTTAGTCTACTAAAAGCAAATATAACGCCAACAACAAAAATAAGCAAAAAATTTAAACTTATTCTTAACTTTAATAAATAAATAAAAAAAAACGATTCTGTCTCCGAAAGAAACGGTGTTTATTTTCTTTATAAAATTCACATTTTACAACATTAAAACGGAGCCGATAAAAATAATCGCGCTCTCTTTCTTTATTCAAGTGAGTATGATGATGTCTGTATGAGCGGGAAGGGGTGATGGTGTTTTTTTCTTTTTATTTTGTGAGTTTGATTTTGGTTGTGAAGCAGCATTGCTCGGAGGTGGGCTCCGGTTTTTCCTCATTACGAAGGACCCATTTGATCGTGTATAAACTCTGAAACAATCGCTCATTAATATTCGAATCGAATAAAAAATTATAAAATTACAGCAAACTTTTACAAATGCAAATTCCAAAAGGCAATTGCACAAAATCTACTGGTCGAAAATCGTATGAAAATACATACCGTTGGGAATTTCTTAGCCAACGCTAGACTATAGCTATACGTATATCTTCTGTGGTCTTTTATAAATGGACATGTTGTATGCATGCATGCGTTTGTGTTCATTCCAGCTAGCGGTACATCACCATCATCGGTAGCCGAATATACCGCTCCAAAAACTTTGGTCGCGTTCCATTCTACGTATGTATACAGTATTCCGAAACATTGGAAAAGAAATTGTTGCATTTGCATATGTAAAAAAAGGAATCAAAATTCAATTCAGTAGTGAAATCCAATTTCAGAACATTGTTGTCGTATTTTGATCATGTTTCTTTTTAAATGCAAACAAATACCAAATTTATTGTTCACCAAATGTCACGATAGACTCCGAATGATTGTTTATTTTTTTACTAGAATAGGATTGCATTGTTAATTGGATTGCAGTCAACCGCTGTGAATTTGCATCAACCATATCATTCTGTTGGTCAACGTACATGAGAAATTCAAAAGCGTTCACAGATGCGATCACATTTTGGATTGTTCGTATGATTGATTGAACAAATTGGCGATTCTGGCAGCTAGAATACCTTCCAGCCAATTTCATTTTGATACCTCTACACGTACATTTTTTTTTAAATTTAATTAACGAAGTTTGATATACCAAATATACAGCCGGATGAATAGCACACATTGTGTATGCAATGTATTCATTTGCTTGGTGGTTAAATTTACAAAATTCGGATACACTATCTTTGCATATTGTACGATTCATATTTCATGCGTGTGTGTATGCTCTGTTTTTCTCTCTATTGTTGTCATATTTCAATTGAGATGGCAAATATTTTAGCAAACAAGCCAAAAATCAAGTGTTTTGAATCAGTAGTTGAAATACTTACGTGGTGTTACATCAAATTCTATTGTTGCCGATTTGCCACGTTTCAATTTGCAAAAACCAAGCTGTTCGAATTCAGGACACGGATTGACTCGTACTTCGTGTATGATACAGTCGCCTTATAAACATCCATGTATAAAACATAGATGGAAAATGAAGAGATTGAAATAAAATCCAAATAATAATTAATTTATGCGAGAGATACAGTGTGTGTGTGTGTGTCTGTGTGTTTAATAAAGTAAAATGTTGTAGCGAGATAGAGATTGTATATTGTATACATAGGCATTATCATTATGATTACGTTGTTACTATTGTCTAGATGTATGTTTTGTCAACGTTGCCAGTGATAGATTGGATGCGACAGTGGACAAAAGAGAAAGAGAGAGAGAGAATCACAGGCAAAAACGAGATGGAGACATGGGCCGCTGTTGCAGTGTTGACAGAGCTCTGAATTCAGGATTAAAATAGGTCATGATGCGATAACTTCTCTCAATCCTCGCAGGCTATTTATTGTGTGCGAAAATGAAAGTACGATTTGTAATTGTAATAACTGGGACTGAAATCGACAAAGTTATAATTACCCATAGATAATACAAAACGGAACAAAGTTCAAATCATAAAACTGTCGATAATAGCAAAATGTTGTCTATTTTACGTCAACCCATTTAGATGATGACTATCATTTGGGTTTCTCTCGGTACTGCAGTCTGACACAGTTAAACCAAATAACATTTGTTCAATCATTTTGGTTTTCTGTGTTAACAAAACGAAAAAAATACCGTTGAGCCAAAAAACAAAAACAAAATTGCATGAGAATCGGCAAAAAAACAACAATAAAAACTGCATAATAATACTTTAGTACTTAATATGGATTTTAGATAACAAAGCTGATATAATTTTATTATTTCCAGAGGGCGAAAATGAGATTTTCCTCTTTAAAAAAAAAGCACAATACCTCCCTCATGAAAATATTTTGACTAGCTCATTAATTTTGCATAACATAAACGGCCCAAATATTCATTATTCAGTACAAAAAATACGCGATTTAAAAATTGTGATTTTTCAAACACTTGTTTGGACGGTTTTTTTTTTCTCACTTATTTGGAGATGCCAACATTCGATTTACATGCGGGCCAGCCGTAAACTGATTTTATTTTATTAAAATTGTTATTATTTGTTCATCGTTTTTCTGTCTTTCTCTCTGCATCTGTTTGCGCTGCCATTCTGAGTTATAGTGAAATTGATGTATGTGAAGAAAATGTAAAAAGCATGCAAAATACCAAAAAAAAAATTAATGGAAAAATACCTGCACATGGTTGAAAATGTACAACGTGAGCATTTGAAATACACATCAACCACGTAAAACACAAAGAAACCAAATAGAATTTATAAGATGCCATAGCGCGTTTTACTCTCCTGTTTCTCCGTTTGTTTCAAAAAAAAAAAAAAATTCAACAAAATATTCACCAATTAATCTTTTCGTTTTCACTTCTGATTTTCGCTCGGCTTGATTTTCAAATATATAAAAAAATACTATTATTATTATTATTAATTTCAATTAGGTTAAATGGGAAAATTATTATGGCAGAAGCAGGAGCAAATGAAAAAAGAAACAAAAAACAATTAAAAAACGGAGCTTAATTAAAATATGTACGTTATTGAGTGTGATGTTGAATGGTATGGTTGTCGTTTGGAAAAATTTAAATAAAATGAATGTGTCGCGAATTGTTATCGGTGGCAAATGTGAAAAAAAACTACATTCGCACGTTATGAATCGAACGAAATAAATAAACGGGCGTCCGGTTATCTTTGAATTGAGACGAATATAAAACGAGCGGTATGGCTGATAATGTGAGAGTGTGTGTGTGTGATTTACATACATGTTATTCGGTTATCATTGTCCACATCTTACAAACATTTTCGGTTTCATCTATCCCTTTCTAGTAGGACTTTAGGTCATAGAGATACGGACGGTGCAATGAATAGACTTAATTTTGATATAAAGCAAACAAACAGCACACAAAAAGCATCAGAACAACGAAAAAAAAAACAAAAAAATTGATGCGAGATTAGTTTGACGAATGACGACCGAGTCGTGAATAGGCGACAAGTGTTGCATTTGCAATATTGTGTATGGTGGATGGGAAGACATGAGTGTCTCTCGTTCCTTGTGTTGAAAATAAGCACACTCGCAAAATCCAGCGCACAAAATCTATGTACTATAACACACATCATTATACATTACTTTAGCTCCGTAGCGTGAGCAAATTGTTAGTAAATGCATTTTATCAAGTTTTTCAATACGTTTGTCTTCAAACGCTTAAAAAATTGAAATTATTAATCGTTCACATGCCATGCTAATTCTTTCCATTGCATCAATGCAATGATGAAATGTTGAGAATGATGTGATTCGCCTGTTGTTTTTCAATGTAACCCGAACTGATTTGCAGCGGTTGCATATTACTAAATTGATCGGCAGAATTATGATTTTTATCAACGAATTTCGATTTATCGTTGTCTGGTATTTTGATACCAACAAAGGAGTCGAACGAATTGAATCAAATTCAAAAATAGAACTTAATGTGAGAAGAAATATCGATACGGAAACAATAACCAAACAAGTACATTGTTTCGAAACACGTCAATTTTTGATGAACTGGCTGAGGCGATGAGCTCACCAGGTTGCATTTATTAAAAAAACATAGCGAATAGAAGCATATAGCTCATAAATGACTGTGTATCATGAAAAACAAACAAAATACTAGCAATTGGTACACAGTTTTATACGAACAAATTGAAGCATTTTATCGAAAGACAAACAAAACATTACAAATTCAGATGACATACAGAGAAATAGTCGTACACGAAAAAACAATATGCGATATGTGGTTTATATCAACACATTTAACGTTAATGCAAATTGTAATTTCCTGAATTGAGTTCAAAATAATAAACAAATTAAATAAAATCAATTTGTTGAGATTGAACTCAGCAATGGGCATTTCAAGATTTCAACTCTTTTCTTACGTATATGAAGAGAAAACAAATTAAGAAATCCAATTCAATAAAATTCAATAAAGATTGATTCTTGGGAGAGGGATTCATGCGACGGTTGGTGCACACTTTCAAACGATGACGCAAAACACCAGATTCTTATTCTTTTTCATATCGATTTGTGTTGGGCATTAATTGCATAATACTTGCATATCCATAAATGCACTCGTTATGTTCAGCTTAACGTTTGTTATCGTTCATTTCACTTTCCTTTGTCACTTGAATCATATTTTGAGTTTTGATTAAATCATTTCAATATTATTGCTCATGAAATCGGATGCATCAACATCATAAAGTGGCCAATCCAAAGTCAAGAAACACTACCAACAAAGTATGGATAATAAAATAAAAAGAGTGAGAGTTAGTGGAGATAGACAGTAATGAGTGGTGTATTTGCCTTACACAATGGATGAATTTATGTTATATGCAAAATGAATGAGAGTGAAAACGAACTGAGAAACATTCATTTTAAAATTTAAGATGACACCCATTTGCGAAATGGACCGGATTCACGTGTTTTAAATTGAGCCGATCCTTTTCGTGTATTATTAAATGAGCACAATATCTATTTATATTCAAAAGTAGTTTTGCGATAATTCTCAAAAAAATAGTCTGGCAAAATCTATAGTTTAGTCTATATGGAGCGATAATACGATGAGAAATTAAAAAAACCATCGATAACGATATGTCTAACTAAATTAATTTAGTTACATCCAGAAATTCTCACAAATTGTATACGACATCGCTTCAATTATTTTAGTTAACACATTATGTATGTAAAGCAATAAAGAGAGTTGTAACAAACAATGCCTTGCGGACAACAAAATTTTTAACATTTTCAAAGTGTTGAACAAAGTAATTGAAAAGTTGTAAAAGTTATGTTGAATGTTATTCAATTCTGAGGATATTTTTTTTTCTTTGTGATGAAACTTCAAAGTGCATTCACAACTTTTACAATAACATCGCAAATTCAATAAGCATTCAATGTATTCACAAGCATTTTTCATTCATTTGTCGTTGTAATCGACTTTTATGTGATCAAACAGAAAAGACGAACTATTTGTAACTAGCATGCAATTGCGCCAAAAGCACTGGCAAAGCTTTTTTCTTGCTTGCACTACTTATGTGACACACTAATACCACCTATTATCAGTAGCCTATAACCATTTAACGATTTTAACGATTGCATGTTACTAAAGCTTTATCGTTATCGCTTTGTTTGTTTGTTACATGCATAACTCAAGCTGTTGAATTGAAACCGATTTTTTCGGATATCCTGAGTCTAATCCATAAAAACAATATTATTATTCTCGTGCTAAAAAACCCCAAATACACATTTTTAATAAAGCGCTAGAATCATGATTTTGCTCCTATTCCAATATTATAGACGTGTTTATATGATCCTATGTTGACTGTGTTATGATTTTTTAGATATGATTAAAAGCAATCGATTTTTGAGCAACTGCAGTTGCATGTGGTTTGGTTTCATGTTGTGATTCGTGGAAAGACCAAATGATTGCCTTGGACATGCCACAATTTAACTGTAAAAGAAACCACGGTTCTATCTCAATCAGGTTGTGTACAGCAGCAGAGTGTTTCTAAGTGATGAGAATTTTCGGAGGACCTTCGCGCAATTCATTTCTTGACTTTGGATTGGAATTCCGTAAACCAGTTGTATACAGAGGCAAGGCATGGTACTTCGTTCCCATACCCCCACTAGAGCAGAGAGCCCTCTTTGAAAATTTATAAAAAATTCGTTCGAATTTTTTTTTTTTTTGTAAATTTAATTTTTTCGAGAAATTGATTTTTTTTCTACTGACGCCGTAACCACACCACAAAACTAAAATTCGTTCTGTAAAAGCTATTGTTCATAAAAAATGCCAAATTTTACGAATATGACAATGGTTTGCATCGGGCAACGCTTATACATGCCGTTTTGCAAAACTTTTTTAGTAACCCTCATATACATGCAATCAAATGTCGATATTGGGAATGAATTTGATTAAAATTGCTCAATTTTTCCGAGCCATAAGGGACCAGAAATATTTACTAAAATTCAACTCGTTTTTGCTTAAATTTATCAATACATCAAGCATTACTTCTAAGTCAGTAGTGTGCGGGGGGGGGGGGGGGGCACACGTACAGGGACATTGACAGTGCATTTGCTCATATTTTGATAAGTGTGTACACCTCAGAATAATGTGTGTCTTAGAAATAGAGAGAGAGAGAAACGTAGAGCAATAGTAAGAGAAATGTCCGAAAATTAGCAATTAAAACATAATGTGGGTGCTCCGTTAACACTTCGCAAATGCATAACGACGACATGCCGGTACTAATTGGTAAAGATTTTGAGTGGATTAATGATTTTATTATGTTGTCCGTTCGGAACGTGTCATTAAAATATTTGAGTGTCTGCGTATGTGTTGCGGTGACATTATTCGATTTGAGCGTAAAACTGAACGTTAGATCCAAAAATGTGTACGATAATATTTGTTATATGTACATTGTACGACGATAGTACAAAGCATTGGCATGTACAAATAAAATGCCAGCTACATCATTTTAATGCGATTAAAACAAATTGAAAAAAAAGAAGATATCAAGTGTTTGTTGAACATATCGCTTTACGAACACATACGTCGAAGATAAAATACTCATAATACTCTACATAACTCTATCATTCGAATGGAAAGTCAAAGCACAAAGATTCGAGTTGGTGCTCTCGATTTGTTTGTGTTTCGTCATCACTCTAAAAGAGGAATACAATGACCGATTATTGTTCATTATTGTCGAGAATTCGGTTAAATAGATTTACACAAATGAAAAATCCAACAATAACGGAAAGAATTTAAGTCACATTGATTTGCCGCAGCAGCTAATTGAAATGCGCGATGATGTGAAGCGGTTTCTATCACTTTAACCGCACACACACACACACGCACATGCACTTCCAATCCAATTGCTACGGTGCTCACCCTGTTTTCACTTGCATTCGCTATCATGTGTAAACTGTGTACATTCCATGCCGTACATTTCATGAAACTGAAGCCGGAATAGACAACAGCCAAATGAATATGAAGAAAAAGAAAAAGTGGCAACAATAATAGCGGACAAAACAAAACGCACAAAGTATGAAATAACACAGTTTGATTTCATCAGTTTGAAGTGGTATAGTTTTTTTTTATTTCTTCTTCTCTAGTTTTGAGGTTTCAGTTGAAGCAAAACCATGTTGACGTGTGCTTGATTGTGTATTGGTATTGTTGAAATCATATAATTCTTCTTGTTTTGATTGTGTTTTTTTCATCTGTCGTTGTTATTATATTATGTCTGTTCTGGCATCGGCGCTGTGTTACTATTGCCGATGTAATTCCGTTCCATTATTTCCATTTCATTTGAATTGATTTCATTTGTTGCAACATAATAATAATAATAATAACGATATCAACAACAACAACAACGGCGCAATAGTAAAAATCGTCATTCGTATTCGATGTAGTTTAGAGCAAAAGCATATTACTTTTGCGCTGCACTTCATTTGCGTTGCGCACTTGCGTTTCGTTTCATTTTTTTTTTATTTCGTTGTTTTATCTCACTCTCGCTCATATTGTCGGCAACAATTGCTGACACGGCTGATTGTCTTTGTTGTTGTTGTTACATATATTTGTGTGTTTGTGTTATTATTGGTTTACTATTTTGCTTTCGTTTGAAATCACCATTGTAAAACTACGGCTATTATTCCAGCGAATATTATTGTTCAGGTACACGCACATTTGTTCTATGTATTTGATGTGCGCATTTTCATTAAGAGAGCCAGAAGAAGCGACACTTTTGGTTTGGTTGCTTGTGTGTGTGTGTGAGTGAATGAAGTGAATGAGTGTAGTGAATGTGTATATGAATGTGTGGCAGTTGGAAGCAATGGACAAACTCATACATGTGCACAAGTGCGCTACACACCAAAAATTGTATTCGGTGCGGTGAAACACATGGAAAAACGCTGAAAAAAAAAGAAGATAGAAACCCAACGAATGAAACAGAAAAATAAAACATACGTCAAACAATTTTTATTTTATTTTAGTGTTTTTTTTTGGAAAAGAAAAATAAGAAGCAAATTCAACGAATTTAGTCGTTGTTGTGATCACCGACGTCAGAAGTCTTTTGTTGGAGCGTCCATCGATGAGTTTTTGTAACCTAACGACACCAAATGATTTAGTTTTGTTGCCATTTTAATTAAAACGTAAGAAAAAAGATATTTTATAATGTGATTTTTGTGTAGTGCATTGCATTTTGTTCGGATGAAAAAAAAAACACACGTACAACGTATAATTCAAATCAATTTGAAATTCATGTGACCCTAAAAAGTGAATTCAATAGAAATCTCATGTTGAGTTGTACAAATTTACCATTTTTGTCGATATATATATGTTTTTTTATTTTGTAAAGTATGCATATTTGGTTTTCTATATACGGCGTTTACACTGGTGGTCGTACGAGTGTGTTTGCGCGCACAACATCATATATAGAATTATTTTTGTTTGTTGGAAAGAGACGAGAAAAAATGAGCAGAATTTATGATATATGGTGTACAAAATTTTGAGGAACAAAAATTTAACTAAATTCAGGCAAACATAAAAAAGGAACAAAAGAAGAAAAAATCGCATCATACATATTCGACACGAAACGGTTGAGAGGGAAAAAGAAGAGAGAAAGAGAAAAAACAATGCCGTGTACTGAAGTCTATGTCTATGATGAACACCCGACCGATCACCAGAAATGTACAAAACCACACATACTCAAAACTTATGCAAACAAATATTCCGCTGTGTGTTTTTTTCATTCGTGTTCATTCCATTATTATTATTTTCAACTGTTTCGAAACGACAAAGCGAATTCACAGTGCAACGATTTGGTTTTATTTCGATGAATTTGAGGTGCCTCGAATTCAATTTATGTGTGTATGCGTGTAACTATTGTTTCTTTTCGGTTGTCGATATTGATTTGAATGTTGAAATTTGTTGTATTTTAATTCATTAGTTCGCTAGTTTTTCTAAGTCAGTCTACTTGTGTAAAAATTGACACAAACTTCGCTCAAAATATTTTAATCGACAAATTAATTTGTACAAAGTGCACATTGTGATACAACAAAGTGTATTCCAAATTCGAAGAGTCAAGACTTGATTCAAGTTTCATGTGTTTCGTTCATTTCTGTGAGTGATCAATATGTCGAAATCGGATTAGAATGTTTTTGCGGTCAATTTGTTGCCCGACCATGTGAAAAGTAAAATCAATCAATTTTCTTTTGGGCAAATATTTGTGCTTTTACGTGAATAAAAATATCAACCACTTGTTAACCGCATTTTCTTTTTTATAATGAAATGTCAACCCTCAAAAGTGGAACTTTTGAATGCCAATGATATTTGTTTGCTCAAATATTCCATTAGAATTCAACATTTGTAAATATTCATTGGTGGTACGTTTGAATTTTTTTTTTCTCAAAAAATAAGCAAAATATTTTCATGCTCAACGAAGTGCAGTCTGCTCAATGTACTCCAACTAATACAATATTGACGATATATTCTATGTACACAAAACATAACATCAAATATTTTAATGTGCAATGCCAAACGGTTTCCATAAAACGAGTTTTCTATATAATACTTTGTTTTGGTTTGATGTTCGTTTTTTTTTCTTCATCTGCTTTTCGCTGGAGATTTCTTGTTTTCGATCTTTCTGCATGTTTTCTCTCTCTCTCTCTCCATCGTTCTGCATCTTTCTATCGGATGTACTCTCTGCATGTACAACATTCTTTACATAATTGTGCCGAATGAACGTTTAACTGTTTCGCTAGTGCAAGAACATTTTCTTTCTCCCTCTATGTCTGGCTCTCTGTCGCACTCAAACACGTTATGCTTGACTAAAAGAGAGATTCTCGCTTTGGTGGCTGCCACCATCAAAAAAACATTCATCGAGTTCATCGTCATCAGAATTACCATCGTTGTTGTAAAATATATGTGTATTTGCTTCGCTGATTTACTGTAAAATCGGCAAGCCACAAACAATTTTTGTTTGTAATTTAGAAATTTCGTGTTTTTTTTTAGTTCAAAACACGTGAACGAAATAATAATAATAATACTACGTAGTTTGGTATTGCCAAATTTGAACGATGCCCCTGACGAATTGCAGATGAAAGAAAAATACAAACTGTGCAAAATAAATAGTATAGAAGTGCGCGATGGAAATTACGCATGCATGGCCAAAAGATGAAAAAATAAAGTATGCAGGAAAACGTTTCACATTGGCTCGATCGAAACCGAAGAAGAATATAAAATATAATGTACGGAAATTCCAAAGTGTGTCCAAACAATTGCGAGTACATGCAAGCAATAAGTCAAATTAAAAGATGCCCCAAATGAATTCTATATCGTTCTATGTTTTATTTGTGTTTGAGTTTTTTTGCTGATTTTTTTTTATTTGTAATGCTGTTTAATGTTTTCTTTTTTAAATACCGGTTTCAGTGTCATTTGCTGTTATGTTTCGATTATTACCACCGATCTGTTTATACTCTATCTGTTCTTGTCACACTTTCTATCCATATGAAATCGCAACTCCCGCTCGCGCTAATTCGTGTGTATTTTTTCTTCATTTTTCTCGCATAATCACTTTTTACCGCTGCTTTAAGAATGTAGCGGAGAGAGAGAGAGAGTGAGAGGAGAGAGCGGAGAATAGAGAGAGGAAAACACACATATAACACTAAAACACAGTAAATTTTATCTGCGCTAAACATCAAATGATATATTTTGCGAATCAAGCCAAGCTCAAACAGTGTCACTGGTAACGGGTGTGCACAAATGCCAAAGACAACCAATCATTTTTATTTTTATTTTTATTAATCAAATGCTAATCTCTTACCAAAATCAATAATATATGATACGTTGGCAACACTATGTGCAAATATTTGCTCATGGGTGTTCGATTTCCAATGACACCAAAAAGAAACACCGAAACAATCAACCATATAAATTCCACCACGTTCATTTCACCGATAACCATCATGTGTGTTGATTTTTCGTCATTGATATCAAAAACTTAGAATTTGTTTGGTTTGAAAATCAAATGACTGACATCATATCAATCCATTCCAAAATTGAAAATATCAATTTCGTTTATTTCAGACCATTAGAATGACATCCATACCCATCCTGCGAAGACAATTATTAATATGAATGGAGTTAAAGTGAAAACAATTTATTAAATGAATCACAAACGTTTGCTGTGAATTAAAATCAGCGGAAGAAAAAGTGAAAAAAAAGTGATTTAAAAAAAAAAGAGAGGAAGGAGACATAGTGCGAAATTTTTTTTCGAAAAGTTGCGCGGAGTGAAAACGAAATAATTCTTGTGTTTGGAAATGAATGGTCTAAATGGTTCGGTTGCCGTTTTATCAGCACCAACAGCAACAACAGTAGTCACAACGAAAGCTGCTGATCCCGATACCACCGCCATAAGCAACAAAATTAATAACAACAATGACATCAGCAATAGCATTGATTTGAACAGTGGTCAAATAATTAGCGAATTAAATAACTACACCGAATACTCAACAGGTAAAGTAAAAGTAACAGATGGTCATGTATTTGTACAATAACAAAAGACACACGCACCGAGCAAGAGAGAGAGAGGTAATACATGCCGGTAATATTGTAAACTGATATATTCGGCTTTCGAAAACAGCATGTGTGTGAAATTTCACCCAGGCTGTGCGCAGAAATGTGTATCAAGAGATTAAGTTAATCATCCTGAAATGGTCCAATCGAACTTTCTGTTGTAAAACGTATGCATTCAAAATGAGAGGTAGTCAACGTGCTTTGTTTTTTGAATATATGTGCCTGTGCGTGTGGCAATTAGCCCGCACCCAAAATGAAAAAAAATGTTAACAGTCCGTTCAGTGCAAAAATTACATTTGTTTCAGGCATATAAATCACTTTTCTGCATTTTTCATGCAACCGTATTTACCTAATTAAATACGATTCATTGGACATGCCATAAATTTCCTTATTTGTTTTAAGCCACCAGCAGCAGTTGCAGTTGTTACACGCTCACTGCATTTACTTCTCGGCGAAATAGTGTACGATGTGTGCGCGTATGTATGCGTACGATTTAACATAATTAATTGTTGTTATTGGTGTACATTTTACCATGCACACAATTTTCAGGCACTCAATTGTTCCCTGGACGATTCCAAAAATGTTGATCCCCCATGACATGCAAACTCATATTCCACATGACCATTTAATGCGGAGAAAAAAATATAAATTTTCTTCTCTATTTTTCCTATTTAACCGAATTAATTGAACTTCCTTTGCATTTTAAACACGAAGAGGAAGAAGAACGATACACACGAAAAAAAAAAAAGAAATCCAATAGCAACCGACCGAGTAAAACAAAACATTTGGCATATACACTCCACCCTAGTAACGTATAGTGCTGAACATTTTTTTTTATTGTTTCTTAAATTTAAAAATAATATGCCTCGATTCCTGTACAATACCGAAACAACGAACAGGAAATTAGGATTTTTCTTTCTCGCTTGCTCGTTCTGTCGGCATTTGGCCACTGTTTCATTCTTCTCGGTTCACATGGTTTTTGACTGTACAATATCCCTTAATTCAACATAACATATTTTCGATGTGCAGCATTTGTGTGTATTTGGAGTTCATTGCAGTTTTGTGCGCATTGACTTGACGTCTTTTCGACCGAATCGACAGAGAAATACCGAAAGACAGAGAGAAAAAACTGTATATACAGACAAACAAATGAGCAGATGCGAGAAGAGACAAAAACAACAACAAAAAAAGAGAACAACAACTCACTAATTCGGTCAAATGACATTTTAGATGTCAAATTGTCAGTGCTGCTCTTTATTTGTTTATGTTTGTTATCGTTTGTCGAATGGAACCTTTTATTTTTTTTCAAGTGCTCTTCATTTGTCGCAATTTAAATAACAATTTGATATAGTATTATTATGTGATTGTGCAAACGACGTGCGACAATCGTCGTCGATACCGAAATACAAAAAGAAAATTATAATAAACTATTAGAAACGAGTTCCTCTTTCACATCGTTATAGTATTTTTTAGACTTAATAAATTTAGTGCATTAAATAATTGGTTATGAGAGTGAAACTGTTTTGTTCAGTGGCCCTTTTTTTTAATTCGTTTTATCCAAACCGAGAAATTGGTTAGAAAATTGCGTGCTGTTGTGACTTTTCACATTTGAATAATTTGTTGGAACAATGTTTTTCGTTTTGATGTTGTTAAGTTTTCACTAAATTTCTTTTTTACGCTACTGGAGAAAAATGAATAGTTTATGGTGGCCATTTGACGCTTTTGTATCCACTTAAAATTTCGTTGTTTCGTTAACAAAAAAAAAATCAAGTTTGATTTGTGTTTAATACGATGTGCAAATAATACCAAAATTGATCTTTGCAACAAATTCACGTTACATCTACCGCGGTTCTATTGCTTATTGTTTAAGCACTCAGTGTTCATATTTAAAATCAATATTGTTATAACATTTGTTTGGTGATTGACTGAACCAATACGATGCTCGCGGTTATCAAACAAAAAAATACGCTTTACAATTTATCTACTTAACATTGACGTTGTATCATTAACCGAATCAACGAAAAGTGTGGTTGTGGTGGCGCGGTGGCGGCGTAGAAAAAAAAACAGACTAAATAAAAAAAGAAGATAAATCGCAAATACCGCCACACAGTATATCGCCGCGATATTGTGATTCTAATGCAACGCCTTTATTTCACATATATAATTTTAAATGCCACACATTTGCACAACAAAAACCAACCACATTCTTACACTCAAGAATATTTAATTACCGATTCGTATGTAAACAACGAATTGAATAATAATAATATAATCGATTGATGAAAAGTTTGCACTGCGCAAATATTGTGGAATGATGGATTCACATCCACAAAATTTTTCAAGTGATGACGACGATACGATGGCCGGCGTCTATAATGCTTGGAGTAAGTGTTTTGCATATTTCGTTGATAATGCGCATATTCGTTATGTTGCACATTCGACAAACCAAAACCAACATTTCATTATCTCTTTCTCGCAAATATTGTTGTTTTGCCGGCAAGCGATGTGTTGAGAAAATAATAAAAAAAGACGCACAACAATAAGCTATTGATTTCATTTCGAAACATTTGACATTTTCTTATTCGCACTTGTTTTGTCCACCCTGTTTTATAACCAGATGAGATGTTGGAATCAGAAAAATCGAGCTTATTTGGTCGTGTACATGATTTGGAGCGACGAGTTTTAACGCAACAAGATGAGATTGTTTGTTTACGATCAACACTGGCTGATGTGCTGCGTCGTTTGAACACAATTGAGGGTAATATCGAACGTGGTGCCATCACAAATAACGCTTTTCAAGGTCGAAGTGCACCAAACACACCTTCTCGCAATGGAGCGCCCGTCTTCAGCAGACGTAAGTTTGAAGTTTAAACATATTGAATATTGTCATTGGAGTATTCATATAACATTTTTCTTTTTTTTAATTCATCTGCGTTTTAGTATCATCACAAAGTTCGGCACATTCAAATTCATCGATTGGTATGAATTGTGCGAACAATGATTGGAAACTTCGTAAGCCAATGGTTCGTTCGGGCGGTACAACAACGCCAGACATTCATTCGAGACGGCATAGCGGTGGTGTGAATTCATTGCATCAAAGTCGAACCAAGCAAATCCACCAATCGAACGGATCAATACAATCGGATTCGCCGAGCAGCAATTCAATATCACCAGCACCGTCGCCGTCACCGCGACCACAGTCAGTGAATACGAACAATGGAAGCGCTGGATTGGGCAAACGATGGAACTCAACCGGTGACTTCAATGCACAATCGGCATTGGTCGGAAGGTAAAATCATTGAACTTTACTTATTTTTACGTTGAGCATTTTGTATTTTATTCGATTCCATTCTCTTTTGTATTTTTCTTCATTTTATTTTGTTTTTATTTTGATTGTGCTTTTTTTTCTTTGGACTATTTTGTTTTGAATTCAGACTATCAACGAAATCTTTATTGAATTTATCCACAAAAACAGTGCCAGGGCATGTTCTCAAGCATGGGTATGTTTTTTTTTTTTGTTTTTTTTTGCGTTTTATAATTTCCTTTTTAGTTGCATTGCATTTTGTTATGGTTAAATTTCAAACCTGGTTTCCGTTCTAATAAACGCACCTCACTCTCACTCTCCTTACCTCCGCTTTGTGTTCTTATGCGATTTTTTTCGCTCGCAATATGAATTAAATGAAATATCAAATTAAAAACCAATCATGTGATCGGTATGTTTCAGTAAATACAATTTGTTACCTCGTTCACTTTAAACAAGAGCAAGTGAATACAGACACGCAAACTTCATTCTTACTTGAACTACATTCGCTTATTTAGAATCGCGAGAATAATATTAATGGCATTTTTGAAATGCTTTTCATGATTGGCACTTCGCATGCATAAATATTCATAAAAATAATGATGATAAATGTATTTTTGATTTGAAAAATGAACAAAAAAAAATACCAAAATAATTATGATTCGTTTACAATTAGCACACAAACATGCAGCTATAATGAAGAAGATGGAACGGTGAAAATGTTTTTGCGCGGCCGACCAATTATTTTGAATGCATCGAGTGATGCAAAGGATACGTACGATGTAACCAAAGTACAACCAGCACCAAATAAAAAACTCAAACTTGACTGGGTATATACGGATATTTATTTTTCATTATTTTCATTCACATTCATACAATAATTGTTTTTCTTTTGGTGATTCTATTCTAGGTATACGGATATCGTGGTAAAGATTGTCGCTCAAATCTATATCAATTGCCCACAGGTGAAATAGCATATTTTGTTGCTTCGGTTATTGTGTTGTACAATGTTGATGAACAATCACAACGTCATTACATCGGTCACACGGACGATGTCAAAAGGTATGACATCAATATTTATAAATCAACAAACAGTCGCGTGTTGATTTAACGAGAATTTCAATTACAGCTTATGCGTTCATCCAAACAAACTTCTCATAGCCAGTGGCCAGCTTGCTGGACATAATAAAAACGACGCTTTAGTGAGTTTTTACAACTGATTGCGTCCAAATTTATGCTAAAATTTTTATTTTATGATTTAGCCTCACATACGGATCTGGAATTCGGTGTCACTTGCAACGATTATGGTGATTGGCCACGGAGAGTTTACCGGTTCAATAAATAGTTTGTGCTTTAGTCGTGCTGATAGCGGTTCAATGATTGTGGCCATCGATGATTCGGCTGATAAAATTATATCCGTGTGGGAATGGCAGCGGGGTGAAAAAGGCCATAAAATCACAGAGACAAGGGTAAAAATACTTCAAAAAAAAAAAAAAAACACTTAAAAATTGTAATCACTCAAGAAAAATTATTTGGTTTTGCTTATAGTGTTCGGTGGATACGATTGTTGCTGTTGAATTTCATCCATTAGATCGTAATCAAATTGTGTCTGCTGGAAAAGGGCACATAGCGTTCTGGACACTTGATCAAAATGGTACATTATACAAACGGATGGGCGTATTCGAAGGTCGAGAAAAACCAAAATATGTGACATGTCTTACATTTACGCAAAGCGGTGACGTTGTATCGGGCGATTCAAACGGTAATATTGTTATTTGGAGCCGCGGAACGAACACAATTACACGATTATTAAAGTAAGTTAAATTGCAAACACAATTGCAATGTGAAAATAAAAAACAATCAATTTCATCAACAATAGAAAAGTCCACGATGGCTCAATATTTACGTTATGCGCATTAAAAGATGGAAGTTTCTTGTCTGGTGGTGGAAAAGATGGTCGTATTAAATTATTTGATGCTGATCTCAATCCAACTGGCATTGAAATGGAGATTGAACAGCATTTTGGTGCGGTTCGTGTGGTGTCAGAAGGAAAAGGTTCACAGTTGTTGATCGGAACGACGCGTAATTGCATATTAACTGGATCGATGCAGTTGGGATTTTCGCCGGTAATAATGGGTCACACCGATGAAGTATGGGGTCTCGCTATTCATCCACAATTACCACAATTTGTGACTGGTGGACGTGATCGTTTGCTTCAATTGTGGGATTCATTGTCACATTCAGTGGTTTGGAGTAAGGATATTGGTGAACAAATTCAATGTTGTGCATTTTCAACAAATGGCGCTATGATTGCCGTTGGCACAATGCACGGAAAATGGTTGATATTTGATGCATTAACTCGTGAAGCGCTAGCACAGCACATTGACGGACAAGAACCAATTCAATGTATTCAATTTTCACCGGACGGACAACTAATGGCCGTTGGATCACATGATAATAACATTTATATTTATCAAGTCGGCGATGATTACAAACGATTCGCCAAAGTTGGACGATGCACGGTAGGTCACATTTATTTATTTTTTCTTATCGATGTCATTGATTCTAAATGTATTTGTTTTTTCTATTCCACTCGAACAGGGTCATTCAAGTTATTTGAAACATCTTGATTGGTCTGAAGATAGTCAAGTATTACGCAGCAATTCCGGAGATTATGAAGTGCTTTATTGTAAGTGATAACAACAGTTTTTTTTTTAAATGTCATGTGTGTAATGTATGCTTATCGTTTCTTAGGGAATCCAACCTTGTGCCGGCAAATTACGTCACCGTCTCAAACGTGCGACATAAAATGGGCCACACAAAATTGTAGTTTATCATTCCAAACGATTGGTGTATGGCCTGAACATGCCGACGGTACCGATATTGTTTCCATTACTAAAGCATAACTATCCATTTTCTTTCGATAATTTTTCCATTCTTTTCTATGTGATTCGCCTCTCACCAGGCACCGACATTAATGGCGTGTGTAAAAATTTCGAAGGTTCTCTAATGGCCACCGGAGATGACTTCGGTAAAGTTAAACTATTTTTGTATCCAGCGACACAACCAAAAGTATGAATACCTTTTATTATTATTGAAGTCTCATTTTTTAACTAAATTCATTTTAATCAATGCCAAATTGTTTACATTCTCCTTTTTTCTATAGACATTATCACATTCATATGGTGGTCACAGTAGTCATGTCACATCTGTGCAATTCATGCACGACGATGCACGTCTCATTTCAACTGGCGGCAATGATACGAGCGTCATGCAATGGATTGTTTCATAAGAACTAATCGAGCACTAATATTTATTTGAATTTTCTTCTGCATCCGAAGAAAGAAAAAACAATCGACAACTAGGGCGGATTTCGTTTTTAGAACTTTTTAAAATAAGATAAATACTACTATTAACTACAACAACAACTACTACTACTATACTACTACTACTACTACTGCAAACAGCTACTACAAATGCAAGCAACTACTTTTGCACTTTTTGCAACTCTATTTATGTATCACACATTCCATACATATACTTATAAAAGCGGACCATTTTCATTTTGAAGCGTTAAGTGGTTTGGTAAAGTCATGGATCCAGATTCCATCCATATTTTTTTAGTTGATTTTAATGTGGCACAATCAAACGAATTGAATTTGTTTGTCATGATAATTTTGGATTTTATTTAAGATTGCACGTTGAAATGAATAGTGAGAAAGAAGAAAACAGATGGCCTTTGTGTAATTTTTTTTTACGATAAAATATGATCGAAAAAAGACACATGCATACAAATTATATTCTTTAACATACTATCCAAATTTTATTCTAATCCAAAATCAAAGTATTGAATGTAAAAAAAAGACACACGATTTTTTTTGTTTTTAACTAAATTTTAATAAATTCAAACAAAGTATCTCAAAATTTGCATTTTCAATGAATAATTTTTTTGACACTATTTAAACGTCTTTTCTCTGTGCAATTGAGAAAAGTGAAGGCAAATCGATATTTCAATAAATGAATTAATAAAAAAGTAAATAAATAAAAAATATGTTTCGAAAATTCACAAAAGCCGACCAAGAAATACAGTTTGTGCCGTATAATATATGACTTGCCTTTCATAATCATGATTTTTTCGGCGGTTGTGATTCTACCGGTATGTTCGTGGTCTATATTTTTTCAATGAAAAAAACCTTACCTTATTTTATAATGTCTCTATTCTCTTCGGCAAAAGGTATGATTCTCCAAAATAATTAAGAAGAAGCGTTAAAATTTACTTATTTATTGATTTTTTATTATTTTGTTTGACTTTTTTCAATCAAAAAAAAAACTTTCATAAAATTTAACTAAAAAATGCATTATGGCTTCATATTCACAGTAATCTAACCTCGAGCGATATTGCTTAAGTGTTCTTGGAACAAATGACAAAAATGTTGAACATCAATCGATGATGATTTGAACTAAAAAAGTGCATGAGTCAAATCGGTGTTACTCTGATGAACTTTGATGATTATTTATCTGGCATTTGTCGAATGTTACCGAATTGTCGACAAAAATTGAATGACATATGGATCGTGCATCAAAGCGTTTTTCTTGAGGCTCAACACCATCGACAGTATATCAGGTGCATTGGACAATTTATTATCATACGAATCCGTCGGTGAGATAGCACTGATTTGTGGCGATGGGCATCCATTAAATAATAAATGGTCATGATTTTTGTCATGAAATTCATTGCTGTCATCCGAAAATTTGGTGTTTAAAATCAAATTTTCTGCTTGTTGATTCGCATCGATTTGCATTGGTTTTTTCTTATTTCCTCCGGTTTTCTTTTTTTTCGTCATTTTTTTGGGTTGTTTTAGTTTTGATGGTTGTCGATCGATTTGTGGTATTGGTATCGTTCGTCCACCAATATTGGATGCCACGGATATGAGCGAATTAGCAAATACTACTACCGGTGGCATTGGTGCTCCTGAAATAATCGAATTTGGTTGTTTTGCATTACCGTTCCTATTGTTTTTCGATAAGGAAATTAGATGTTTACCTGATATCAAAAATGGATGATGGTTTGGTTTGAGTGTTGTTGATGACATTGGATTTGAATAGAATGGCGAAGTGGCTTGTGGTATTGGTGGTGGTGGTAATGAATATTGTGCAATAACATCGTGTCCCTGGATCCGTTTTTTCACATGCATATTTAGACGCTCACGGATATTCTCTTTAGAAGTAGCAGACACGTCAGGCGATTGAAATTTTGTTGATGAGCCATTTGGCAAGGCAATAGACGATGCCGACGGACTCGGTGCCGTTAAAAATAATTGTGGTATTGACATTTTTATCTATTTACACAGCTTTTGGAACAATTTTCACACGAAAAATACTGAAATTGATGATTATTTGGTTTTCGTGATTCGAAAACGAATTTGGCGAGATCGATTTTATGATTTTTATATAGTAGAATGTTTTACTTAGATGTATTATGACGCAGTTATATTCAACACATATTGAGAAAAGCAATAAAAACTGATACATTGACACTTTGGTTTGTTTTGATTTTATAAATTCACACGCACTTCATTTTTGTGTGTGTGTGATACTGAGAACAACATAAAGATGGCGCACTCAGTCTGTTATTGGAATATCAAATGAAATTCGTTTTTGCAATAGAATAGAACTGAGAAACATACACTCAAACAAACAAAATCACCATGTATATAATTATTTGTTTCCAGTCAAAACAATTATGTCCAGTACCTCATTAGAGGTACACTTTTTGACATACACCGATACGAAAGTTTGGATAACCTCTTGGTCTCGAATTAGCTACATATTTCGAGAGATCTTCATATTATGAAAACAAATTTTGCAAAACTCAATGTAATGGACTAATCGTTATAAACGTCATTATTACAAGTTTGAATGCCGTATCTCGTAATCGAATAGAATTTTTATGGAATTTTGGAACTTATAGTGGGGCAATTTGTGTTGATTAATTTTGATCTGCTCAAAAGTTAAGGGAAAAATCGGTTTAATTGGTGTTACACTTTGAACACAAAAAAAAAACGATTGTTGTGAAATCGTGCATATAAAAATAGCAACAATCCATAAACACGTTTAGAGATAAAAGTTATTAAACTTGATAAAATACTCTAGTACATATTCAAAGTGTTTGATCGATTTGAGATAAAAGACATTTAAAGGTTTTGAAGAAGTTAAATTTAATTTCTAAAATTCGAATTTTCGGCTAGCTGAGGTTCAAAATTGTAATACGGAATGAAAAAAATGTGGTTTGACATTTACTTCATTTTCACTAGAGGGCACTGCGGATTGAAACCAACACAACAACGAAGGCGAACACGTTGTGAAAAAAATGTGTGAAAATTATGCTGCTTTATAAAAAAAAACAATACCACAATTTTCTTCATTTTCTCTATGAAATGTTCAAAAAAAAAAATGCAATGCGGTTATGTTAGTTGTGGTCCGATTTGTCAAAATCGAAATGCAGACAGTGTAGACAAGACAAATGTCAATGAATTAGTGAATGACGACATATTGACCTGTCAAAATGAAACAATACCCATTCACTTTGTAGTATATAAGTACGTCGAACCATCGTAAAAAAGACCACGGAAAATACATTATTCCTGTAAATTTTTATTTTGTTTCGTGTTCGCATAGAAAACGGAACAAAAATTCTCACAAAAAAAAAATTTAGTTGACAAACAAATCAGCGTGGCTGCATATCAATTGAAAAATTGGAATCATAACCAATCTGTTTGGCGACCGACAAATTTAGTGTGTACAGCTCATCTCGATTTTGTGGAAAGTCAAGTCCGCCATTGCTGTTGTTGATAGTGGCTTGAAATATATTGTACGGTGTATTTTGTGTGGTTTTTTTTTTTGCATTTGCTCGGTAAAAAAGGAAGTATCTTCGAGCACGCGACACATTTTTATGATTTTTCATCGAAACTTGTTTTTTCATCGATATTAATCGTATAATTCGACTTACACCAAATGCGAATCAATCAATTCTAAACATAAAATAAAACATTAAATGCCACCACCAAGACCACCGACCGACTGACATATCTGTGGATAAGTCTTTTTAATTGTCGCTCATTATTTTGGCTCAAAATCTTTCACATCATATCTATTATCAAATGAAATTTCCAATCTTCGATCTCAAACAATTTTTTCTATTTATTCATTAAAAAAAAAAAAACACATTCTGCCCAACAATTTTGTTTTTCAAAGCAATTGTCAACATTTTCTGATAAACCATATCGCCGCGAATAAAAGACCGAACGAAATACGGTCCAAATCAATTTGAGCAACCCGGAATTTTTAAGTCAATTGTCAGTGCGTTAGTACGTATTTAAAATACGTAACAAATTGTAAATATGACGGCAACGGATCAAATGCGAGCTATGCTCGACCAGCTCATGGGAACATCACGAAACGGTAAGCATTTGTTTTGTTTTTCTATTCAACAATCAAGTAATCTCAATAGATCGAAATGCATACCACATACAAAAGGGCATTTTATGCAATTTGGAGCTTCTTTTGATTTGCATTCGATTGATTTGGTCTTAAATTTAGTGCAACGTAGTTTAGAGTTTAAAAATATTGTTAATTGATTTTTTTTTTTGGTGTCTGCTCGAAATTCGGATGGTTCACAAAATACAGGAGAAGGTGATAGATTCACGTTGAAGTTTAACGACCCAAAAGTATGTAAATCCTTTCTACTCGAATGTTGTCCACATGAAATACTAGCATCAACGGTAAGTTAAATAATCTCTTTTGAATCGTTTACCCTTTCACAATTTTTTTTCTTCTCTTAATTACTTCAAAAAAAAAAAGTCATATCAATGAACATTTTAAATAAAATGGTGCTAGAATTAAAAGAATATACAAGTAATACACAATGCAATTAGGAAAACGAACAAAGTCATTAACATTAGGTATTATTTTTCGATTTTCGTTAGAGAAACGTTATCACTTATTTTGCAAGATTTGAAATTAGCCATAATTTTATTTTTGGTCACACACACACACGTCTTCTGTTTGTTATTACATTTTAATTTCAGCTAGTTGTTAATTCGTTTTCATTATTCAACAATTTCGTGGTAATATTTTGTTGTTTATTATTTGTCACCGTCTTATGACCGAATAGAAAAAAATCATTTAAAAAAAAAAAACATATTAAAACGCGAGTTTTATAGATAGACAATTTTTAGTGGCATTTCACCCAATCAAAAAATGCCTTGTAAATTTTCGAATTCTATGACTGAATAAAGTGCAAGAAAGGGTAGAAAGAAATTTTAAAACTAAAAAAAAACAAAATCTTCGACTGGATATCTCTGATCGCTTCTTTAACATTAAATTGTGTTACCGATGTAATTTTCAGAAAATGCCATCGCTTTTTCTGTTAAGATGAGGATAGAAAATTGTGTGTTGTTGTAGGCGTATTTGTAAGTACAATTGACGTACGTATTAAACACAATTAATAAAATTTACAACAAACAAACAAAAATCAATCAAACCAAATTCTTAATTCTAATGTTGTGTCAAGTGCAAGCGAAACAATACAAAAACAAAACTTATCCATTCAAGTTTCACTTTCTTTAAAGTAATCTTTTTTTAATATTATTATTATTTTTTTTTTTTTTTTAATTCTAAAATAAATTATTTTGCGTAAAATGCTAATTAATATTTTTTCCATGGAGTTCAACGATGAATTCAAATTGAATGAAATATATATATGAAATCGCATCATCTGTCGTTCACTTTTTCATGAACGACCGCAATCTTTTTGTTCGTTTTTTTTGTTGTTGTTGCATAAATTTCTTTTATTAATTTTCCTCGTGCAGGACACACGGTGCGACATTCAATTTTGAATTCGAAATCAAATTTTTAATCGTAAACATTTAGATGTTTAGTTCAATAGTCATAACTTTGAAATCAAAAAAAAAAATTAAAAGAAAAAAATTACCAAACGAACACGGTGAAAAAAAAAACAAGACAAATAGCTAATTTATTTCAAGTTTTCCGTCTGCCCGTCGTGTCTCAATACTTAATCACTTTGTATAGAAAGTAGAGCGCTATGTATTGGTGAGTAAATTATTGTTTAAAATCAAAAAAACCAACAAAAAAAAACCACACACCCAAAAAACATCCAGCTTGAGGGCCATGTTTTTGAGGGTTAAAAAAACACACAGTTTTAAGAGCAAAAGGGCGGCTTTGCTGCTTTGAAAATACAACCACCACCGGTCAACGGCAAACCAAGTCTATTGAACAAATGCCGTTTATTTCCAACAAAAATGGAAGAAAACATTTGCACGGGCTAAAGTTTACCATATCACCACCAAACATTCAAATTCACACTGTAATTGAACATTTAATTAAAACTGAGTGACAATGAGAACGTTCGCATTTCTTATGATTTTCAATTTTATTTTTCAACAAATTGCTACATTATGTAGCTTATACAAATACATTAATATGTATTTATTACTTTTCTCAGTTTCAATTTCAATCACCAATCACTTCATACATTTAAAACAAATGAAAAAAAAAAATCTTTTTAATCTCAATGATTTATTTCATTTTGATTTAATTTCTCTACGAATTTCTATTCAATGCAAACTTATAAAATGTCGCCTTCGACTGTAATATTCGACGTTTGGTGAATGTTTGCGAAAAAAAAATTCCACAATTTCATTATCGAGAACGTACAACTTTAGTCCGTCGAAAAGATCACATCTTCTTCCATGTAAAGAAAATTATAAATTGATAACTCCGAAAGTGTATGTGTTACGCTTTTCTCATTGTGCTAAAGAAAACATTTTTTTTTTATAAAAAAAGAAGATGTTTTATCATCGATAAAACTATTGTATGATCAAGTATTTTGATTGTTGTTTTTTTTTTCTCTTTTTTTTCTTTCCGTCTTTTTTTTCTCACATTTTTGTCGTCTCTTTGTTCTGCAAATTCAGCGCATGGATTTAGGCGAATGTCCAAAGGTACACGATCTTGCATTGAGAGCGGACTACGAAAAGGCAGCGAAGCACAAAGACTATTACTATGACATCGATGTAAGTTCGTTTACAATTCGTTTGATTTATTATTTAAATGATAACGTTATTTATTTTATTTTGATTTTGTTTACAGGCGATGGAGCATCTGCAAGCATTCATCGCCGACTGTGATCGACGCACAGATGCGGCAAAAAAGCGTTTAGCCGAAACACAAGAAGAACTTACCGCCGAAGTGGCTGTCAAAGCAAATGCAGTACATCAATTGGCAGAGGAAATTGGTAAGAAATTAGCAAAAGCAGAATCGCTGGGTGAGGCCGGTGAAGTTGAAGAGAGCATACAATTAATGGCTGAAATCGATGAGTTACGTGCAAAAAAAGTGGCAGCCGAACAAGAGTATCGATCATCGATGCCGGCAAGCAGTTATCAACAACAAAAATTACGCGTTTGTGAAGTATGCTCCGCATATCTAGGCATTCATGACAACGACATTCGATTGGCCGATCATTTTGGTGGCAAATTACATTTAGGTTTTATGGCCATTCGAGATAAATTATCGGAACTAGAGGTAAATTTCTGCTACTTTTCAAATACCAATATCCGGTCAAATGATTTGTTTCGAAATTAATAATGATTTTTCATTTTCAATTTTTGACACACAGAAAACAGCCGGACCGCGAAAGAATGATTTGAAACGATCTGGAAGAAGTGACCGTGACTACGAAGACACTTCAAGATACGGTAGGTGTCACTTAGAAGCAAACATTTTGCTATTGCAATTTCATTCTATTGATTTTTTTCGAAACTCCTATAAACACTTTAGGTAAGAGTCGCTACTATGTCGGTGGTAGAGAATTAGATCGACGATCTCGTGTTCATCGATCCCGAAGTAAAGAGCGCAGACATGGACGATCAAGTCGCAGTAAAAGCTATTCATCACGCCGACACTCGCGCTCACGTTCACGCTCCCGGGATCGACGATAATATGGAAAAATTACAAAACGTATTTTAAATAAAATGTACATGAAAAATCACGAAATTGATCCCTAATTACACCGAACATGAGTTATTTAAACATTTAAGACATTTAAAAAGAGAAAATAAATAAATATACACAAAACCCAATATCTTGACGTCTTTCTTTTTTTGACAATTAACATTCTTTAAGCAAAAATTGAATTTACAAATCTGCTTCAGTCGAAATTAATATTTGAATAGAATAAAATAAATGAACAATCGATCAGTTTTGTATTAATTGAGTGCTCCGATTCCTGAAAATGCACTTTGCAAATGGTTGTGTAGAAATGAAAAGCAATTGTTTTGTCGTGTTCAAACGTTGTGCTACTTTAATAACAGTGGTAAATCATTAAAAAATATAACGCTTTTATAAAAAAAATAAAAATGATCGAACTATTACTACATTTAAATTTAGAAAGTTTCATTTTGGAAACCATAAGTTCCTAGAGTTGATCAGAAGAAAAGAATGGAAAAAATGGAAATTAATCAATAAGTAATGGAAAATGAATTGAAGGAATGGATCAGGAATTGTGGAGTAATGGAATAGTAATTTTTAAGTAAGTATGCCTTAATAAGTACTTTTCAGATTTTATCGAGTTTATAAAATGCCAGTCTAGCGATTCAGCGATTATGTTGGTCCTTGATATTTTGTTGACTGCTCCAAAGTCCAAACATTCAATTAACTGAATTTAGATCGAATTTTTCCGGATCGAAAGGTGTTGCGTACACTTCCGCCAACCACTCCATTTTGCTTTTGTATTCTTTGTGCTGAGGATTGGCAATTATTTCCAACAAATCTTCGTAACCCGCATATCCACCACAGTCTTAAATTATATTTAAAAAAAAAAGTTAATTTATATAAATAAATGATTAATTAATAATTTCAATAATTCATTTAACCTTCTGGGGGACATGCTCTTTTTCCAGTAACGCATCGTGGATAGGAGACGTCCTCTTCTGGCGCTATTATCTTTTCTAAGACAATATCGTGGTACCAGCCATCACCAAAATCGTACAAGTATGTTGCTTTGTCCTTGGCAAAAACAAAATACCGTGCGATCTTGATATTTTCTTCGGGAATGACTTCGGGCATAAGTCCAAAACCAAATCGATCTTCATCTGGAACGCCGATTGTGTCCTTTGTTCCAGTTATCGGATTTTTTACTTTAAATTCATGCAAATGACAATCGCTCCATCCCATGTAATGTTGCATAGCTTCGTGCAAATCGGCAAAAGTGAAATTACCTAGATTACGATTATTTGATTCGTTGTTTTGACAACATTGTTTCATTCAAATTCCAATAAATTGATATTAATATAGTAAAATGTAAGATTTTTAACCTGGCAATTGAATGCGTCGCCAAATTTTTGGCTTTATATTTTTCAACGAAATTTTGAATTGATAAATGTTGTTATCAGCCATTTTCTTTCTTGAAGTGATCGTTTGTTGTGCGTTAATTTAATTCTTTTCGTTCGTTTGTTTCTTCAATGCTGAAAGCTGGCTCAGCAAGAAAATCTCTATGGTAACTATATGATTGCTGTAAGTATGTTTGACTGCAAGAAGTGTTTCGTGATCGTCTCTATTTTTTCACAAGTCTATAATTGTCTGCGAACGAAGTTATCAAATTGCAAAAATTTTATGAATTATTTCATAATTTTCCCAGTGTGTATGGTAAAAATTTATTAACGACAGAAATTTATTAATGAATTAATGGTACGATTGGTACGTGCTAGTAACGTCCTTGCAACTAATCTTTCCCAAATTAATCTTTTAATAATTAAATGATTATCATTACATTTTAATCTGAATCGATTTATTTACCTGTTCTGATTGAATTTTGTTTTGATCCTTGCGTAAAATTAAAATTTTTGAGAATATGCTTCAATGAAATGTAATTTTTCGTGATTGTTTGTTCGTTTAAATTCATAATAATGCGCAATTGGCTGTATCATACGTCATAGCTTAAGTGTTTAGAACATAATTGTTGAAATGCATTTAGAACTTAATTCCAGCAGGACAAAAGGATTAACATTATTTTGTTGTCGTTAAAATTTTCTAACGAAATCTCCACTCGCAAATGTATTTGTGCGATTTTTAGTTGTGTAACTGCTTGTTTTAACCATTTATTTTGATATCGTCAATACAGTAATTTGAAAATTCAAAAAATAAACTAGTATTGAAAATAATTCGGTGCGTAAAAAGGTGAAAAGTACGGTCAAATGTATCGCAAAGTACACAAATTCGTTGGGCCAACTTCACAATGGTAAACGTCATCGTTGAATTGAGGTTAGTGTCACTTTTTGTACACATAGACAAAAATAATAGGTTGAAAGAAATAAACACACAAAAACCAATTCAATGATCATGCCAGAACATTAAATGCTTGTTGATACAATTTGTAGATGGATTTCATGGAAACATCACAACAGTGTGCTAAAGAAAAATCGTGATTTGTCACCAAAGTGATACACCAGATGTGTATGTGTAATTTGATAAATAAAAATTAAATGACAACCGATCTGACATCCAAATACCGATAAGAAATTAAAGCCAGAAAAGATATACACGACGCATATATATCGAATATTGTGTCGTTTATTTGGCATTTGTCAATCGCCTCTATGTTTATTGATGTCAATACACGGTTGTTTTTTTTGTATGGTTGGCATAAAAATTAAACGCAAGTGTTTTTGGTTTTTGTTATTACTCCAATTCGCGTTCAATCGTTTGTTTGTTTTTTGCTTTGCATTCATTTTCACCGAAAAATTGCAAGTACATTCATATTTCATTCAATGTACGGTGTTTAGATCGTTATTTATTGCATAGATTGAAATCGTAGTTAAAAACCCGAATCAACATCAACTGGTGACGATAAAAATCGGCTTTAATTGTTCCTAAATTGGATTATTTCGTATTCATTGCACCATTTTTTTTGTTGTTGTCTCTTCAATTATCATTTCAAAAAGAGAAAAAAATTCATTTTGTTTATTTCATTTCAACGTTCCATACGTAAGCAGTATATGTGTTAACTACAAGACTGATTTGAATAAAAAAACGAGTTAAAAGAAAACTGACAGAGATGGGCTTGAACATAAGTCGACAAACGGATCTCTCCGATAATACATATTTGAAGCAGTTTGTTGGCAAAAATCACATCGAAGCCACCAACGATGACTTCTGGAACTCATTCTTACAATATCAAATTACGTTGCCAGCTAACAGGTAATACCGAGAAAAACGATGACATTCTTGCGTAATGTGTGCCATTATCTGTGTTATCTTTGTTACAGCGAAGAGCAACTCAGCCTTGATTCCCGCCTTGAGACAATGTGTCAAGAATTCATAGCCCACAATTTGGCAACGGGAAATTTTGGATCGCTCATAACAGTATTTTTGAACAAAGTTAGTCAATTACTGGAGTTATCCGATAAAGACAGGTATTGTTTACATTCGACAATATTGACATTCAAATAGAATCCAGAAATCCATTTATATTACAATTGTTCATTGTTTGTTTATCCACCTTTTTTGCTTTTGTTTGCCAATTCGTCATATATTATAGTAGCATGCATATATGGCAAACATTTAACGCACTCTTCATCATTCGATGTACGGTGAAATATTTGATTGAGACGGGTTCAGAGTACCAATTATTGCAACATTTTGAAGCGATGCCCGATGCAAACATATTATTGAATGGCACAACAACGACGACGACATCAACAACTGTTGACATTGACAATGAAAATAAAACGAAACCGGTACGAACGGTAGATGGTTCAAAATTTGAAGCATTCTTCGATGCAGTCGTCAACCTACTGATCATCATTCCGGTGAAGTAATTACACAGATCTTTAGACTCAGTATGAAAAATAAAAAATGTAAATGTGTCCATTACTTTCAGAGAGTTCACTTATCATCTACACTTGGAGGCGGTAAATTTGCTGATAGTTCTGTTGTCAGTGCATCTTTTTTCACAACAACCAATCGAAAAATCAATCATTTTTAGGTAAGATGGTGTTGAAGACTTTTCAGAGCTGTTATTGGTACCGCAGAAATGTGGCCAATAGTGAGTGCCCGCATTTATTCAATATCAAGTATCGCAAGAAAATTACCCAAGCTTCCATGGTGCCCATAACAGTTTCAGGCTTCGGTCTTTGTTTTGTCTTCGATTCATATTCTAATATCTCGTTTTATTCGAACAGAACGGTATACAATAATGCAAATGCAAACACTCTAATGAGTGCATTGCTGCATTTTGTAAGCCGTATGGTTGACGAGCCAACGACTATGTTTGGCATCAACACAGGCGGTTCACTGGTTTTTGGTCTTGCCGAATCGTTACTATCCATTTTTACGTTCCGAAAAACACATCAGGATTTTCTTGGCTCAAATGACTTACCAACCGCATTCAAAGAACACTATCCACTAGCAAATCAAAGCCTCCTACTTATACTTATACTTGTCAACCATTGTACGGCAAATACTAAAAATAACAAATATCGCGAAAGCTTATTTGGATGCTGTGATTCAAAAGGTAAGCGTAAAAGGGTAATAAATTCACATTTTATCCAAATTCAATGGTTTTTGTTTATTTAACTTTTTTTTTTCTTTTCAGTGGAGTCTCCAAAGGATGGGCATACATTTAAAATCGACTTTGTTCAATTGTTCAATACTTTGTGCAAAATTGTAACGATCGATCAAGCAACATTGCTACTATATTTGCTACTGCATCGCAACCAACAATTCTATCAATTTGCAATGGCCCAAGAGAATCTACAACAAATGGTGATACCAATATTGCAAACGCTTTATAATGCACCGGACAGTACGTCACATCACATCTATATGACGTAAGAATTCAATTTTCTATATCACAAATGTATCAATGTTTAGAAGCACCTTTTAATATTGCAGTTTGATCGTTTTGCTGATTCTGAGTGAAGATGATGGTTTCAATAAAAGCGTACATCAAATTGTAAGTGACTGGTCTAAATCGACGGCCAACATTGAGCGAAACTCTCTTTTTATTTACATTAAAAATAAAACTGTCCCTTCCAATTTCAGATATTAAAAAATATCCATTGGTACACGGAACGTTCAATTTCCGAATTATCACTAGGCGGCCTTTTAATATTAGTCGTAATCCGAACCATTCAATATAATATGTTAAAAATGCGCGATAAATACCTTCATACGAATTGTTTAGCAGCCTTGGCGAATATGAGCGGTCAATTTCGCCATTTGCATCCGTATGTGAGTCAGAGACTAGTTAGTTTATTCGAAACATTGGCCAAAAAGCATGCACGTCTGTATGCCGATATGAATGGTGGCGTTGCCGGTGCCAGCAGTATGAGCGATGGTAGTGGCGTTGAAAGTGGCACCAATAGTACATCAACCATTATTGCAACCGATGCAGCCGTACGTTCAATGGTACTAGAGGATCTATCAGTGCTGGAAGAAGTGTTGCGTATGGTCTTAGAAATAATCAACTCATGCATATCGCATCAACTAGTTTATTGTCCAAATCTTGTGTACACCCTATTGTATAAGCGGCATGTATTTGAAGCATTTCGAAGTCAATCAGCATTTCAAGACATCATTCAAAACATCGACATGGTAATTACTTTTTAATTAGTGCAATTATTTGTTCTCGAGAGAGAAAACAACGTTGACCTTTTGTTTTGTTTACCGGTTTAATAGGTTGTTGGTTTCTTTTCGTCACGCTTACAACGAGTTCAAGATCAACGCGGTGAATTGGGTGTAAACGAGGTTTTGGAGGTTATATCGAAAGGTGCAAGTCAATGGTCAAGTGACCGACTGCGAAAATTTCCCGATTTAAAATTTCGCTATGTTGAAGAGGATTCGCCTGAAGAGTTTTTCATACCATACGTAAGAAATTGAATCGATTCTAAATCAAATCAGCTGAAATATCGCATCGGAATAATGAGCACAACCATTATTTGTATGAGAGCAAAAAGGGGTGTGAGGGTGTATTTAGTAACACTTAAAAAGATAAAACAAAAACGATCTCTTGCATTCAGATGAGGTATTTCAGCTTAGAGGTGTCAAAGGGACAAATTTAAATTTTAAAACGGACTAGAATGAACTTTTCGACGGACAGCCAGAGAACGGTTCGAACTTTCGAAGTAGCTACGGACAAAATTTCGTATGTCTTTTATGGTTCGGACACATTTTCATCCGAAACAAATCAACAAAATCGATGGTTTGTCCGTGTTCGCCACTGTCCGTTGACATCTCTATTTCATCTATGACTGGAAATATTACCGTCCGGAAAGTAACAATATTCGTTTGTTTGTTTGTTTTTTCTCTCAGGTATGGTCGCTAGTCACCAAAGGATCATTACATTTCAATTCGGAAATTATGAAAGGACTCAGCAGTGAAATCAATTGCTAAGCAATCGTATATATCGAGTATAATCAATATCGCAGGTCAATCAATTGTCAATAATCTGAACAATAATAAACAATGATATGTTTGATACAAATATGTGAACAAATCCTATCTAAATCGAAATATTTAAGTCAAGGAAAAGAAGGAAAAAAACAATAACCAATCAATTTAAGATATTCATATTATATATTTGCGTGACGCTTTCAACGCATACAATTTATTTTTTATTTATTAATATATTCACTTATTTTATTCTTTCTCTCTACATTTTCTTTTTTTTCTGTTGTTATTGTTGTTGTACACAATGAAATTTGAATACTTTCCACAATGACATGAAACACACATACTAATAGAGAAAAATAATAATAATTTAACAACAATGTCCCATGCGTCTCTGTCATGTATGGCCAATTTAGTTCGATACAATTCTAAATTATTCTATACTATTTTCTTTTTCTGTTCAAACCAAATAAGAAACAAAACATAACTATTTAAAACAAAAACCACATAACGAATAGTGCATAGAAATGTTTGTATAAAAATTGTGCGTTATCAAAGTTTATTTTTAAAATTAAAAAAATAAAAATGAAAAATATAACTATATATATTTAAAAAAAGAGAGCTTATTTTCTTATATTTGGTTGGATAATGCTGTGGAAGAAATCACGCAAAAATGTATGACGCCATAGTAAATGCATTGCGGTGACTCAATGGTGTACATTACTAAATTCCTTTGCACACTTCCAAACACTGTTTTTTCGTTGGGAAATTGTTGCCATTGCCATCGCAGCCACCGAATTTGAACTCTTTGCATGATTTTGTTGATGGATCATAGCTCCAGCGAGAAATTAATGCACGGCACATACCCTTTACAAATACAGGTAATATACAACGTTCACCTAAGAAAAAAGAAACGTATAAAAAGATTATTTCATTATATTTGGTCCTGAATCCGGCGAACAATATATTCGAAACGATTGATTGCAGCGGAAAAAAAAACATTTAATTTTTTTTTCAATTTCAAATAGTAGTACTGCACTAGAGCTAGCCCACAAATAACAGCATCAGTAGTACATACAACAACAAGTGGTTTTATGTATTATTTTCGTAAAATATCTGTGCGGCTATCAAAGTAGTACACATTATTTTCGGAAATCGAGTTTTGATCAAGGTTTTATTTTTTTTTTTATCTCAATCCTTTGCATTTACATAGTAGCATAGTACATGCATATCGCACATTGCAGCGCAAGACTGCAAAGTTCAATGTGTGTACTCATTCACAATCTCGTACATTCGGAAGTTGGGAAAAATGTGTCGCATAATGAACGAGCGAGACGTTTGTGTGTATTTTTTTTTTTTTTTGGTTCCTCTCTAAACATTAACTTCTTTGTTTGGCCGTTTGTGATAATGTGGCCGGTGAAAAAGACACAACAACAAAAACAAAATATTCACCTGGTTTCATGTCTTTCAAATCATTGATTGCTGAAGCAGCAGTAGATGATGACGACGACAACGATGATTGGTTATCGCTGCCAATAGAATCGATGAGTTCAGCCATGCGAAGTAGTAGTTGCTCTTCGTCGTTGTCGATAATTTCATCATAAATATCGAGCGGTTTTGAATTACATCCATTGGTCAATGCAAAAATGCAAATTGCAATAGCCAATAGCACTTTTATTTGCACCATCATATTTTCCACACAATTTACAAAACAATTTGTACTTTCGCGACTATAAACGATGTCCAAATTTGTACTTTTCAATGTGAGTTTTTTTTTCACTTTTGCTCTAAAACAATTTTTATTTTGTCTTCAGTCAATCAGAAAAGAGAAGAAAAAAAAAATTTAGTAATAAACAAACACACCAACACACACTTCAACTGTACGGCTCAACATTAACTAACCGAATGATGAACGGTACGGTTTTATATATTCTTCTTGAGTTGGGCACGCGAACGCGTAAACAATTTAGTCGAACCTCATCGAAAACTCTTCAAACCAATGACGATGACTTCATCATCATTTATTATGAATTCACAGATACTTTCCGAAGAAGAGAGAAACAAACATATGGCCTATGTAACTGCTATATGGTAGTAAAAACAAAGTGAACAACATGCTATTTGAGGAAAATCATTTAACGTTTTTTTTTTGCGTATGCATTTTGAAAGTACCGCAAACTGTTGCTGCTGTTTGAGTTGAACGTAGGGAATGCAACAAAAAAAACCAAACAAACAAAACTTGCGATATGAGAATGGCACGTTAGTCGAAGAAGAATGACAGACGATAAATGAAAAAAAAAATGACCGGTGAAATTTTTACTTAAACAATATATACAAAAGATTTGGGCGCATTTCACGTGTACTACATGCACACCACGTATTTTCAAGCGAAATCAAATTATCAAACAAAACTCTCAAAATATTAGAAATAATGGCATCATTATGATTGATACTTCTTTTTTTTTGCTTCATACGTGATTTTACGCACACACGCGGCATAGCGGTAAAATAGTCTCACCTTGTGAATGCGATTTAAATACTTGAAATACATTGCATACGATTTCTGCAAATATGCTGACGCACATACATGCATGTTTACTGTTTTTTTTCTTCTCTTCACATTGTTATTGCGTTAATCGTTTCTGAGATTTACGTCTGCGAGTGCATTCAAAGATATTATGCATTTTTTTCACATTATCATTATTACAATTTATCGACATCATTATCAGCTCGTCGGAGGTCAATCTTCGCTTATTTTTCGAATGGCTTTCCATTTTTTGTTGCTCTTTCCAATGTGAACAATTTTATTCGAAGAGCCGAATTGCTAATTGAATGTTCTGGAAAACACACGGGATTTATATAATGAATTTATTCTCAATTACGTAAGATTTTGTATGCTCCCGCATTGCGGGTTTCTTATGTATTTGCAATGTATACATCATTAAGTGATTCGGAAATTCCCAAGTTTTATATAGCATTTCGACGTGATTCGTGTGTTTAAACATTGTGTTTTCGTCAAGCTACTTTCATTTTCATTATGAATTAATTGAAGAAAACAAAAAATAAACAACATTGGCCAACCATATGTTGAATATTGCGAATCGTTGATAGTTTTATGGATTCATTATTATTTTCAAGATGTTTCTGGAAGGTTGGTGCAAATACGTTGACAAGAATGTTGAATACCTATATTTATCGTCGACAACAAATATTTATTGTTAATAAAACAGATGGATTTTTCACATACAGAAATGGTGACACAGTACATGATTATAATTAGTATAGTAAATGGTCTCTTGTTTTTACAGAATTAGATTTTATTTTCTATTTATTCTCCACACAAAAATTGATTAAGTCAATAAAAAAATCTATTGAATTCGATTAAACTATCATTGATTCAATGTACAATTTTACATGCTAAAATATCGAGAGAAAAAAGAAGAGACTCAAAATAAACAGCGAATCATTGCTCTATGTATGATTACGTAGAGTGAAAATGTCTCGCAAAAGCCTAAAATAGAGCCTTCTAAACTTATAAGTAGCCAACATTATTAGTCATTTAGCAATGCTGTATTTTCGTCGAAATATGCATTTTTTGGCATATCAAATGATTTAAAATCCGAAATCAGAGCTCGTTTTTAAAATCAACATGCAGTACTTTATCATGTAAGGTGGTCCTTATCTAGAAACGTCCTTGACCTTCACGACAGGAAAATTCCATGGTGTCCGATTTTCATTTTTTCAAAGTCAAGAAATGGCATGTACGTAAATCCTTAATATTTCAAGACACTAATCAAAACAATTCCACAAAAATCAAATCAAGTTTTTTATCAAAGTATCAAACCTATCCAGTCACACACACAGTAAGGTAAAAATTAACAAAAAAATCAAGATAAATGCGATAATAATACATTTAACTCAATAACTTTCACTGTTACATTAAACAACAGTTTTCAATTAAAAAAATCACTGTTTGGATGTGAACATAGTATATATTCTGATGAATGAGTGTTTGTTACAAAATGTTATTTATTGAAGCTAATCATGGGATTTGTATTATTTTATCAAATTTAGTCAAAATAAATGTTCAAATTGATTTAAAAAAGTTCACAATTATCCAAGAATTCTGTAAACTATCAATTTTTACTTTAAAAAGGCGGAAAGTGAAGTAATTTTTACTTTAAGGCTGAAAGTGCGGGTTGGCGATATTTTTCTTATTTGCAAAGATTATAGCATTTCGCAGTGTGTATTCGGGAACCAGTCTTGTAATGATATCTTGCAACGACGTGGCATAACGCCTTCTTCTTGTTTTTGGTATATTCCGCGAGGGTCCATGCGTCAAATTTGATTAGATTTTTAATCACTTCCTCGAAAGACGATAGGATTTTGGTTGCTTTTATAGGTGCGCCCACGTGGTCACTCAAAGACTTTGGTGTTGCGCTATTGATCCACTTGAGTATTAATTCTATATCACCGTAATTGGTTGGATTCCAAGTGCTCTCAGCTTGTTCAATTAAAACGATCGCTATGAACATGCTCAGAAGTACTGATGCTGATTTTTTCTTGAAGCGAAACATTTTCGATGTGAAATGTTCAGTTTTCAATTTGATACTTAAACTCTTGCTCTGTGATCGCTCATCTACACCGGTATATATACAATCGTTAATAATGATTTGTTGGATAAAATTGGATTGATTGGTAATCAGTGTACGCACAAAACAAAACGCAATTGTGACCTTCTTTGAGATTTCATGACATTCATTTGACTTTGTTTTTTTTTTTACAATAAAAACTTATGGCATCATTCTTTCAACTTGCGGCATATCATTCTTTTTTTGATCAGTCTTAAATCAATATTGAGTACTTGATGCTGTGAAAATGTTTAAAATTATACTTTGGGTGAGTTTTGAAACGCAGACCCAGTTTGAAGAGGTTGAAATCACATTCGATGAAGATATTTATATAAATTTAAATATTAATTATAAACAGATTCTCCATGGATTATTTTTCTTCGTTTTTGCAAACCATCTTTCTTATTATAGCACAATCGTAAGAGATTGATTTATAATCTAAATCAATAACTTTTTTTCTCTCTTTTTATACCTCCTTGGGTGATGGTAATATTGGGTTTTTTTCATATTTTCCCAACTTTACAAAACAATTCATTCTAATTATATCATTGACGAGACTAATTCTACAATAGCATTTAGATGAGAGGCTTCAAACAGCCTCAATAAACAAAATTCTAATTATGTATTAGTTAAATAATAAGACCTTTTGTAAATTAACTTAAAATAAACACTAAACATAAAAAAACTTTTCTTATCATGGAAATAGAATCATTCGAATGTTTAAACTGCATGTTTTTGGGTCAGTCATAGGAAATGCTCCATTCGGAATAACTTCAGTACGAAACATACAGGGATCCTCCTCAGAGGAACAATCCATGGAAATAGTAAAAACGAAAATATCATAAGCTTCTGTTTCCGGATTTGTATTTCGCTCTTTAATAGATATTTTATTTAAAAAGAAGTTTAAAGTAAGTTATTAGTAATTTTTTTTTGTTTACCACAAAAACACAAATAGAATGCTTTAAGAGAAAAAAGAATAATTGATATTTCTTTGGCATTAACAATAATAATAGGTTTTTAATCAAAATCCTGACATATTGATGCGAGATTTATTGATAAAAAGTTAAAATAGAGCGACGAGACTTTGGAAAATTGTCGTCATAAATCATTTTGGTTTGAAGTGAAAATAAGCCAGTAATGCAAGAGAACCAGCTCGTTTTTTGTGCATTTCGAAAGTTTTGGTGTAGTGTGTAGAGAAATAGCGAGAGAAGTGAATAGAAAGAGAGCGAGATAGAGAGAGAGAGGGGGGGTAGGAGGTACTAACATAGAGTAACGCACTAATTTTCGTTTTTGGTTTTACGTGCACATTTCGTAAAACATATGTGGCTCATTGTGGGAATTATAAGTACAATAACAAGAAAGAGTACGCGTTTGCAAACAATATGTGAGGCACGTTCACCGCTAGGCAAGAGCTCTTCGATGGTATAAAATTGATATTCTTTTTTAGTTCAAACTAAATGTCATGTTCCATTTTATTCTTATCGACTTGTTCATCCAAATGTTATGCTTTGCACGGTAAGAACAGGCGATTCTCTTGTGAATAACGCATTTCTGAGTAATGAAAAAAAAAAGAGAAAAACCATCATCGGCGCAAAACCACCTGAATTGATTTGGAACGTGCTCATCTGAAGTGGCCCCATCAGCCCATCAATTAATGCGGATGTTGTTCAACAAGCACATACACACGAATCTTCCATGAATGAACGTTTTTATTTTTTGTTCATCGCAGACATTCGATTTATAGCGAATAGTTGCTTCTTTTCTTCATTCTTCACAACACAACGTATTTATTTTACCATTTAAATGGATTTTTTGTCGTCGCTTTCGCCTATATCAACAATGCAAAATGATTTTCTCCAATACAATCCGACGAGAGTTTTCGACTAAGTGACAAATATAATAGGAATTAATTTTGAAATGTTTACCTCAAAACGATTTAGCGAGATGAGATGTGACATGTTAGTACGATGGTGTACGCTAGGACGACGGAAGTTTTCGCTTACTTTAGATATTTTAGTGTGCCATTTAAGACACATGTGTGTTTTTGCACAGCTTTATAATCAATTATTTTGTTGTACTCATAATATTTATTCCAAAGCTAATGAACATTTATTTCACACCATCGCTATCCTGTATGCATGCACAATGCACACAGATTTTAAAATGAATTAAATAAGAGAGGAAGGGAGACGGTGAGGAAACCACCCTCAACGAAATGCTGCATCACATTAGTTAATTCATTAAAAAAGCAATTGC